ACTCATGCTGGTAGCTTTGAGAACACTGTCCAACCATCTCGTCCTCTGTTGTCCCCTTCTCCTTGTGCCCTCCATCTTTCCCAACATCAGGGTCTCTTCCAGGGAGTCTTCTGTTCTCATGAGGTGGCCACAGTCTTGGAGCCTCAGTTTCAGGATCTGTCCTTCCAGTGAGCACTCAGGGCTGATTTCCTTCAGAATGGACAGGTTTGATCTTCTTGCAGTCCATGGGACTCTCAAGAGTCTCCTCCAGCACCATAACTCAAAAGCATCAATTCTTCGGCGATCAGCCTTCTTGATGGTCCAGCTCTCCATACATCACTACTGGGAAAACCATAGCTTTTACTATACAGACCTTTGTTGGCAAGGTGATGTCTCTGCTTTTGAAGATGCTGTCCAGGTTTGTCATTGCTTTTCTCCCAAGAAGCAGGCGTCTTTTAATGTCGTGGCTGCTGTCACCATCTGCAGTGATCATGGAACCCAAGAAAGTAAAATCTCTCACTGCCTCCATTTCTTCCCCTTCTATTTGCAAGGAGGTGATGGGACCAGTGGCCATGATCTTCATTTTTTTGATGTTGAGAAATAATAATACAATGAGTCTAATTGGAAGCCAAATGTGTTTGTTTTGTTTTGTCTTCTCTTTCCTTTTCCCCCTTCTCCTCACTCCCCCTTCCCCTTCTTTTTCCTCTTTTTTCTTTTTGTGTGTGTCTCTTTTCTTAGGCTTTCTCTTTTTGATATGTTAAGAAAGAGATAAAGAGATTAAAGTGTAATATGAAATTTCAGTAAGTTAAAAGTGATGCTGTGTAATTTTCTATTACTATTTGTATATTGTTAAAATAGGTTAATTGTTATGAATTGATGTAGCAACTACTGTGTTTTTTCCCCTTTGTTATTGTTGAATTCTAAATAAATTCACAGGGGCGGGGAGGAAAACAAACAGAGCAGCACAGCCTCAGGGAAGCAGGGAGAAGCTTCTGAAACAGAGCATGGCAAACAGAGACCAAATGTGATGGAACATTTTGCCTCTTTTACTCTGCCTCTACGTCCACTGCCTTGCAGGAAAAGAAAAGGCTAAAGAGGAAACCCTACACAAATACGGAGTGGAGTCCCTAAGGTGGTTGGATGCCAGCATCTTGTATGCCTCTTTCCGGCAACTGCTGCAGCCAAGCTGGTGCCTAATGTATTGCTTGCTTTCCTTTGGACCACATCTGTCAGGAATGAGCCAGCTCCGAGCGAAGGTTTGCAGCCGGCTGCAAAAAGCAGCCAGGAACAGAGAGTCTGGGATTTCACTCAGAGCCAACAGCTGCAGGCTTCGCCTACTCCTGACCTTGAATGGCAGGATGATAAGGCTGTAGCTGAGAGCAGGCTAGAACACAGACAAAGCTCTCAGGAAGCACACAAAGGTGTGAACAGTCTCAGAGACAGCCTCTCAGAACAAGAAGAGGGTGGAGCTGATCCACTAAGTCCGAGGAGTCGGCCAATGGGAGGGCTGCTAGACAGGAAACAAAACAAGAGACATAAGGGTCGTAAGTTCAATATCTTCTATCGACACCGGAAGGAGTCTTCAGACGGGTCATCCTGAGTGATAATGCCGGTGGCTGCGTTAGAGCTGTCCGGAGCTATCTGTTTGGTTTTGCAATAAATCCTCCTTTTTCATTACCTACGCTTACTGTGTTATCAAGCTGGGAACCTGGACTCCTGACAACATCTGTATTGACATCTGGGCAGCCCAGGACCTCCAGACACACTGCCCAGACTTTGGTGCTGCTACCGCAGCTGTCTGACCTCACCCCTGGAGGTGCACTCCATTGACTCTCGAGACAGACGGAGGCCAACAATGGAGCTAGTTGCTGCTGTTGTCTTCTGCTTGAACAGGAAAGAGCCCAGCAAAGTGTTTTGGTGTTTTCTTATTCTTCTTAAGTATATTTTATACTTCGGCACAGCAGCTTGTGACATTCTGAACGCTGATTCCCTTTTTCTTGGGGGATCATTTGGAGGAACTTGAATTGACCTGTGAACTGAGCATGAATCAAACAAGTTTGTTTTTATATAAGAGGCAAGGTGCAACCTGGAATTATTTTTCCAAATTATCATAAAAATATACAGTACCACAGCAGCTTACAACAATATAAAAACATAAAACCAGACTAATAATAATAATAATAATAATAATAATAATAATTTTATTTGTATCCCACCCTCCCCGGTCAAAGCCAGGCTCAGAGCAGCTAACATCATATAAATAAGACGATATGCATAACACAAGCGATCAATCAATTAAGATACATCTCACAATTAATTCAAACAATTAAAACTAAAACTAAAACTGGACAAGTGGCAATCTTCAAGTTAAAATTGGAAGCATTTAATACTCGCCAAGACCAACTGTTTCCACTGATATGCGAAAAGATGTCAAATCTTGCAGGGCCCTGGTCTCTTGTGAGAGAGCGTTCCACCAGGCCAGGGCCACTGCCGAAAAGGCCCTGGCTCTTGTCGAGGCCAGTCTGATCTCCCTGGGGCCTGGAATCTTCAGGGTGTTTTTATTTGCAGACCGTAAGGTCCTCCGTGGTACATACCAGGAGAGGCGGTCCAGTAGGTACGAGGGTCCTAGGTGGAATACAATAACAGAAAGTTAAAAACTAGTTAAAAACAGAAATAAATTAAAAACAAACATTGATAGACCATTGTGGGGGGGCTGTACTCTTAATTGCTTGCATAGGCTCAGCAGAATAGAAAAGTTTAAAAGTTGGCACAGAAGGCACCCACTGAATCTCTAGTGGCAGGGTGTTCCGATGACACTAAAGGCTCAATTTCTCAATGTTGTCAAACAAGCCTCACCAACTTGGAGAACAACCAAAGACACTCCTGCAGATTATCTCAGTGATTGAACTGGGATATAATGATCCCTTCAGTATTCTGTTCAGGGCTTTGTAAAACCAATACAATAACCTAAAACCTGGCTTGGTAGCAGGCGGGCAGCCAGCCAGTGCAGCTGTTTTAACAATGGTGTCACATGTTCCCGACCAGAAGCTCCCATCAGCAATTTGGCCGCAGCATTCTGCACCAGCTGGTTCTTCCGAACAAGACAGGGCAGCCCCACGTAGAGGCCATTATGGTAATCTAGCCTTGAGGTGACAAATGCATGGACTTCCGTGGTCAGGCTATCTCTGCCCAAGAATGGCCATAGTTGCTGAACCAGACGAAGCTGGTAAAAGGTAAAGTTAGTAAAGGTAAAGGGACCCCTGACCATTAGGTCCAGTCGTGAGCGACTCTGGGGTTGCGCGCTCATCTCGCTCTATAGGCTGAGGGAGCTGGCGTTTGTCCGTACCTATTTATCTACCTGCACTTTGACGTGCTTTCGAACTGCTAGGTTGGCAGGAGCAGGGATCGAGCAACGGGAGCTCACTCCATCACAGGATTCGAACCACCGACCTTCTGATTGGCAAGTCCTAGGCTCTGTGGTTTAACCCACAGTGCCACCCGTCTCCCTAAAGGTAAAGTTAGCTCCTCTTTAAAAAGGAACTTTCCAAGCTCAGTTTAAAGGTGTGGTGATCCACTTCCAACTGCACAAACTTGAATTTCAGGTCTGTGGCTGAATCCCTCCTGCAAAATAATGATAGTCTCTAGAGGCAGCCAAAGATGTCTTCGCCTCCTCTCTCGTTGAGGGTTTGCGTGGCATTTCTCATCCCAACAGGGCAATTTTGCTCTCCATGTGCACCTTCCATCCAAACTGATGTTGCATCAGGTAAGTAGGAGTTACTGACAAAATAGAGGCAGTAGATCACCTCTTGCTGCAATGGCAAGACAGCTGTGAGAGAGAGCATGTGCTGTCTGCAAGGACTTGCGGGGAAGATGTAACAGAACAGTTTGATATTCTCCACCTATCAGGGCTCCAGGCAAATCACCCTTATCGCCTTGGGGACTGGCCTCCTCCCAGGCAAAATGCAATACCTCACATGTGGGCAGAACTCCCAGGCCTAAGGTGGGTGGGGAATATTCCTATACCAGACTTGCTCTGTGGTTTCTGTTATGCAATCTTTTTAAAAACAGTCTTTGCCAATTTGATGCCCTCCAATTGCTTTGGCTGGGGCTGTAGTCCCAAACATCTGGAACGCTGCTTTAAATGGTTTCCATTTACCACCCAACACGTAAAAACTTCCAGGGTGCTTCACAAGAACTAAAAAATAAATAAAGACAAAGCCAGCAAAAGCACTGTCAAGGGCAGACCCACAAACAGTGGCAGCAGAAGTCAGTTCAGACTTCGTGGAAGCTTACATGCCTTTCAGGTGCTGCAGGGCTTTGGGCTGGTGTTTTAAATATTTTTCCTTTTTATCGATGTCCTGTATCAGCCATTGATTTTATCCTCACCCACTTTGACCAAGCTACAAACCTGCCAAAAATGGAAAAATTGAGGTGACCAGAAAAAAAGTTAATTTTTACAGTGTGTGGTGTGATTTTATTAACGATACATATGAAACAACACATGGATGAGAAATACCGACAGCATATACTGCAAAATCGAGCACATAAGCAGGCACGACTCATTGGCTCACTTCTATTATTCTATGTTTCCCAAGTTGATTTATTGCCGAATCTATTTAATTGATTTATTTCAGTCATTATGTACTGTAAAATAATATTTATCCCCCGTTTTGTTAGTCTTGCCATGTTTTATGACTTATAGAAATGACATGGATGGTTTTGTGGCTGCTTTGTTACCGATTCTGAGGGAGGAAATAAAAATAAAAATTATTTTAGAAAACCTGCCAAACCACCTTGTCGGATGATGGCGTGCAAATGCACAACAGCTCATGCATAATCGCACGCCACCAGCGCGCAGTGACACTGGGCGCAGCCGCGCGGAAAGTCAGAAGAGGAGCCGCCAGCGACCGGCGCAGTCTACCAGGCTGCTGCGACGTGGGAGCTCGGACCCGGTCCTGAGTGGGCAGGCGGGCAGGCGAGCCCCGCCCCAGCGAGAGGCGCGCTCCGCCCTCGCCTCGCCCCTTGAGAAGGGAGACGGGGAGAAGGCGCTTCCGCGGGCGCCGCCGCGCACTCGGAACCGGAGCAGGCGGCTCGGCTTGGCGATGAAGCGGCGCGCCCAGGAGGCGCCTTCGGGGGCGCAGGGCAAGGGGATCACCGCCTCTTCCAACATGGGACAGGCCGCGTCCGCATCGAGGGCCCCCCGGCAACCTGCCGGGTAAGTCAGGGAGCTGGTGCGCCTCTCCATCGCGGGAGGCAGAGGTTGCTAGAGTTGGGATTTCTGCATTGGGCTGGATGGCCTTTGGGGGTCCCTTGCAAAGCTACCATGCCAGGATTCTCAGTCGGCCCGCTTTGCGCGCTCCGGGCACCTGCGCCTCTCCACCCGGCGAGGCTCTGAGCGCTCCCCGCCTCCATCCGCCATGCCATCCGCTCGCTTCCTCGCTCTCTTGCTGCCGGTTTTCATCACGCGCTGGCGAGGAGAAGGGGTTTGTTTTTATTTCAGGCTCAGACAAAAAAAAATAAGGTCACATGCATTTTGAGCATCCTTTGTTTTCAAGAGAGGCTGGAATTGGGAACGGAGCGCGCGCGCGATGACCTGAAAAGGGGTGTTTTGGAACGGGGAGTTTGGCAAGGCTTGCAAGCGGGAGAGAGGAAAGATGGCGGGATTCAGCACCGGCCAAAAGGAATTTGCTTGTCACATTTCTATCCCCCCCCCTTTTCCTCGTTTAGTCCCCGTTTTGTCTTTCGAACAACCCTGCAGGGTCGGGTAGGCTGAGAATGAGCTTCAGGGCAGAGTGTTCTAGCCGGTCAGGGATGTGGGGAGCAGTTGTCTAGCAACATCTTGGAAGCACCAGGTTAGGGGAAAGTGCTTTAGGGAGTAAAGTTGCCTTGATTGCCGTGGGAATTGCATCAGAGTAAGCATACATGTGATCAAGTTTTTTAATGGCTTTCAGGATGGGTGCCAGTGATTCAAGCTTTCCAAACCAGGACATTCCCGGAGCAAATTCAATGTTCCAGTTTGTTTGCTTATGATTCAGGTAAAGGTAAAGGGACCCCTGACCATTAGGTCCAGTCGCAGACGACTCTGGGGTTGCAGTGCTCATCTCGCTTCATTGGCCGAGGGAGCCGGCGTACAGCTTCCGGGTCATGTGGCCAGCATGACTAAGCCGCTTCTGGCGAACCAGAGCAGCGCATGGAAACGCCGTTTACCTTCCCGCCAGAGTGGTACCTATTTATCTACTTGCACTTTGACTTGCTTGATGTGCTTTCAAACTGCTAAGTGGGCAGGAGTAGGGACCGAGCAACGGGAGCTCACCCCGCCACCTTCTGATCGGCAAGTCCTAGGCTCTGTGGTTTAACCCACAGCGCCACCCGTGTCCCATGATTTACTTATTGCATAATAATAATAATACAGTAATAATATTTATAGTCCACCCTTTTCTCCAATGAGTACATCATTCTCCCCTTCCGTCATTAACCCCCACAACAACCCTGTGAGGTAGGTCAGGCTGAGTGTGATCAACTGAGTGTGAGCCCACTGAGCTTCATGGCCGAGGGGGGTGGGATTTGAACCCTGGCCTCTCCCAGGTTCTAGACTGGCGCTCTAACCACTGCACCACCCTCCGTTCCCTGTTGAATGAGCGGCCTGTTTTTGGAGACATCCCTGCCTTCTGCAGGACTCGAGCGAGTTCCGTAGTTTAACTGTGCTGCGTGAAGGACAACATTATGTTATCTCTCCTCAATCTTCCAGCGCTGTTTTGTTTGATGTCCACGAGTTGCTGGCTTGTACAAGCGAGAGAGAAAAGCTGTGCTTTTGTCACAGTTCATTCTCCTCCTCTGCAATCCTTGTCACAGCAAGCATTTAATGCTAAGGTGGTGTTTGGGGAACTTATTTGCACCCTGGATTTAACCAGAGCTGTCATTTCCCCAGGGTGGCGGCGGAGTGGGTGTGAATTGTTGCACACTAGGAAATTTGCAGTGCTGTTTCTGGAGCCAGCCAGTTAGCCATGGGTGAGTGGGACGAAGGTTGTTGGTCCCATCCTGTCCCTCCCCATCCCACTGATGGGATCCTGTCCAAGCCTGGAAGTGCAATGCTCCTTGCTTAAGCGCCATTGCTCTTGCAAAAGCTCAGAGGCCAAAAAATGGGGGTGAGACAGACCTTTGGGCTTCAGGGTCTTTTGTCTGGGGTCTTTGCCCCACACTCTCCCTCCCGGACCCTCTTAACTGAGGCCATGGTCTCTGGAGGTAGGCAGAGGCCAAAATCCTCTGGTCTGCCATCTGCAAGAGCTGCAAGGAGTGCTGTTTCAGGATAAGACCTTCTGCTCCTTCCCCCTTTAAAAACACACACACACACACATCAAAACCCCTTTTTCCCTTTGAATCCAAAATGTCTAGACATCTTGCAAAAGCCCATTGCTTGCAAGATCCCAGCAACCCATCATCTTCATTGGCTCCACCAGTGTGGGGCAGTGGTCAGAGTGTCTGACTAGGTCCCAGAAGACACAGGTTCGAATCTCCGCCCGGCCATGAAGCTCTCCCTGGGTGACCTTTGGCCATTCGCTGCCTTCTCTCTGCCTGACTTACCTTCACAGGGCTGTTGTGGGGATTAAGTGAGGGGGGGCATATGTGGGATATAAATGCAATAGATTAACAGCAACAACTATTTAAAATTAGCACATGCCTACTTGTGGCCTGGGTTTTAGCAATGGTACCTTGCAAGGCCTGCTCCTCCTTCCTCTTTGCCCCCTGCTACTCTGGAGATTTTACTTTCTTGGGCTCCATGATCACTGCAGATGGTGACAGCAGCCACGAAATTAAAAGATGCCTACTTCTTGGGAGAAAAGCAATGACAAACCTAGACAGCATCTTAAAAAGCAGAGACATCACCTTGCCGACAAAGGTCTGTATAGTTAAAGCCATGGTTTTCCCAGTAGTGATGTATGGAAGTGAGAGCTGGACCATAAAGAAGGCTGATCGCCGAAGAATGGATGCTTTTGAATTCTGGTGCTGAAAGAGACTCTTGAGAGTCCCATGGAGTGCAAGAAGATCAAACCTCTCCATTCTTAAGGAAATCAGCCCTGAGTGCTCACTGGAAGGACAGATCCTGAAGCTGAGGCTCCAATACTTTGGCCACCTCATGAGAAGAGAAGACTCCCTGGAAAAGACCCTGATGTTGGGAAAGATGGAGGGCACAAGGAGAAGGGGACGACAGAGGACGAGATGGTGGGACAGTGTTCTTGAAGCTACCAGCATGAGTTTGACCAAACTGCGGGAGGCGGTGGAAGACAGGAGGGCCTGGCGTGCTCTGGTCCATGGGGTCACGAAGAGGTGGACATGACTAAACGACTAAACAACAACAACAACTTGTGGCTTGGGCTGCTGCAATGGTACCTTGCATTCCCCCCTCCTCCTTCCTCTTTGCCCCCTGCTACTCTGGGGCTAGGGAATTGAGGGCAATCGTGCCGAGGGCTGGTTTTCAGGGTTAGCTGAGTGCCTCTGGGAATGTGCAGAGTGCATTTATGTTCTTCTATGCCCTCCTGCCTCGCTCCCATTTCTGTCTTCTCCATCTGGCATAGAGGCCTTCTGTTAATATTTGTGGGCGGGGGGTCAGTTGCATGGACAGGGCACTCTGCACATGCTCTGGGCACCCTCCCCTCCATGTGTGTGTATTTGTGTAAAAAAATAAAATCCTGCCCTCAAAGAGTTTGCTATGGTGGCCAAGGGGAAGGAGAACAAAAGGAAGCAAATGTGGGGGGAGCAACAGAGAGTATTGTTCACTTTGACCCGTCAGCTTCATTATATAATAATAATAATAATAATAATAATAACAACAATAATTTATTATTTATACCCTGCCCATCTGGCTGAGTTTCCCCAGCCACTCTGGGCGGCTCCCAATCGAATGTTAAAAACAATACAGCGTTAAATATTAAAAACTTCCCTGAACAGGGCTGCCTTCAGATGTCTTTTAAAAATAGGATAGCTACTTATTTCCTTCACATCTGAAGGGAGGGTGTTCCACAGGGCGGGCGCCACTACCAAGGAGGCCCTCTGCCTGGTTCCCTGTAACCTCACTTCTCGCAGGGAGGGGACCGCCAGAAGGCCCTCGGCGCTGGACCTCAGTGTCCAGGCAGAATGATGGGGGTGGAGACGCTCCTTCAGGTCTCCAATCCAGCTTCATTCCAGCAGTACAAAAGTTTGAGGTTCCTACAGGAGCCTCTCACTGTTGCTCCTTCCACCTCAGAGCAGCCAGACTGTGTGGGAAATAATCTCCCTCCTCCCAGCTTTCCTGCCTCCTTACAAACGCACAGAGCTGGGCTCCAGGGCTATTTCTAACGCTGAAATACCTGCCTACAGATAGGCCCAGGTGATAAGCTGTAATTAAAATAATGAGCCTTCATGAGCAACTTTTTTCTGGGCCTGTCAAGAGTCACAGCCCTGATCAGTTTACTGTGTAAACTGTGTTGTCTTCTGGTGGCCCAAGGTCACCACATGAGGTTCATGGCTGAGTGGGGATTTGAACCCAGGACTGGGGCCTGGAAGTTCTGGCTTTCGAATCTCCCCTCAACCATGAAGCGCATTGGATGAACTTGGGCCATTCACCTTCTCTTGGGCAACCTTGGGCCATTCACGTACACCACCTTGATATAAACGTAAGAAACAAACAAACAATAAAACTCTCAGGCCACTCGGATCTGGCCCTCAATTCACACGCTAAAGCATTTTCCACTGTAACTAAGTACAGTAAATAAATTCAGCAATGTTTGGGATTCACTGTGACATTTTGCCGTTTTATTTTCTCGGTTTGATCCCGCGAAATCCCTTGCTGTTTATTATGACAGCCGGCCTGTAGCTGTTTCAGTAAATCAAAAGGGTGGGAACAGCTGCAGAACTGCCTCCAGGGATGAGACAGGAAGACGTGCGCGAGTGACGACACTGGCACTGGGCAATAGGCACTTGCCGCAGCTGACTCTGTTGCAACATGCTGGGAGAGTGCAAGTGCTTTGACAGCTTTTTTGAGTTTGTGGTGTCGCCAATACCTAAGGGTAGGGAGCAAGGGCAATGTGAGCTCCGGGGGTGTTGTTAGGTGTTACTCAACAGAGTTCTGCTCATTTGGAAGCTGATTATTGCGGTTGTGATTTGGTTGCTGCATCACAGCAAGGTGAGTTGCTGCCTCTTGGGTGTGTTTCGATGCCTTGCCAAAGCACCCGCAAAGCAAAATCGCTCATCAGCTGGGTTATGTGTGGGCCCAGACCTTTGCTGAGCCAACTGTTGCATCAGAAGCTAAGAGCATTATCTGCATATCTCTTGTGTAAAAATCTAGCAAGACGGAGGAGGGAGGTGGTTAGCTAATCCAGTCCAACCCTCTACAATGTAGGAATTGCAGCTAAAGAATTTATTTTGTTTGTTTGTTTATACAAAACTCTTTAGTATCTTGCCTGTCCAGCTTACAGCACAAGGCAGCAAACTGCAGAAATAAAAGAAACAAATACACAGGTAATTTAAAATCAAACAACAACGATAACAAAGACAACAACAATAATTTATATGCTGCCCATCTGACTGGGTTGTCCCAGGCCCTCTGGGCAGCTCCCAACAAAACCAGTATAAAACCCCAAACGTAAAAAACTTCCGTATAGGGATGTCTTCTAAAAGTCCTATAGTTGTTTATCTATTCAACATCTGTTGTGTGGTCCATATGCCTGGCCAAATAAATCGGCCACTGGCCTCCTCTTCAGTATCTCGACATTGAGGGCGGACTGAATGTCGCTCTGATGGGAGTTCCACAGGTGAGGTGCCACAACTGAGAAGGCCCCGTCTCATGTCATCGCTCTCCTGCAGGAGTGGCACTCGAGGGCAGATTTAGGCAGGTCCTTGCAGAGCCAGGCAGAGGCCCGGGCAGACAAATGTGACCATTAATTATAATTAAATTATAATTATAATTAAAACTTCTCCATCTTCATATTCTACTCTTAAAAAAGATGTATGCTTCTGAGAAAGCCACTATTGCTCATAGGCCACTGTTTCTTTAAAAAACATGGTTTCCACCAAATTTTATCCTCATTGAGCTATATGTACTCCTCGGATGTATGTAATATTCCTGGCCTAGTCAACAAAATTTTAAACAAATGGCCACATCTTCATTAATTTTTCATCATTAAAAAATAAAAATAGCGATAAGAAAGCCAACACACCAGGGTTCGAATCTCCCTGGTGACCAGGGTTCGAATCTCCCTGGTGACCAGGGTTCAAATCTCCCTGGTGACCAGGGTTCAAATCTCCCACTCAGCCATGAAGGTCAGTGGGTGACCTTGGTTCATCAGTCACAATATTTCATTCGAAACTACCTCCTACCTTTGCTGGGATTAAATGAGAAGGAGGAAAACTTACGTAGGCCGCTTGGAGTTTCTTGGAGGAAGGGTGGGGATAGAAATGCAATAAATAAAAATAATATGGAAATAATTATCGCTGTCCTTTCTTTGCTCATTTAAGTCTTTTTACCTCCTTATCTCCCCCCCTAATAATATTTATTATTTTCCATACATAGATACAACAAAAGAAAAGGTTGACAGTAATAAAGAAAAAAGAATAAAACAGAAAAAAGAAAAAAAGAATATAAAACATAAAATACAACAAATCATCACTACACTAACACTTACTTAATTAAAATCCATCTTCATAAACATATTATTTGACTTCCTCAAATCTCTTCCATCTGAATTTCTTAGTAATTATATATAGCAGTTTCCAATATCATTATTTATTTACCTCCTTATCTTTTAGGGGGCTTCTGGACTGGTTCCAAGCCAGTAAAATCAAGACGCTGATCCTGAATGTATTTATTCTGTACGCCTCCATCCCCTTCATCATCCGCATGTTCCCTTCGCTGCTGCAAAAGTTTGTCTTTCTTAATTTCCGTAAGTATTCTCTCTGCCTATTGCCTGCCTTGGGATCTTTAAACGGGCCGCAGCAAAGGTTTCTCCAGAGGCTGGCTGAACTTCTGGAAATCAATTGTGGATCCAGGGTTTGCCTGGTATCAAACTGCATTGTCTTTATCTCAGACTAAGCCAGTTTGCCCTGACAGCTGCCCAGGGGTCAAGATCTCCTGCATGTCTTTTTCCAAAGGCCTATCTGAATAGGAAGGTTTTTGCCGGCCCGAGTCATCACTGCAGGAGAGGAAGATCTTAACAGGCTTTGTCTTGGGAGCAAAGGAACATAGGAAGCTGAGTCAAGACATTGCTCAATCTATTATTATTATTATTATTATTATTATTATTATTATTATTATCAATTTTTATTTATACCCCACCCTCCCTGGCCAGAGCTGGGCTCAGGGCAGCTAACACCAGTAAAATTACAGTAAAAACATAATAGGGGGGAAAAAACCAATTTAAAATACAGGTTAAAATGCAATTTAAAGTGCAGCCTCATTTTAAAAGTAGCCCATAAATCAAAACCGTAAGGGGAGGGAAGACATAAGGGTCAGACTGAGTCCATACCAAAGGCCAGGTGGAACAGCTCCGTCTTGCAGGCCCTGCGGAAAGATGTCAAGTCCTGCAGGGCCCTGGTCTCTTGTGACAGAGCGTTCCACCAAGTCGGGGCCAGTACTGAAAAGGCCCTGGCCCTAGTTGAGACCAATCAAACCACCTTGCAGCTTGGGACCTCCAAAGTGTTGTCGTTTGTGGACCTTAAGGTCCTCCGTGGGGCATACCAGGAGCGGCGGTCCTGTAGGTACAAGGGTCCTAGGCCGCATAGGGCTTTAAAGCTCAAAACCAGCACCTTAAACCTGACCCTGCACTCCACCAGGAGCCAGTGCCGCCCAGGCAGTGCGCATATTCTGCAGCTCTTTGCAAACATGCTGCTGCTGTCTTCTGTCTAGGCTGGAGAAATGGATGGTTTAATCCAGAGGCCGCCAGTCCCTTTTGGGCTTGCGGAAACCTCTGGATTTTTGAGTGAGTGCTATGGATGCGACTCCACATCTGGCTGCTTCTCTCGCTTCTTCCATGAGCACAGCCAGGATTTTTTAAATTGGGAGACACAATGAGAGATAAAGGAGGTGCTGCGGGATGGGTGGAAGTCAATGTCTTGTTGTTGTTTTAGTGTTTATAATATTAACTTGTAAGATAAGGATTGGTTTGTTTGTTTTGTTTTTGTTGTTTTTTTTAGTTTTCGAATGTTGATTTTTGTGTGTTGTGCATTGTTATTTTTTGATATATTTTGTGTTGTTGTTGTTGTGTGGAAAATACTAATAAAATTCATTTATTTTTTTTAAAATTGGGAGATTCCCCCCCCCCGCAAGACGACATTATGGGGGAAGGGCGGCAGAACCTCAGTTAATTTAGTATTTTTAACACTTTTCAATACTTCTTGAGCCTGCTAGTAGCCCTCTCCTCCATGAATTTTTCCAATCTGCTTTTAAAGCAATCCAAGTTCGTGGCCGTCTTGTGGGAGGGAGTTCCACAGTGTAACCGTGCCCTGTGGATGAGGAGGTCATTTCTCTCATCTGTCCTGAATCTCCCTCTGGATGTCCACAAGTCCTAGTTCTCAGAGAGAGGGAATAAAACTTTCCTTTGTCCACTTCTGCCATGTCAGGCGTGGTTTGGTTTTGCTGCCCATTCATTCGAAGTCATAAAGCAGAGACACTCCTCGCCCGCTTATTGTGGCATTGACAAGTGTTGGGGGCGCATGGGGAACGCGAGGCCTTTGCCAGGGAGCAAATTTCCAAAGTGAACTTCTTTTGCAGTTGTTTTTCCCTTTGGGGTGGATTTCCAGAAGCCCGAAGTATATCTGAATCACACGAGGAACTTTTATCTCACCTCCGAACCGGGGATCACTATTGGGATTTGGTGAGTAAGGGCCCCCCCTTGGCCTGGCAGGGGCCGTGTGCTGATCTGCATGTCACCCTCCGAGTCTTGCTCCCAATCTGATCTGGGGCTGAGGATGATCCGTAGATAGATAAGATAGATAAAACTTTATTCGCATTAGCCAACGGCCATGGCAACATAAAACAAGCAATAGCTAAAGGTAAAGGTACCCCTGACCGTTAGGTCCAGTCGTGGCCGACTCTGGGGTTGCGGCGCTCATCTCGCTTTATTGGGCGAGGGAGCCGGCGTACAGCTTCTGGGTCATGTGGCCAGCATGACTAAGCCGCTTCTGGCAAACCAGAGCAGTGCACGGAAACGCTGTTTACCTTCCCGCCAGAGCGGTACCTATTTATCTACTTGCACTGGTGTGCTTTCGAATTGCTAGGTTGGCAGGAGCAGGGACCGAGCAACGGGAGGTCACCCCGTCGCGGGGATTCAAACCACCGACCTTCTGATCGGCAAGTCCTAGGCTCTGTGGTTTAACCCACAGCGCCACCCATATCCTATAAAACAAGCAATATATACAAATAAAAAGACAGCAATGGGTAAAAAGGACAATCAAATGGCGAAGATTATCGTCTGATCATTTTGATCTGATAACAGAAAGAACAATGTGGCCGCAGATGGGTGGCCTGGGATGGTAAGTAAGAGTGGGGTGATGATCTCATTCCTCAGATCTTTATAAAGGGGACAGGACAGGAGAACATGAACCACTGTTTCCAGATTGCACAGGGGCAGAGTCAGTTGGAATCTTTTGGTACCTGCCCTGAAGTATGGCAGAAGGCATCACATCCAATCTGGCCAGTGCGAAGGCACGTCTGTATTTTGGGATAGTTAATTTGTACAAATATGGTGCCAGGGAATCAAACTGAGAAGGGGGGGGGGGGAGGCATACCAAGGACAGAATTTCTTTATAATGGCCAGATTGTTCTGTTGCTCTAAGTCCTTCAGACTCTGTCCAATTAGCCCTTTTGCTTTAATAAAACCCGTCATGAGACGCTGATGTGGGTGGAGTCCGCAGGAGAGGAGTTTTTGGTGCCCAATTTTAAACCACGCACTTTTATGGGGGGTCTTGTGTCAGTAAGGGCAGTAGACCGGGTGGATTTAAGTTTAGATGGAGCCAATAATTAAGAGTTCTTTGCCAGGACCGAGCTTCTACAGAGGGAAGACTTGAGAATGATCTGTATCTGCAAAGCACCATGCATGCGCTTATCGGCTTTGCTCTCACTTTTGCTTTCTCCTTTCTCTGTGCACAAATCCGTATTTTTAGCTGATGTGCTCAAGGCTCACTTTGTGCACTGATCTGGGCAGATGCAACTCGCCTCACTGTTCCCCCTTTCCATCCGCAGCGGGGCAGCCCCCACTGCGGTTGAATAGGCCTTTTGCTTCTCTTCTTAGGCACTCCTTGCCTGACAACATGCGGGAGGAGGCTGAGGGGAAGGACCCCAGCTGGTACGAAGAGGCCCTGGCGGACAATAATCCCATCATAATCTATCTCCATGGCAATGGGGGGACCAGGTGAGTTTGAGACTGAAAGGAACAAACAAAGGCAGCGTCCATGCTCCGTTATTCCCCTGCTCAGTTGTTCTTCTCCTGCATGCGTCGTCTGGATGTTGGGACAGAAGGGCTGTAGCTTAGTGCAGGACACCTGCCCTGCATGCAGAATGGTCCCGGGTTCAACGCCCAAGGGCATCCTGGTGGCGCCATTCCCCCTCCTGTGGCCGGTGTGAGTCTGAATAGTCTTGCTCATTTAACGACTTTAAAACTTTAAACCAGGCATAGGCAAACTCCGGCCCTCCAGATGTTTGGGACTACAATTCCCATCATCCCTAGCTAACAGGACCAGTGGTCAGGGATGATGGGTACTGTAGTCCCAAACATCTGGAGGGCTGGAGTTTGCCTATGCCCTGCTTTAAACCACGTCTTTTAATGGCTGGCTTGTGATCTGTTTATGAGTCATTCTGGAAATAAGCAAGTTGGCAATTTTGATCGCCTGCGACGATGATTAAACACTTGGCTCTCGTCTTTGACCTCTCTTACAGAGCAACAAGTCACAGAGTTCGTTTCGCAAAGGTAAGCTGTGGTGTTCACTCTTCCCCTTTAAAAATAAGAACAAGATGAGCCTGCTGGAACAGGCCAATGGCCCATCGAGTCCCGCCTCCTGTTCTCATAGCAGCCAAGCAGAAGCCCCAATGGGAAGCAGACAAGCAGGATTCGAATACGAGCCCCCTCTCCCTTCCTCTGGTTTCCAACAACTGGTGTTTAGAACCATTGCTGCCTCTGACTACGGAGTCAGACCATCCATCGTGGCTAGTAGCTGCAACAGCCCTCTTTTCCTCCACGGATTTGTCCAATCCTCTTTCGAAGCTGGCCACCCCTGCCTCCCGTGGCAATGAGTTCCATAGTTTGCACTGCGCGAAGAAGGACTTCCTTTTAGCTTTCTGTTTCTGAAGATTTGGCTCGTTTGTTCAACAGGCCATGAGTGACAGCGGCTTCCACGTCCTGGCTGTTGACTACCGAGGTAAGTTCCAATGCACAAATAATGCCGGGCTCTTGCGGGACACGCGGATGATGTGTTTCCCTCTGATCCTTCATCCGATGCCTCCCTCCAGGCTACGCAGACTCCACCGGCCACCCCAGCGAAAATGGCTTCACCACGGACATCCTGTTTGTCTACGACTGGGTCAAAGCCCGCAGCCGCAACAGCACAGTCATCTTTTGGGGCCACTCGATGGGCACTGGGTAGGTTTTGCGTTCTCAGTCCTGTCTCCAGACACCCTCTTTATTGTGGATTCTGTTGGAAACACGCCTGGGAAGGCTGCCAACGTCCCAAGTCATTGGGACATCTCTCTGGCCGTAAATCTCCCTCAGTCCAGAGGGACCGGTAATAAGCGACCCCTCTCCTCTGAGAAGAGCATGCTAGTCTTCTAGCTTATCCTAGCAGAAGAGAGACTCAATCAGTAATTCTAAACTACTTTATTTACTGTCTTATAATACAGAGACTCCATCAGTACATCTGTGCTCTTTGAACACCAGTACAGAACTGCATCGGGACACAGGTGGCGCTGTGGGTTAAACCACAGAGCCTAGAACTTGCCGATCAGAAGGTCGGCAGTTCGAATCCCGCGACGGGGTGACCTCCCGTTGCTCGGTCCCTGCTCCTGCCAACCTAGCAGTTCGGAAGCACGTCAAAGTGCAAGTAGATAAATAGGTACCACTCTGGGAGGAAGGTAAATGGCGTTTCCGTGCGCTGCTCTGGTTCGCCAGAAACGGCTCAGTCATGCTGGCCACATGACCCGGAAGCTGTATGCCGGCTCCCTCGGCCAGTAAAGCAAGATGAGCGCCGCAACCCCAGAGTCAGTCACGACTGGACCTAATGATCAGGGGTCCCTTTACCTTTACTTTACAGAACTGCATCACATACAGAAGTGAAACTAACTTCCAACAGTACTCAGACTTCCTGTCTCACACTCACTCAGACACTCACATGATGTATACAGAACATGGTACAATAGTAGCACTCACTGAAGCATCTCGGATAGATAAAAATCCTAACATCACTCACCCATTTTTAGGTAACTGTTTCTGTGTAAGCTAGTGCAGCATCAAGTGACATAAACAAATAGTTGTCATACACATAGTATACCCCTGTTGTACCAGTTCCACTTTTGGAACCACCTGCAACTGGATTGACCAGTTCAAACCTCTGGTTACCTGTCTTCCATGGGACTAGAGCTTTTGCTCTATCTTGGTCTGAGGAAACAGTGTTGACCCTTGCAACCTTCAGGTGTGGTTTTGTCTCTCCTGTGGACAAACCTGGTACCTCACTCAAGACCTCAGTGTCTGAAATAGTTTGAGCTGGGGAGAGCACTCTTGTGTTCGAATTCTGCTCGCTGGTTTCCCACAGGCAGGTGTGTCCAGGGCGGCTGTCTACCAGCTCTCTCTGGTATGCAGGCTGAGACCCTCCCTGCCCACAGACTGTCTTGCCAGAGTGGTGCATGCTCTGGTTATCTCCTGCTTGGACTACTGCAATGTGCTCTATGTGGGGCTACCTTTGAAGGTGACCCGGAAACTACAACTAATCCAGAATGCAGCAGCTAGACTGGTGACTGGGAGCAGCTGCCGAGACCACATAACACCAGTCTTGAAAGACCTACATTGTCTCCCAGTACGTTTCCAAGCACAATTCAAAGTGTTGGTGCTGACCTTGAAAGCCCTAAACGGCTTCAGCCCAGTATGCCTGAAGGAGCGTCTCCACCCCCATTGTTCTGCCCAGACACTGAGGTCCAGCTCCGAGGGCCTTCTGGCAGTTCCCTTGCTGCGGGAAGTGAGGTTTCAGGGAACCAGGCGGAGGGCCTTCTCAGTGGTGGCACCCTCCCTGTGGAACGCCCTCCCATCAGATCTCAAATAAATAAACTGCTATCTGACATTTAGAAGACATCTGAAGGCAGCCCTGTTTAGGGAAGTTTTTATTGACTGATGTTTTCATGTATTTTTAATCTTTTGTTGGAAACCGCCTAGAGTGTATGGGGAAACCCAGGCAGATGGGTGGGGTAGAAATAATAATAATAATAATAATAATAATAATAATAATAATAATGGCCGGTTCCCATGAGAACAGGATGTCAGGCTCAATGAGTCATTGGCCTGATCCAGGAGAGATTTTCTGGGCCTGCGATGTGACAATATCCCTCTTTCCTGTTTCCCTGCAGAATTGCTACCAACACTGCTAGGAGGCTGAAAGAAAAAGGTAATTATTAATATCTGTGTGTGGAAGGGTCACGGCCTCACAATCCAAGGGGGCCTGGTTGTGGGTACATTGTTGTTGTTTAGTCGTTTAGTCGTGTCTGACTCTTCGTGACCCCCTGGACCAGAGCACGCCAGGCACTCCTGTCTTCCTCTGCCTCCTGCAGTTTGGTCAAACTCATGCTGGTAGCTTCGAGAACACTGTCCAACCATCTCGTCCTCTGTCCTCCCCTTCTCCTTGTGCCCTCCATCTTTCCCAGCATCAGGGTCTTTTCCAGGGAGTCTTCTCTTCTCATGAGGTGGCCAAAGTACTGGAGCCTCAGCTTCAGGATCTGTCCTTCCAGTGAGCACTCAGGGCTGATTTCCTTCAGAATGGAGAGGTTTTTTCTTCTTGCAGTCCATGGGACTCTCAAGAGTCTCCTCCAGCACCAGTGGGTACATAGGAAGCTGCAAAGTGCTGTCCACACTGACTGACAACAGCTCTCCAGCATTTTAGACAAGGGAGCCTGTTCCTAAATTCTATTTGGAGGCACCGGGGATCGAACCCGCGACCTTCTGCCACCAAGGCAGATGCTCTGCCACTGAACTACAGATTAGAGAGAGCCATTTGCGCACACTTTTGTGTGTAGGAAATGGCCTGTTCTACAGGGTTATTAAACCTTTAAACTAAGCCAGTGTGGTGTAGTGGTTAAGAGCGGTGGACTCGTAATCTGGTGAACCAGGTTCGCTTCCCCGCTCCTCCACATGCAGCTGCTGGGTGACCTTGGGCCAGTCACACTTCTCTGAAGTCTCTCAGCCTCACTCACCTCACAGAGTGTTTTTTTTTTGTGGGGGAGGAAGGGAAAGGAGAATGTTAGCCACTTTGAGACTCCTTCAGGTAGTGATAAAGCGGGATATCAAATCCAAACTCTTCTTCTTCTTCTTCTAGGAAGTGAGGAGATTGGCTTTTGCATAGGGTGAGCAAATTGGGGGCATGAGCCACAGATTTGGCCCTGAAATCCATTTCAGTGGACGCGGATTCCTCAAGGGTGTTTCTGAGCATGTTCAAAACGCCCTTCTTTCTCCGGTTTATTCTTACACCTCTTTGTTAACGCATGCATGAAGCAACATCTGTTTGCGTATGAAGTCAAGAGAGAGGCTGTCGACACAAATGACAGATGCAACTGGGTCCCCCTCCCCACTTTCTCCCCTACTTCTGCTGAATCCTCACTCGTGACGCCATTCCTATGCACTTTCCCAATGCCCCTCACTCAAAACTGCCTATAGATTGCCCCTAGGTCTATAGGGGTTGGAAGAGACTGGGGTGATGAGGAAGCTGAGAAGCCCCGGAAAGATGGTGTTGTAAACAGAGGCCAACCAGAGAATATTGAGAAGCAAAGCAGCTCGTGAGCTTGATCTTTATTGATCTGTTGCAACAGGGTGCTCCTCTCACTCACAGGAGAGGAGGAAGAACCCAGAAAAATAGCACGCAAGGCCTTATAAAGACTTTTGAAATTGCCACCCTGTAGATCAAGACCACCCCCAGAAACATCATACATACATCACAAAAAAGGCGGTCTAAAACAGAAATTTGAATGTTGTTTTTCTCCTGTCGTTGTTTATCTCCTGTCTGGCAGGTTACTTGATTGGATTTCCTGGGGAGCCTGCCCATTCTTTTGTAATGATAAATACTTAGTTCCTGGGTCAGGTCACAGGCTCACAGCCTATTCAAACACAGACATATCCTTAAGACAGGATTTGTGAAGGAAAAGACAACGGGAGGTTTCCCACTTTGACCTTGCAGAGAAAACATTTGCTCAGTTTAGGCTTCAGGTCGGTCTTCCTGTGCTGATCTATGTACGTGCGGTTATGAACATTACCATATATCTAAGACCTCAAAATTCCTATCACAGATGGGATGAGAGTGGAACTCGACATGTGATTCCGAGCTGCGATCCTGCATTTGGGGACTAGATTGCGACCCTGCAATGATTTTGTGTCGGCAGCAACCAAACACGTCTCCATTTTGTTGGAATCCGCTTTGCAGTTGTTCTGGAGGGCTAACAGGACTCCATCTCCACACCCTCCTCAAATTTTGCAAGTTGACTGTTCAAGTCAGCCTGGATTTCTGTATATTTTGTCTCTGTCGGACTGGAATAGCTTGCTGTCCTGGTTCTTCTGGTGGGGAGAAGCTGCCCTTCTCCAGGGATTTGTCCTGGCGTCTCTCCAAGGCCTTTTCGTTGAATTGTAGAATTAAATCGCATAATCGTAGTGTTGGAAGGGAACACCAAGGATCTAACTCCCCAGTATAGGAATCACAGCTAAGGAATCACTGACAGATGTCAATCCAGCCTCTTTTTAAAAACCTCCAAGGAAGGAAAGTCCATCACCTTTTGAGAGAGTCTGTTCCGCTGCTGACAGCTCTTGCCATCCAAATGTGCTTCTTAAAGTTTAGTAAGAATCCTCTTTCTTGTCAATTGACAAGAAATATAATAATAATAATAATAATAATAATAATAATAATAATAATAATTTTTATTTATAACCCGCCCTCCCCAGCCAAGACTGGGTTCAGGGCGGCTAACACCAGGTATAAAAACAATTGATTGAAATACAACTTAAAAACAAGATTAAAACACAACATTAAAATGCAGCCTCATTTCAGTAGGAACTCAAATCAAAAACTTTTTGGGGGATGAAAATGTCAAGTCTTCACCAAGGCCAGGTATCCAGACTGGTCCTACTTGGGCCAGGAAAAAAAGCCAGGGAAGTCCCCAAATAGACTATGACTTTCCTTGATCTGGACACTCGACTTGCGTTGATGCAGCCCAGAGCTGCGTTTGCTTCCACTTTCATTTTCCAATTCCCACCTCTTCCCCCTGCAGATGGAACCATCGTCGACGCTCTGGTTCTTGAGGCTCCTTACACCAACATCCGGGATGCAGCTGCCACCATCCCCGTTACAAAAGTAAGATTTAGTGCTCTTCTTTCGCGGCCCTCTTGCTGCCACTGAAACAGCTTGCTGAGCAACTCTGTAAACAGCGGGGTGTGCCAGCCGGCAAGCGGTTTTAATTTCTATTCTCTTTGGCCGGGGTGGGGAACTTCAGCCCAGATAGCCAAATATGGCCTCTCAGTGTACCTTGAGCAAAAGTCAAATGTAACATGACAAGAGGCGTTCTAGGTCACACCATTGGTCCAGCATCCTGTTCTCACAGTGGCCACCTAGATGCCCCAATGGGAAACACATAAGCAGGATCCGAGCGCAAGGATCCTGCGGGTTCCAGTGACTGGTATTCAGAACCATTGCTGCCTTTGACCAGAGGATAGCCATTGTGGCTAGTAGCTGTTGATAGCCTTCTGCCCCATCAATTTGTCCAATCCTCTTTGAAAGCCCTCCCAAGTTGGTCGGCACCACTGTTGCGTTCTGAGGCCAAAGGACAGGACTGGACCCTGATTAAAATAAGACGCTTTGACCGGCAAGGCTCTCGGAGGAAGTGCGTGAACCACACCCCTAACCAGGCCATTATATTAACAAAAGAATCCTTCACACAGTGCTCGCGAGAACCAATCATATTTCCCTTGAGCATTTCATCAAACCCCACGTGGGAACAAAGTTACACTACAACGCTAATTAGCATGCATATATTTTGGGGTAAATAAGTTGAGAACTACAAAGGGGAGCATCTGGCAACCCCAGAGGTGAGAAATATACATGATAAGAAGGATGGCCAGATGGCCAGAAAGACAGGATCATTATCACCTTCATGTGAGATCTGTTTCCTGGCTCCAAGATTAACATTTTAAGATTAACAATCAGAAAAGCTACATCAAAGAAACTGCCCATAGTCTTAGATAACCCAGGACTCTTGCCTGTCTGTCAGCGTATGTGACTTGTCAGGAAAGAGAAATGGAACAGGGATGCAGAGGTGTGGATTGATCAAGAATCATATCAAAATAGTTTAAACCCAGTCAACGCAATGCTTTCATTGCTGACACAGATGGCTTACTCTATATTTGTTACAATTCCTCATAGCAATCCCACCTGATCGCTACACCCCACTGCCTCCTGCAGCAGTGAGTTCCGCAGTTTAATGATGTGCTGCGCGAAGGAGTGCTTTCTTTTGCCTGTCCTGAGTTGGAGGCAGTGTGCCTCCAAGTGCCAGTTGCTCCGAATAGTGCTGGAACGTCCTGAAATGCAAGACTCCCCTTCGAAAGTGGCGACCTGCCAGCCTCTTGGGAGGCTTCTGTTTACACAGGGCTTCCCATGATCTCTCAATCTGCATCTCGTGTTTTCAATGCTGTGCTGTTTTAATGAGTCTGTCTTATCATGGACATTTATATGCTAGTTTTGTTGCGTGTTTTAATTATGCTGTGTGGTTTTGTTTTGTTTTAATTATTGTGCCTTTGTGCCATTGGTTTATGTGCTTTGCAAACTGTGTGCGTAAATTAAAAACAAGGATGATCTAAAGGCCTTTTCTGGACCACCAAATGTACCGTATTTTTCGTGCCATAAGACACACCCAACCATAAGACGCACCTGGTTTTAGAGGAGGAGAACAAGAAAAGAAATGTTCTCTCCCTCTCTGCTCAGCGCCTCTTCAGCAAAGTGGGAGGAGAAATGGAAGGGACTCCCTTTCTCCTCCCGCTTCGCTGAAGGGGTGCTGCACAGAGAGGGAAAGCTGTGCAGCGCCCCTTCAGCGAAGCGAAACCAGGAGAGCAAGAGGGATCGATCCCTCTTGCTCTCCTGGCTTCAGCAAAAGCAACGCGCAGCCTCCGGAGCGCAGTGGGAGCGCTCCCGCTGCGCTCAGGAGGCTTCGGGCGGCTATCCCTAAAGCCTGGCTTCAGCGAAAGCTGCGCATCCTGCATTCACTTCATAAAATGCACACACATTCCCCCTTACTTTTTAGGAGGGGAAAAGTGCATCTTATAGAGCGAAAAATACAGTAATTACCATTGGGAAAAACCTAAACCAGGGGTTGGCAACCAAAGGCCCATGGGCCACAAGCAGCCCCCGGGGGTCGTTTAACTGGCCCATGAGCTGTCCCCGAACTGAGCCACCCTCTCTGCGAGTCCCCGTGTGCTGTGCTAAACCAGCACAGTGTGGCACAGGGACTCGCTTTTGCAGCGCCAGAAATCGCATCTGCGCAGACACAGAGGGCAGAAATTGTGCCTGTGCAGACGCAGAAAATCGCAGGCGCATGTGCGCTCCGGCCCACGGATAATAATAATAAAATAATAATAATAATAATAATAATAATAATAATAATAATAATAATTTATTATTTATACCCCGCCCATCTGGCTGGGTCCCCCTAGCCACTCTGGGCGGCTTCCAACAAAACACTAAAACACAATAACCTATTAAATATTAAAAGCTTCCCTGAACAGGGCTGCCTTCAGATGTCGTCTAAAAGTCTGGTAGTTATTTTTCTCATTGACATCTGGTGGGAGGGCGTTCCAAGGGCGGGTGCCACCACTGAGAAGGCCCTCTGCCTGGTTCCCTGTAACTTGGCTTCTCGCAGTGAGGGAACCACCAGAAGGCCCTCGGTGCTGGACCTCAGTGTCCGGGCAGAACGATGGGGGTGGAGACGCTCCTTCAGGTGTACTGGACCGAGGCCATTTAGGGCTTTAAAGGTCAGCACCAACACTTTGAATTGTGCTCGGAAACATAGTGGGAGCCAGTGTAGGTCTTTCGAGACCGGTGTTATATGGTCTTGGTGGCCGCTCCTAGTCACCACATTCTGTCTAATTGTAGTTTCCGGGTCACCTTCAAAGGTAGCCCCACGTAGAGCGCATTGCAGTAGTCCAAGCGAGAGATAACCAGAGCATGCACCACTCTGGCGAGACAGCCTGCGGGCAGGAAGGGTCTCAGCCTGCGTACCAGAGAGAGCTGATAGACAGCTGCCCTGGACACAGGGCCTCCCTGGACCTGTGCCTCCATGAACAGCTGTGAGTCCAGAATGACTCCCAGGCTGCACACCTGGTCCTTCAGGGGCACAGTTACCCCATTCAGGACCAGGGAATCTTCCACACCTGCCCGCCTCCTGTCCCCCAAAAACAGTACTTCTGTCTTGTCAGGATTCAACCTCAATCTGTTAGCCACCATCCATCCACGGAGGGATCTCCACTGGAGTGAACCAGCCCAGGCAAGGTAAACCTTGCTGACCCCTGACATAAATACTCAGCCAGAAAGTATGTTATATTTGGAACGTGGACTCCTCTTGCCACTGATATTGCAGCAATACAGACCCACCCTGCCTCGCACACGTTTGCTTTGCTGACACATTTACTGGGGCAATTTCACAAAGGCATTTTCCATCCATGGAAAATGTCCACCTTTTTTCAGGCTCTCTGTTCCGCTGCGACTTCTTCTAATGAGTCACCTGCCCTTTCTTGAAACAGATCTACCGCAAGTTTCCTGGCTTTGACTATCTGATCTTAGACACAATGGCTCTCGCGGATATGATCTTCCCAAACGACAAAAAGTGAGTCCGAAAGGTGCCACGGTGGCAGCGAGGTGGTTCTGTTTGGGGCACCTGTCCCTGTAGAAGTCTGTGTACACTTGAGCAAAACAGGTGTCCTCTTATTTTGTTTTGTTTCATAAAAGGCATGCATCGCTTAACTGTAAAAACAAAGCAAATCCCTTAAAGCGGTTTACAAAGAGAATATTATCATCATTATTAACATTTCTATACCACCTCTATCCTCCAAGGATCTCAAGTCGGTGCACATGGTTCTCTTGCTTCCCATTTCATCCTCCCAACAAACTTGTGAGGCAGGTTAGGCTAAGAGATGGTGGCTGGCCCAAGGTCACCCAGGGAGCTTTACTGGCTGAGTGGGGATTCGAACTCTGCTCTCCAACACCCTTAATCATTACGCACACTGGCTGTTGTTGTAACAAAAATTGCCCTTTTTCCCTTATGGGGTATCCAAGAGCCCATATAGAGTCCTTACATAGGTTCTCCATCGGTAGGAGAAGATAACAGAGGCCAACCAGAGAATATTGAGAAGCAAAGCAGCTAGTAAGCTTGATCTTTATTGATCTGTTGCAACAGGGTGCTCCCCTCACCCGCAGGAGAGAGGAGGAACCCAGAAAAATGGCGTGCAAAGCCTTATAAAGACTTTTGAAATTGCCACCCTTTATTTCAAGACCACCCCCAGAAACATCATACATACATCACAAAAAAGGAGGTCTAAAACAGAAATTTGAATGTTGTTTTTCTCCTGTCGTCGTTTTTCTCCTGTCTGACAGGTTACTTGATTGGATTTCCTGGGGAGCCTGGCCAGTCTTTTGTAATGATAAATACTTAGTTCCTGGGCCAGGTCACAGGCTCACACCCTATTCATATCTTAAATGTGCCCTTAAGACAGGATTTGTGAGGAAAGAGACAATGGGAGGTTTCCCACTTTGACCTTGCAGAGAAAACATTCGGTCAGTTTAGGAATCAAAATGGTTTCAGTTTGGTCTTCCTGTGCTGATCTATGTATGTGCTTGGTTGGTACACTTATGAACATTACCATATATCTAAGAGCATAAAATTCCTATCACAATGTTCAGTGAAGACAACTCTTTAAAACATTCGAAAGAGAAACTCAGCAATAAATATAGAAAAAAGATTAAAATATCCATCAACATTCCACATTATGGAGTACCGTATTTTTCGCTCCATAAGACACACTTTTTTCCTCCTAAAAAGTAAGGGGAAATGTCTGTGCGTCTTATGGAGCGAATGTGTGGTCAGTCGCTGGCTCCCTTTCCAGCCCCTTGCCCAGGCCTCCATTGTTGAATGTTCTGCAGACGGAGGCTGTTTGTTTCCCCAGCGACATGGGACTGGCTGATTAGATTACCTGTCTGGAAACTGTAGAAATGGCTCCCTTTCCTAAAGAAGCTGCAGAACTGTGAGTTGAACCCCATAAAAAGAGGATTTTTCCCCTTTGCAAAAGAAGCTGCACAACTGTGAGCTGATCGCCCCCCGAAATTGGGGCTTCCCCCCTCTAAAAACTAGGTGCGTCTTATGGAGCAAAAAATTTCGTCTTGCACAGTTGCCTTCTCGACTGCTTCGATCTGCGGATCTGGCAGTGTTATAGGCGCAGCGCAATACTCGTTGTACACATTTAGTGTGGTGGCAGCTACACTTTGAAACTCCCTGCTTATTGACAGCTGTCTTTGCTGTACGGTTTCCAGCACCTGCGGAAAACCTTTTCGTTTAGGCAAGTCTATCCAGACACGTGGAAGTTACATGTGTGTTTTTTAGGTTATCGTTGGTTTTAATTAGTGTTTGAATGTTTTTTTAAACTGTCCTTTATAGATACAGCGGTACCTTGGGTTACATACGCTTCAGGTTACATACACTTCAGGTTACAGACTCCGCTAACCCAGAAATAGTACTTCGGGTTAAGAACTTTGCTTCAGGATGAGAACAGAAATCACGCGGTGGCAGCGGGAGGCTCCATTAGTGGTGCTTCAGGATAAGAACAGTTTCAGGTTAAGAACAGACTTCTGGAACAAATTAAGTACTTAACCTGAGGTACCACTGTATATTTTTTTTAAAAAAATAGATTTTTGGTAAACCATTTTGAGGGTTTGTTCCAACCAAGTGGTATTCAAATTTTCTTAAATAACTAAAAATTGCAATTTAATTTGGGAGGCATCATCCTTAAGGCACAGGTTGGGGAACTGTTTTGGGGTCTGCGTTCACCCTTGGTCGTCACCCCACTGGGGTCCACATGCCAGCCAAAAGGGCCTGACCAAAATGGGTTTTACCCCTCACTCTTGCAGACTTCCTGTATGTATGCAGAGAGAGACAACCCTCCCCTCAGGGGATCTGTAAAAATCAGATGAGGATGGGGATTATGACTTCTTGCCTCATCACCAAAGGATCAACCTGATGAGAAATGATGAACAATTTTTGCGGCTTACTGGGTCACTGCCCTGCCCAGCCCTGCCCTTTAGAATAAAAACCATGTGGTACTTCTAGACTCTTAAATCTGTTCCCTGCTTGGTGGGGCTGCTACCACTGGAAAATTATATTGGAGACCAGGTGGGCCATCAGGAAAGGTTTTGTAGCTGGCCTCACACTCGAAGAGAGAGAGGGAGAGAGAGAGAGAGAGAGAGAGAGAGAGAATGCCTCTTCTAAGATTGTTCTACATCACATCTAAAGCTAAAGTATGACTCTTGCTTAAAAACTATTTTTTTAAATTGCTCCCGTGCAAATTTAATTGATTTAACCAGCTTCTCGGCTAAAGTTCCACCTATTTCGTAAACCGTCTTGTGATTTTCAGATGAAGTATATAAATCTAATCATCTCGTGTTCTAATTTTCCAAATCACTTTGGGAGCCAGGGTTTGGCCAAAGATGCAGGATAAAACCAGAATAACCAAATGCTTGTTGGTTCATTGCATTCTGTCTCCATCTGCAGTGTCCAATTGTTGTCCAGTCCTATCCTGATCATACATTCAGAAGATGATGCGATCATACCAATACAGCAGGGAAGAAAGGTAACAAAGCCTTTGTACTATTCTAATCTTCTTTCTTCGTTTCTTTTAAAAGTGAGAAGGCAATGCAGCCGTGGAACGAAGCCTCCATGGTTATCTGCTCACTTAGCCAGTAAAATGGTGGCAGAGTGGGGTGGGGTAGGGGGGCAGAACTATGGATTATTTTCACAATTACAAAGGGCTCCTTTTCTGGTCACCTGGGGACACAGTTCTCCTCGCCCTAGGCGAGCGACTATTCGTCATTCCCATTCTAGGGCTGAAAATGCAAGGTCAGATAGATTACACTTTCAAACTGGGCTAGGGAACCTTTGTCCCTTCTGGGATTGCTGGACTACAGTTCCCATCATCCCTGGCTCTGGGCTATGATGGCTGGGACTGGCGGAAGTTGCAATCCAACAGCCATAGGTCAACTGGTCCCCATGCGCTGCTTTAAAACATCCTTTGCAATTACTGCCTTGAATTCCTTGTTGCTTAGTCATTTCCTGAACGTTCAAAGCAACCTGCATTTATTTCAGAGGGACCAGGGTGCTCATTTTGAGAGGGAGTGGTGAATGGGTTGTTCACTCTACATATAATTTTTTTAAAAAACGCTGCAACATGCTTTGAACCTTTTGAAGAATGGTGGCATCAGAAGTTTTAAAGTCAGGGCCAAGTTGGAGGTGGGGGATTCCGACAGTGGAAACGAAACCACAGGCCGATGCCTTGCCTTGCAACCGCAAGGTGTCATTTTGCAGGAAGGATAGCGATGAGACTGTCAGAACAGCATGCTGTTTCCTATTCCAGCTCACAAAACGTGCCGTGTGCCACTGCAAGCTCTCTCAGCCCTAACCTACCTCATTGAGATGATAAAATGAGGGAAAGGGGGGGAGAACCTTTGGAATCCACCATGAACTCTGTGGGATAAAACCATAATAATAAAAAATCACAAGTTGTGTGTCTCTGTTTCTCAGTTTGATCCTTTTACAGGTATTGTATGTATTGCAGTTAATAGTTCCTCATCATCCTGGAAAAAAGCGATAAGTGGGGTATCGCAGGGTTCTGTCCTGGGCTTGTTGTTATTCAATGACTTTATCAATGACTTGGATGAAGGAATTGAGGGGATGCTCATCCAATTTGAAGATGACACCCAACTAGGAAGGGTAGCTAATGCTGCAGAAAACAGAACCAGAATTCAAAATGACTTTAACAGATTGGAGACCTGGGCGCAAGCTAACAAAATGTATTTCAATAGGGACAAATGTCAGGTTCTGCACTTAGGCAGGAAGAGGTAAAGGTAAAGGGACCCCTGACCGTTAGGTCCAGTCGTGGACGACTCTGGGGTTGCGGCGCTCATCTCGCTTTATTGGCCGAGGGAGCCGGCGTACAGCTTCCGGGTCATGTGGCCAGCATGACTAAGCCACTTCTGGCGAACCAGAGCAGCGCACGGAAACGCTGTTTACCTTCCCGCCAGAGCGGTACCTATTTATCTACTTGCACTTTGATGTGCTTTCGAACTGCTAGGTTGGCAGGAGCAGGGACCGAGCAACAGGAGCTCACCCCGTCGCGGGGATTCGAACCGCCGACCTGCTGATTGGCAAGCCCTAGGCTCTGTGGTTTAACCCACAGCGCCCAGATGCACAAATATAGGATTGGGGACACCTAACTTACTTGCAGTACATGTGGAAAGGATCTAGGGGACTTAGTGACCATGAGTCAACAGTGTGATGCAACAGGAAAATCAACGTTCATGCTATTCTAGGCTGCATCAACAGTGTCCAGGTCAAGGGAAGTAATAGTCCCACTCTATTCTGCCTTGGTTAGACAACACTTGGGATACCGCGTCCAATTCTGGGCACCACAATTTAAGAAGGATGTTGACAAGCTGAAATGTGTGCAGAGGAAGGTAACCAAGATGATCAAGGGTCTGGAAACTAAGCCTTATGAGGAAGGGTTGCTGGGTATGTTTAGCCTGGAAAAGAGGAGACTGAGAAGAGATATGATGGCGATCTTCAAATATCTTAAGGGTGGGAACATGCTTGTTTTCATCTGCTCTGGAGGGTAGGATTCGAACTAATGGCTTGAATCAAGTGGCAAGAAAGGAGATTCCGACTAGGCATTCAGAAAAACTTTGTTCAACTGTAAAACAGCTCTTACTGTCAGACTCCCACGAGAGGTTGTAGTCTCTCCTTCCTTAGAGGTTTTTAAGCAGAGGTTGGATGTGTTGGGAAACTGTGTACGTGCAGCTACTCACACAGAGTCAATTAAGGTTTGGCAGACAGCCAGAAGGCAATCTGAAGGAGTAGGTCTGCCTGGTGATAACAGAGTCATGCAGACTTCTCCCTGAATGGTCAAGCTCTTTCAAGGGAGTGATAATTAATGAATCATAGAATCATAGAATCATAGAGTTGGAAGAGACCACAAGGGCCATCGAGTCCAACCCCCTGCCAAGCAGGAAACACCATCAGAGCACTCCTGACATATGGTTGTCAAGCCACTGCTTAAAGACCTCCAAAGAAGGAGACTCCACCACACTCCTTGGCAGCAAATTCCACTGTCGAACAGCTCTTACTGTCAGGAAGTTCTTCCTAATGTTTAGGTGAAATCTTCTTTCTTGTAGTTTGGATCCATTGCTCCGTGTCCGCTTCTCTGGAGCAGCAGAAAACAACCTTTCTCCCTCCTGTGACATCCTTTTATATATTTGAACATGGCTATCATATCACCCCTTAACCTTCTCTTCTCCAGGCTAAACATGCCCAGCTCCCTTAGCCGTTCCTCATAAGGCATCGTTTCCAGGCCTTTGACCATTTTGGTTGCCCTCCTCTGGACACGTTCCAGTTTGTCAGTGTCCTTCTTGAACTGTGGTGCCCACAGTTCAAGAAATGGCCTACTAACTGGAATGAGTTAGTTCAGGAGTTCAGAGTTCTGTGTGTCAGTATAGGAGTTGTGAGTCGTGTCAGAGAGAGCTAGCTAAAGATCCGTGTTCTGTCCCTGTAAATAGTCCACTGTATATAATAAACACCTAACTACAAGTTCCTGGTTCCTGCTTCGTCTATCCTGTCTGCAGCCAAGTCGCCATTTGCTTCCGTGGATTCTGTGTGTACTCTGCTAGGTCTGGCTAAGGTCCTGCAACTAGTTAGAAAGTTGAGAAACACCAAATAGTTTTTACCAATAAGATGGCCATCTGTCCTGGATGCTTTAGCTGAGATTCCAGCATTGCAGGGGTATGGCCTAGATCAAAGGTCAACTACCTTATTCGTGGATGGGCTGGTCGACGCTCCGTCTGTCGGAGGATGGGCCGAAGCGTGTGCGCATGCCCACTCTTCTGGGTCGGAGGAGCACCTGTGTGCGTGCGCACATGCTATTTCCGGCACACATCCGGGTCAGGAGAGCGCCCATGAGCATCCACACAGGCGCCATCAACCCAGAAGTTGGTCCCCGTGTCGCTAAGAGTGGGCAGTGGCAGGGGTCGCCATGGGCCAGTGAGACAAGCCTTGTGGGCCGCTACCGGCCCATGGGCCTTAGGTTGCTGACCCCTGGACTAGATGACCCCCGTAAGATTCTATGAAACTAAGAAACCTGCCTCATTCGTTCCCTTACAGCTCTTTGAGATTGCATACAATGCTTCGGAGAAGAAAGAGAACGTCGTGTTTATTCCTTTACCTTCTGCTATGGGCTTAGGACACGACTACATTTCCTTCCACCCTGATCTTGCTGGCATCCTGAAGTAAGTGGGCGGAAAGAAGAGAAACGCTTTTGCAGAATGGGGTCCCTGACCCCCGATTTCCCTTTGACACTCTGGGGGCTGGGATGCAGCAGGGAGCTGGGCTCACGCAGCTGCCTGCTCCAGCAGAGAGGGGGATGCGCAAATTTGCTGTGCTGGAAGCCCAAGAAGCAGCCTTTAGCCCAGGCTATTTGCCTTGGCTCTTTGCAGGAGGGAGGACCTGTTCTTCATCACTCCTGCACCTTGAAGAGAGAGACTGTCCAACCCTCCTGCCCTGCCCATTAGCAGTTGTTGTTGTTTAGTCGTTTAGTCGTGTCCGACTCTTCATGACCCCCTGGACCAGAGCACGCCAGGCACTCCTGTCTTCCTCCCGCAGGCCTCCCGCAGTTTGGTCAAACTCATGCTGGTAGCTTCGAGAACACTGTCCCACCATCTCGTCCTCTGTCGTCCCCTTCTCCTTGTGCCCTCCATCTTTCCCAACATCAGGGTCTTTTCCAGGGAGTCTTCTCTTCTCATGAGGTGGCCAAAGTACTGGAGCCTCAGCTTCAGGATCTGTCCTTCCAGTGAGCACTCAGAGCTGATTTCCTTCAGAATGGAGAGGTTTTTTCTTCTTGCAGTCCATGGGACTCTCAAGAGTCTCCTCCAGCACCATAATTCAAAAGCACCCATTAGCAGTATAACCTCAGTATTTTTTAAAATAACTCCGTGATCATTGCAGAAATCAGTACGGCAGGCGGAGGGAACGTGTCTCTCCATTGCATGACCAAGGAGATCATGCTTAAATGCCACGGCAGCACATGGGCCTGTTATGTCAAGACATAACACCGGTCTTGAAAGACCTACATTGGCTCACAGTATGTTTCCGAGCACAATTCAAAGTGTTGGTGCTGACCTTTCAAGCCCTAAACGGCCTTATCCCATAATACCTGAAGGAGCATCTCCACCCCCATCATTCAGCCTGGACACTGAGGTCCAGCTCCAAGGGCCTTCTGGTGGTTCCCTCAACATGGAACCAGACAGAGGGCCTTCTCGGTGGTGGCGCCCTCCCTGTGGAATGCCCTCCCATCAGATGCCACAGAAATAAACAACTATCTGATGTTTAGAAGACATCTGAAGGCCGCCCTGTTTAGGAAAGTTTTTAATGACTGATGTTTTAATGTATTTTTAATCTTTTGTTGGAAGCCGCCCAGAGTGGCTGGGGAAACCCAGGCAGATGGGCGGGGTATAAATAATAAATTATTATTATTGGGCCTGCAGTCAGTGGTGGCTTTCAGTGGCTGGGCAGCTCTTGCAGAGCTAATGTGGCTTCCTCCATGTTATATTGGAGTTGTATAAGACGGAAGAAACCACATTGGCTACACTTGACCTAGGTCATGGGTCAGCAAACTTTTTCAGCAAACCATGTGGGGGGCCAGACTATTTTTTTTGGGGGGGGGGATGAACAAATTCCTATGCCCATAAATAACCCAGAGATGCATTTTAAATAAAAGGACACATTCTACTCATGTAAAAACACGCTGATTCCCGGACTGTCTGCAGGCCGGATTCAGAAGGCAATTGGGCCGGTTCCGGCCCCCGGGCTTTCGTTTGCCTACCCATGACCTAGGTGATGGGGAGAGATCCTCAGAGGTGGCTGGTCCCCTGCAAGTGGTTCCCTTCCCCCAATTTAAAACAAACAAACCTTCCATATTTACTGAAATGGCATATAGGTGCACCCACGTACACAGAGTGTACTCTTCTGCCCAAATGTTGCACCAGAGTTTACGAAACTTGGGACTACAACTCCCATCATCCCTAACTAGCAGGGCCCGTGGGTCATGGATGATGGGAGTTGTAGTCCAGAAACAGATGGAGACCCAAGTTTGGGAAACCCTGTCCCAGCCTAAAGACAGCCTAAGTACAGGGCCGTCTTACCCATAGGTGCTAGGGGTGCGGGGTACCCGGGTGCCGGGCTCTCAGGGGTGCCAGGCTGAGAGTCTGGGGCCCAAGAGTTGGGTCCGGGGAAGAGCCCTCCCATTGGTTGAAGCGCTGTGGTGGGCTCTTCTGCTGCGGGCTTTCCTGCGCCGTGAGTTTGGGGGCAAATTTGCACCCCGGCGCCGCATATGCTTAAGATAGCCCTGCCGAAGTAGATACCCGGCATGGCCCCTGGTTGAAGGAATATAAATCATGCCTCTTTGTTTCCCTCCTGTTCCCAAACAGAAACTTCCTCCAGAGTGTTAAGTGACAGCAGCAACGCAGGAAGAGAACAGCCGCTGTCACCCGCAAGGAACACTGCGCCGTACTCCAGTTCAAATTGCTACAGATAATAAAACGAGCCATGAACAGGAAGAGTGGATTTCGTTTTTATTTTACCAGGTGAATTTTCAGGAATGCAAGATTTGTGGCGTGGACCCGGGAGACAAGAAAGCGGGGAGACAGGAACACAAACTGATGCATGCAGCCCTTGCAAAGATGTGGGGTTCGCTGCTTCTTTTTTGTATTAATGCACCTAAAAGTGGATATTTTAAGCACTACCTGAGCAGGACACTCTCTCTCCCCTTCTTAGCGCATCTTTCTCACTGCACGTAAGCAGCCGGCATGTACTTGCTGAGCACACCTATGGCATTGAGCACATAGCACCTGCTGCAATACCTCAGGGTATCCGTTAAAAGCACTTTGGTCCAGTGACTGTAGGACAGATTATAGGGCTCAGCCAGAGGTCCTTTTGCACCCCACTTTCCAGGCACAGGTCTGTACTTTAAAGCTCCGCATCTGAGTGGGTGGGGTTTTTCCCCGTCCCAGTGCTTCTCCTGGGAAAACCCACATTTTAATTCCAAATCAGAGCAGATAATAAGCTGCAGAAAACCCGACTACCATTTGCCAAACAACCCAAAACAACAGGCTCAGAGACAGAGCTTTGAAATGCAGAAATGGAGTCTGAATATCCTCCTAGGCAAGTTGGAGCAGGGGCCCCTTTTTGGGGGGGAAGACCCTTGGCCACAAGATGGCTGAGACAGCAACATTAAGACCCCCAGGGATTCTGCTGCCACCATTTTCGACACACCTCTCTCGCCAGACAGGTCCCACACCCTCTGCGAAGGGTTTATCTGATGGGTAACCAATGCCTTATCTTTTAAAAAGAGATGAGGATGCAAAAGAGCAGCTCGTTGACTCGATCTTGCCATTGGTCCCTCCTGGAAGCTGGTTTTGCAGGAGGTTCAACAGCAGCCCCATCCTGGGAGCTTCGGAAAAGAGACTTAGGACTAGGAATTCCCAGGCTGCCAAGGGAAGGGGAAGGGGAGGGGGTTCATGACACTCAGAAGTGCCCTTCAACTCGCTTTGCACTTCTGCAGAATTCACGGAATAAGTCAGATTCCCCTTTCAACGCCAATAAAAGCAGAAAGAAAAAGAGCCCACAACTTTTAACTACTGTTAGCGTCACTAAACAAGCGTGAGCCTGCCTCGCACAAAGCACACAGGACCGCACACTCACTACTCAGGTAGAGCTAACTCCCCGGGGCTCGTGCAAACTCAGACGTGCATCTTTTCGGACGTGTCGTTGGCCAGCATCTCGTCCGCCACGTCCCGGGGCACATTGGGGGGCGGGATCTTCAAGTCAGAAGGCTCCACCCCCCAGATGTCCCGGGCATACTCCTTAATGGTCCGGTCGCTGGAGAACTTCCCGGAGGCGGCGATGTTCCTGATCACCATTTTGGTCCACTCCTTGGCGTTCTGAGAAAAGGAGATAGGCCAAAAAGAAGAAGCTGACTTGAGAATCGCAAAGGTCTCATTTCCTTTTTCCCCCTTCAATTTTTAAAATTATTTTCCCCCCAAAATTAAAACAAACAAACAAACATACATCCTATTTGTAATTAAACCAATCTTGGTAACATTGTTAAGTGACTTCCTCAAATCCCCCTGGTTACCGGGGAGTCACCAAAGGACACCCTCCGGATCACCAGGTCCTCAGAACGCCCGATCTGAGTTTTTTCCGGGGGACCGTGACACTCTTGCAGTCTCCTCCTGTTTCACAGCGCTGGGGCTCTTTCAGCTGAAAGAGCTCCCGTCTGCCATTACTGGGCGACCAACTGGAAGTCTCTCATTTCCACGCGCATAGTTCTTTCTGACTGCTCAACAAAACCATCCGGGCCAAAGCGATGGTTTGTTTCAAGTTCCAACCTAACCCAGCCCCAAGTTTGATGGCAGGGAAATCAGACAGAGTTTTACCTGAAGGAGCGTCTCCACCCCCATCATCCAGCCCAGACACTAAGGTCCAGCTCCAAGGGCCTTCTGGTGGTTCCCTCACTGCAACAAGTGAGGTTACAGGGAACCAGGCAGAGGGCCTTAGCTAGGAACTGTAGACCCCTGCTTTTCAAAAGCCAAGCCATGAACCCCCTTCTTCTGAAAATGTCGATATCTCTGTAGTAGTTCTTGTTTTGTGAATGGTGCCAACATGTCTCAGAGCAAACGTACGTCTTCCGGGCTTCGCTCCTGTGCGAGTCACGTGACCCGTGCAAGCACACGGCGCCCACAGTCAGTCGATGGGTATACGCCATGGACATCAGTTGGGGTTTGCAGACCACCAATTGGGAACCACTGTTCTAGGTGGTTATCTTGCAAGAAGCAGCAAGAGGAGAACTACATAGGAAGTGCAGCATGTAGAAGAATCTCAAAATATAGGAGTGAAGGAAATACTTCACTGTACCTGCAAGGAGGGATTTCAACTATAGGAGGCAGGAGGGAGAACATGGCCAATGGCCAGGAACTAAAGGAGTTTTAGTGCAGCAACACCTGGAGGGCCACAGGTGAGTCACACCTGAGCTACAAGGATGCTGATGAAATAACCACAGGTGATCAAGCATGGAGTTAATAAGCACACCCAGGAAACTACAAAAGGCCACAGTTTACTAAACACAGGTGTGCATGGGAGACATAAAGTCTGCAGGCTAAACAACTTGCGTATTTATGGCTAGACTAGTGTTTTCCCCCCTCTCTTTCTTTTAAGGTCCCAGGGCAGGTCACAACATTAAAACATAGTATTAAAAGCAGGCTTAAACAACTTACAGCCACAAATAATACACCTCAGTTGTCCAAAGCCAAGGTAAAGAGGTGAATCTACAGCATTCTCCGGAAGCTGTATAATGAAGGTGCCAGACACACCTCTATGAGGATGGAGTTTCACATCTTAGGGGCCACCACAGAAAAGGTCCTCTCACCCTAGGCTGACACCCCATAGTGTCTGAGGGCAGGAGAACTACGAAGAGGACCTCCTCTGCTAGACTCAGCACCAGAGATGGTCTGTAGGGAAGGAGGTGGTCCTTATATATTTGGGACCTGAGTCATTTAGGGCACTAAAGGTAAAATGTAAAGGTAAAGGACCCCTGGATGGTTAAGTCCAGTCAAAGGCGACTATGGGGTTGCGGCACTCATCTCACTTTCAGGCCGAGGGAGCCAGCGTTTCTCCGCAGACAGCTTTCCGGGTCATGTGGCCAGCAGGACTAAACTGCTTCTGGCGCAATGGAACAGAGTGCATGTAAATGCTGTTTACCTTCCCGCCGAAATGGTACCTATTTATCTACTTGCACTGGCATGCTTTCGAACTGCTAGGTTGGCAGGAGCTGGGACAGAGCAACAGGAGCTCACTCTGTTGCGGGGATTCGAACCGCCGAACTTCCAATCGACAGGCCCAAGAGACCCAGTGGTTTAGACAACGTGATCACCTCGAATTGAAAACCAGCACTGCTGTTTTAAAACAGGGGTTATAGAAGGGAACGCCCAGTCAGGAATCTGGCTGCTGCATTTTGGACCAACTTCCTCTCCTCCCTGCTGTCCCGGAGGACCATGCATATTGGGAGAACTCCAGAAAAAGGGCCGTGGTGGCGGCAGCGGCGTAGCGTGGGTTGTCAGCATCCGGGGCAAGGCAAGTAATTTGCGCCCCCTAACCCGGGGCAAGGCAAGTAATTTGCGCCCCCTAACCCGGGGCAAGGCAAGTAATTTGCGCCCCCTAACCCCTAACCTGCCGCCGCTGCCAGCTTCTTCTTGCTGCTGCCTGGGCTGGTCTGGTCTGGTGTGGTTCTCTCCCACGCTCAGCGCTGCGCTGGGCGGCCGCTGCACTGTCCCTCCCCCAGATAGTCCCTCGCTCTCTCTCCGCACCGCACGCCTGGCACCCACCCCCTCCACAGTGGGCGGCGACCCAGCGGCTCGGATCGGATTCGCACAGCCAGCACTGCAGTGAGAGAGAGTGAGTGAGCCAGGTAGGGGCAGAGAGCTGCGAGTGCGAGCGCGCCCCCCCAGATGTTGCACCCGGTGCGGCCGGCCCCCCCTGCACCCCCACGCTACGCCACTGGGTGGCGGCGGCGTGGGGCGCCTTCCCTCTCATTCCATTTCGGAGAATCTGGGAAGGTTAGCAATGGTATGAGGCACCCCTAGGCTTCCTTCCAGCCTCTCCCAGCACCTCGCTTGAAAGCACTTCTTACAAATGTGGAATGGGCATTATGCGGTGCCTGGAACGGGGCCAGTTTGGTCGATCGAAGCGAGTGCGTTGACACAGGGTAAGGTGATCTCAGGAGACCGCTGGCAGCAGCAAGACACCCTCCGCCCAGCTTACCATGTAGAGTTGACTGACGTTGTCTTGACATCTGACGTAAGCTTCATAGTCTGCGAAGACTTTGAACCTATTCGAGGAAGGAGTCAGAGTGGGCGTTAGAGGGGCTTGTGCCTGAACAATGAAGACCCTATGCAGGGCCATTTATTAATTTTTTACACAGAAGTAGAAAGGCCTCAGGCCAGCATCAAAGTCCAATGTCCTGTCAAAATAGAAACAGGGTCCTCAATGTTAGAATTCCTGCTCCATGACTGCAGTCATGGGATTGTTGTCTTTCACATGATGGTGTATGTTTTGACTCCACAGAGTGGGAAGTGATGGAGACAGGATGTTTGTGTTACTGTGTTCCGTGAAGCGGGACTATTGTCCTTTGTTCTTTTTCTCTTTGCTGTCTGATGCTGGAGAGAGAGGGAGCCATGTTGCAGTGCTCCGTGTGTGTTGATATGTAAATAAAGTAGATTAGCCAAAATGCAGAGTTGCTGAGGTCTGTTACGCAATGCTGTGCAGACTCTGCGGATCCCTAAGTGTGCTGATGTCTGTTGGCATCAGTCGCTGTGATGTTCAGGCAGAAGAAAGCTTTTGAGCTCCCGAACGATCGACCAAGAGGGAGGGAACATGCCAGTGGGCATGTGTCTCTGCCAGGGTCCTACTCAAGTGTAGGCTGAACTCCTGACACTCAATAGGCCCTGACATCAGGAAGAACTCCCCCCTTTCTCTTTTTTATTATTAAATTAAGAATTAATCACACATAATCATAAAAATGTGCTCCCTGAGACCATTCCATTATAGCTATCCAACCTCCCAAAATTCCAACACCTCTTGCGATGGTTTGACCCCTTTCCATTTTAACAGTACAAATTCTACAAACACCCTCCGTATCTCCTCAAAATCATTTCTCCTGCGTATTCCCCATCTTACCTTAATGGCACATGTTAATTTATCATTAATAGCTATATCCCAAACCTATTTGTACCATTCTTCCATTTTATTTTCTGCTAGCCCCTTCCACTTCCTAGCTGCAATAACTCGTGCAGCCATCAATAAATTTGGGAGCAAGTCTTTCTTAGCCCGTGAACCTTCCACCCCATCATAAATTGTGCTACCTCTGGACTTTTGGTCAGCTTTAACCCCGTGATTTCTGCTATCTCCTTAAACACCCTTTGCCAAAAAAAATTCTACATATTTACACCCCAGTAAGAGCTATTCAACAGTGGAAAGGTCTCCCTCGGGAAGTTGTGGACTTTCCTTCCTTGGTTTTGAAGCAGAGGTTGGATGCTTTAGCTGAGATTCCTGCATTGCAGGGGGTTGGACTAGATGACCCTTGGGGTCCCAATTCTATGTTCCTTAAACTTTTTCCAGAGTGGAGGGTCAGGGAAAGCAGACCCTGCTGCGATTGAGGCACACAGGCCAGGCAAGTTACAGAGTGTGGCACAAGCAACCGTTAGCCAAAGCTGTCAACAGGTTTCTGCAAAGGGGTCTCCACTCACCGGTCATGGTGGAACAACATGTTGACCAAATCTTTGAAAAGGTCGGGCTCTTTTGGTGAAAAGAATCCACTCTTGATCTGATCCATGGCTTGCTTTAGCTCAGGAAGCCTCTCGTAATATTCCTGAGCTTTGTACCTGACGGAAAGAGAGAGGAAAACCTTTAGCACACATATTGAAGATTACCGATGGCCATGTATATTAAAATAATAATAATTTATTATTTATACCCCACCCATCCATAGCTGTCAACCGTCCCTTATTTGGCGGGAAACTCCCTTATCCCAGCGCCGTGCCCCACTGCTGTCCCTTACTGATGATGTCCCTTAAATTTCCCGGGTTTCAAAGGAAGCAGCTCCTCTCCCTCCCTCCCTGCCGGCCAGGAAGGAGGGAGGCTCCAACTGTGTTGCTTGGCCTCCTCTCACCAGCCTCAGCCCCCGGGAACACCTCCCCGCCAGGACTGGCGGGAGCCTCAGGCCCTTCCACCACCATCCTCCTCGCGGCCACCGAACTGAGCGTCTCTGCCTGGGGCCTCCCCTCTGTCCGCTGCCGCCGCCGCCGCTAGGCTGTACTGCGGCTGCGCCACCGAAGGACCCAGATGAGATGGGCAGCCTGGCATGGTCTATGAATTGATGAGGAGCCTTGAGAGGAGAGCGAGGGCAACCATAGAGAAAGCAGTTCAGAGGGAGGAGGAGGAGGCGGAGGCGCAGGCAGGTGTGCCAAGGGCTACAAGGGAAGGACTGCAAGCGCTTCTCCCACAGATTTGTAGTGGTAGGCTAGCATAGATGGTCTGATCTGTGGGTTTACTTCGGCCGCTTTTTCCCGCCCCGCCTGATGGAACTGAGAGCTGCAGATGGAGCACGAGAGAAAAGATACAGAACTGCAGCAGCATCTTCGTAGCTTGGACTTTGTTTTGTGCGGAAAGTGGTTGCTGCTTGTAGTTATTTAATGGCAGTGTTTCATCAGCTGGTGTCTTGAGCAGCAACCTCTGGAAACGAAGGGCTAAAAACCGACGCTGCTCTCCAAAATTATCTGGTCCCTTTTAACTTCGTATTTCAGCTGGCTGGCTAAAATCCCTTATTTTGGCTGCTGATCCCTTATTTTCAAGGCTGTTGGTCCCTTATTTTCAAATCTGTAAGTTGATAGCTATGCACCCATCTGGCTGGGTTTCCCCAGCCACTCTGGGCGGCTTCCAACAGAATATTAAAATACAACAGTCTATTAAACATTAAAAGCTTCCCTAAACAGGGCTGCCTTCAGATGTCTTCTAAAAGTCTGGTACTTGTTTTTCTCTTTGACATCTGATGGGAGGGCGTTCCACAGGGTGGGCGCCACTACCAAGAAGGCCCTCTGCCTGCTCTGTTACGTGCTCCTGGCTTTGCAGTCACAAGACATCCTCAGCTATCTCATTTTGTTATACCAGGAGGGGCAGACATGTGAACTCCCTTGATTTGGTGGGGAAAATCTGTTGGAAGTTTAGCAGCAGGGATCATTTGGTTTGTAACTTAAGGGTTAATTATGTTCATGTGAAAGCCAACTAGTCAAGATGGGGATAGGTGGAAGTATTGTTTCACACGGAGGAATCACATTTACTGAGGCAGCACATGCTCTGACTGGCTGTGCAATTCGGAGGGAGTTTTCCTCTTCAATTTATACCGTTTTTGTTCAGTGATGTCTGGTTTTCGCATCTATCCGGACGCCACCTGTATTAGGCAAAGTAACTTTGCCAACAGAATTGCCATAACAGCCACCTCCAAAGTGTAGGGTAACTCAAATTATTGAGCAATTATTGATCTGCACATTAACATATGCAAGGGGTCAAAAATCTGATCTTACCATAAGCAAAACCTCTGGATTTTCTGTGCATCGGATAAGATCCGATTCAGTGGGCAAGATCAAATTTTTGCAAGGCACAACTGTGGAGCAATGAGAAAAGCTCTTGGAACCGGGGCGGGGGGGGGGATTCATCGGTGACCAATCCAATCAAAATACAGGTCAAGCGAAAAGCGTGGGCGAGACCTTTGCTTCTGCCATACTCACCCTCTCCGGTCCAGCTCAGCCACATCCTCCACTCTCATGCCAAAGATGAAGAGGTTCTCTTCTCCAGCCTCCTCTGCCATCTCAACGTTGGCACCATCCATCGTCCCAATGGTCAGGGCCCCGTTCAGCATGAACTTCATGTTGCCGGTGCCAGACGCTTCGGTGCCTGCCGTGGAAATCTGCTCCGACAGATCTGTGGCGGGGATCACTGCCAAGAGAGTGCAATTTTAGCCATTCCTGCGGTCCTTAATTATTATTATTATTATTATTATTATTATTATTATTATTATACATTTCTGTCACAGCCAACCATGACGGCTCGCAGCAGGTAATCAGGAAAAATAACATGCAGAATCAAACAAGCAACTTTGTTATATGGACATATCAAACCGCCTTGCACACAGAGGAGAGGGAAGGGTGTAAGTCAGTGGGGCAACTGGGGAAAAATGTCCCAGTTTCAAATTCTGTCTCTTTCCAATTTAAAGGCTGAGGGAGAGGAATCTGCGAGTTTGCCAAGGAGTTGATAAGGTTCAGTACTGAGTTATTTGAAGTTCGACAGCTTCTTCTCCTTCCCAGGCTGAGAGAAAAATGGAGAAAACAGGATATTTATTGGGACAGTGTGATTTCGGCAGCTGCTGCTAAAGTTGCAAACAATGAACCACGGGACAGAGCAATGGAGAACTTCTGAAACAACAATGGGATATTAGCTCCACCCAAGGCATGATGGAGAACAGCAACAACCAGGAAAAGATAAGACGTAATATTTTACAAGGACAGGAAGAAACATTACAGACAGAATAACTGCCACTCACAGGAAGAACAAAGATATAGTTTGAATGCTTCACCTGTAGCTTTATAAATCATTCAATGTGTCAGTACAAATGGAAGTTGTTAAAATTGCAGTTGCTGTATAAGGGATTTAACGCTATTTTGACTTGAGAGTAATTGAAATTTAGAAGATTTTGGAACACAGAAATAAAGTAAAGCATCAATTCTAGCACGTGGGAGGCTACCTAAATTGTATAATTTGGCATCTGAATTATTGGTATTACTAATTGTATTATAATTTGGCTTTGTTATAATGAGGCTATTGTTGGATTATTGTAATTGAAAACTAATAATAATAATAATAATGATAAAAGCTGAGAGAGAAACTGTTAAGCACCTTTTCTGCCCAAGAGACAATTCAGTAGCCTGACCTGGTATAACACTGTTTTCTTTTACACAACACTTGGGGAGACAGGCGAACTAATACCAGTATACTGGAAGAAGCAAAGATCACCAGTGCTGAAGCAATGATTCTTCAACATCAACTTCATTGGACCGGTCATGTTTTTCAGATGCCTGATTATCATTTTCCAAAGCAACTACTCTATTCCGAACTTAAAAATGGAAAGCGTCATGCTGGTGGTCAACAAAAGAGGTTTAAAGACTGTCTCAAGGCAAATCTTTAAAAATGTAGTATAAACACTGACAACTGGGAAACACTGGCCTGCGAGCGCTCCAGTTGGAGAACAGCCTTTACCAAAGGTGTCATGGGCTTTGAAGACACTCAAACTCAGGACGCAAGGGAGAAATGTGCTAGGAGGAAGGCACGCTTGGCAAATCCACACCGCGATCAACTCCCACCTGGAAACCAATGTCCCCACTGTGGAAGGACGTGTGGATCCAGAATTGGCCTCCACAGTCACTTACGGACTCACTGTTAAAACCGTGTGAGCTGGACCATAAAGAAGGCTGATTGCCGATGAATTGATGCTTTTGAATTCTGGTGATGGAGGAGACTCTTGAGAGTCCCCTGGACTGCAAGAAGATCCAACCTCTCCATTCTGAAGGAAATCAGCCCTGAGTATTCACTGGAAGGACAGATCCTGAAGCTGAGGCTCCAAGACTTTGGCCACCTCATGAGAAGAGAAGACTCCCTGGAAAAGACCCTGATGTTGGGAAAGATGGAGGGCACAAGGAGAAGGGGATGACAGAGGATGAGATGGTGGGACAGTGTTCTCGAAGCTACCAGCATGAGTTTGACCAAACTGCGGGAGGCAGAGGAAGTCAGGAGTGCCTGGCGTGCTCTGGTCCAGGGGGTCACGAAGAGTCGGACACGACTAAACGACTAAACAACAACAACAACAACATGGAAGACAATCTTACTCGGCTACAAGTGATCGCCAAAGAAGAAGAAGAAGAAAGTGTTGGAGTAGGACCTGGGAGGGACAAGGGTTCAAATCCCCATTCAGCTATCAAGCTAACTGGGTGACCTTGGGCCAGTCGTTGCCTCTTAGCCTAACCTACACCACAAGGTTGCTGTGGATATTAAATGAGGAGGGAGACAACCATATATGCCACCTTCAGCTCCTTGGAGAACAAGGCGGGATTATAAATTCAATCCATCATTCCATTAAATGTTTAAGGTCTGTTAATGAAGCTCTACTGCAAGCCCTCTGTCACGTGAAGACTGGATTCCGCAAAAAGAAATGGACCCAAGTTACTCGTCGTCATCAATTTAAATGGTTCTTCTCTGAGCAGAACTTAGTTGGATACAACCCAGTGGGCCCCAGAGCCGTCCCCCTTCCTTCAGTTTCCAGCAACTGGCGTTCAGTTGGAGTTGAACAATATCTAGAGGACCACAGATATGTTCTCCCGCCCCCAACATTTTAGTCAAAGGAAGAGGGACCCACCAAGAACAGGAAAAACGTCGTAGGGAAAGCCAATGAAGCACAAGTGTGGTTTGAAACACATTTTGACTCTTAGGCACATTTGCCAGGAGAAATGATGCAAGGCTTTTAGACGCCAGCTCTTGCCAGCGACGGACGATGCTGGCCTTACCTTTCTCAGCCAAGGAGACTCTGTAGTTTTCCAGGAAGATGACCTTCAGCTTGTTCCCCACCACAGGGTCGTTGTTGACTACGTGGCCCACGGAGGTGATGAGCTTGATGATCATTTTGGCCATGTGGTAGCCAGGAGCAGCCTGCAAGGAGGGCAGAAACGCAAGCGCTTAGAAGGAGCAGTGGCAGCTGGTGTAGTGATCAGGTGGGATTGCTATGAGGAATTATAACAAATATAGAGTAAGCCATCTGTGTCAGCAATGAAAGTATTGCGTTGACTGGGTTTAAACTATTTTGATATGATTCTTGATCAATCCACACCTCTGTATTTCTCTTTCTTCACAAGTCACGTACCCACTTAGAGAGGCAGGCATCCTGGGCCATCAAAGACAGTGGGCAGTTTCTTTGCTGTAGCTTTTCTGATATGTTAATCTTAGGATGTTAATCTTCGGGCCAGGAAACAGGTTTCACATAAAGGTGATAATGATCGCTGTCCTCCTGGCCATCCTCATCATGTGTATTGATTGTTTATGACCTCCGGGGTTGCTGAATGCACTCCTTTGTAGTTTTCATTCACTTACCCCCAAAATATGCATGCTTAACTAGTGTTTGTAGTTTAACTTTGTCCCCACGTGGGGTTTGTTGAAATGCTCAGAAGAAATCTGATTGGTTCTTACGAACACTCTGTAAAAAGCTCTTTTGTGAATAAAACGACCTGGGCCGAGGGGTGGAGGCACGCAGAGATTATTATATGCACCCTTCCCAGAGTCTTGCTGGTTCAAGCCTCTGTGTGTATTCTTATTAATCAAAGTTCAATCCTTCCTTTATTTTGGAAACGCCTCAAGCTGGGCATCCTTGTGCTTCCCCCTAGCCTCCCTGAAGCCAGGACCCTCCAGATGCTTTCTAGATGTATTTTTTGTTGTTGTTTAAGCAGACTTTTCAGCTGCACAAATTCCCCATCAACACCTCACACTCTCCTTTTGTGGTGGTGGTGGGTGGTCACGACAGAAGTACATGAAATTATGCTTTAGGGAGGTGTTTTTCTCATTCTCCCGTAACACTAGCACTCTGGATGGGTAGTAGCATCAGGAGAGGTGAAGAAATGTATTCCTCCACACAGGGCTTAATTATTCATCGGTGGAACTCTCTCCCACAAGATGTGGTACGTTGGCCACTGCCAAGTCCAAGGCAGGCAGGCAGGCAGGTAGGCACTTCCAAGGGCAGCCCAAAAGGGGCACCCCAGCAGATTCTAGGCTGTCCCCTCTCGAAATGTGCAGCGCAAACCCATCGCTTACTTTGCCGCCAATGATCACCGTCCGGGGCACAAACAGCTTCATGGGGTCTCGCTTGATGCCTGTGGGAGAGAAAGGAGAACACAAAATGAGAGCCAGTGTGGTGTAGTGGTTAAGAGCGGTGGACTCGTAATCTGGTGAACTGGATTCGCGTCTCCGCTCCTCCACATGCAGCTGCTGGGTGACCTTGGGCTAGTCACACTTCTCTGAAGTCTCTCAGCCCCACTCACCTCACAGGGTGTGTTTTTTTTTTTGTGGGGGAGGAAGGGAAAAGGAGATTGTTAGCCACTTTAGACTCAAGAAGGCTGATCGCCGAAGAATGGATGCTTTTGAATTCTGGTGCTGGAGGAGACTCTTGAGAGTCCAATAGACTGCAAGAAGATCAAACCGATCCATTCTGAAGGAAATCAGCCCTGAGTGCTAACTGGAAGGACAGATCCTGAAGCTGAGGCTCCAAGACTTTGGCCACCTCATGAGAAGAGAAGACTCCCTGGAAAAGACCCTGATGTTGGGAAATATGGAGGGCACAAGGAGAAGGGGACGACAGAGGATGAGATGGTTGGACAGTGTTCTCGAAGCTACAAACATGAGTCTGACCAAACTGCGGGAGGCAGTGGAAGACAGGAGGGCCTGGCGTGCTCTGGTCCAGGGGGTCACGAAGAGTCGGACATGACTAAATGACTAAACAACAACAACAAAAAGGGGAGTGAAAGGCTCCAAACTCTTCTTCTTCTTTTCCTCCAAGACACCTAGAAGGTGAGGCTGTCACTGCCTACTAACCACAAATGCCCAGGATGCCCAGCTGCCCCCGTGCCCGTACTCACGGTTGTACATGGTGATGATGTGCAGGCAGTTCATGAGCTGCCGCTTGTATTCGTGGATCCTCTTGACCTGGACGTCAAACATGGAAGCCGGGTTGATCTTCACCTTGTATTCCTTCTCCAAATACTGGGCAAATTTGACCTTGTTCTCCTGAGAGGGCAGAGGGAAGGTGCAATCGCTCAAAGCAGCAGCAAATATAACCAGCAAGGCATGGTCTGAGGGCACCGGATGCAGCAGCTCCCTGCCTAATGCCGTTCCTGGGACGTCCTTTTTATTGCGCATTAATGATGCTCTGCGTTCATGACAATATTGGCGCAGTTACACACAACCCTCCTTTTCAACTCCGTTTGCACCTGCAAATGTTTCAGAGCCAACATACACTTCCTTTCCCAACCGGGGTCCGTCCCTCAATCTCCTGCCGAAATCCCGCAACTTTTCATAGCACAGAAGTTTCCTGGGGCTTTCCGTCCAGTTTTGCTGCCTTGTAATGCAAGGCTGCCCCCCCACAAAGGTAACATTTGGGGGAAGCACCGCAGAGCGAAGAGAGTGGAATCGTGTGTGAACAGTGTTGGATTTACGTATAAGCTAAACAAGCTCTAGCTTAGGGCCCCACTCTCTTGGGGGCCCCCAAAAAATGTAAAGAGGGGAAAAAACTGGATGTACATTTCCAAAATATAAGATGAAAAACAAATAAAATAAAACCTATATACAGCAACAGTGTTTTGTGTTGTGTAGGCTCCTATGATGTAAGTCATGGGCCCCGCCTGCTAGCCTGCTCCCTAAAATATCACTGCTTTCCTACTTTTTTATATATAGGGTGCCTACATTCTGCATGGACTGGTTGCACAGCAACTTGTGCAACCTATTAGGTCCATCAATTGCCATGTAGCACATACTCAACACAAAAACAGCGACAATTTGTTGTTGACAAAGGACAACTGGATATACAAAGAGCCCCATTACCTTCAGTAGCTTAGGGCCTCATCAAACCTAAATCTGGCCCTATGTGCAAACAATCCAGTACAGTGGTACCTCAGGTTACATATGCTTCAGGTTACATACGCTTCAGGTTACGTACTCCGCTAACCCAGAAATAGTGCTTCAGGTTAAGAACTTTGCTTCAGGTTGAGAACAGAAATTGTGCTCCGGCGGCGCGGCAGCAGTGGGAGGCCCCATTAGCTAAAGTGGTGCTTCAGGTTAAGAACAGTTTCAGGTTAAGAACGGACCTCCAGAATGAATGAAGTACTTAACCCGAGGTACCACTGTACAAATCCACCACTAATGTACTACTGCATCATTTTCAGTTTTAAACTGTGTGTCTGTTTGCCATCCTGAGCAAACTTGGGCTCTTTGTAGGAAAAGGTGGGAGATAAATGTAACAATTACTTTTCCCCACATTTACTGACATTATGATTATTTCCAAGTGTTTTTAATATGGTGTTCGTTTGGCATCTTGTGAGCCAACTTTGAGCACTACTGTGGAAAAGTGGAACGCAAGTAAACTGATGGTGACGCTGCTGGCAAGGATCGTGGGCCGTGTGGCCGTCCCCCCCCCCCCGGCCACCACGTTTGCTTGACGTGAAGTCCAGCGTCTCCCAGGAATCTCGGGAGCAGAATCCGGCCTCCTCTCGAGCTGCAAAGTCGACAAGAAGACGCCCAGCTCCTCCACCCGCTTACCTGTTTGACTTTGGACACTTCCCGGATGAAAAGCTCATCGTTGGCAAAGCGGTGGAGCTTCGTCAGCTGGCTGAGGTCCTTGACGTACTCCTCTCCTATTTTCTGTAAAAGAGAAGCGGGGGGCTTGAGGCATCCAGACCACCTGCCTCAAGACAAGCAGCCTTTCCGAGGTATTTGCTCACCTCCCCAAAAAAGACTTTTTTCTGCCTCTTACCACGCCAGCCTTACATGTGCCCACCTGACCACTTCGATTGGCACCACTACAGGCGTCGCAAAACACCCGTTTTGCATTTGTAAGAACTTGATAGTTTAGTGCGGCAGAACTTTGGAACTCCCTGCCTACTGAGATCAAGGAGGTGCCTACGCTGTGCTCTTTTCGGTGCCTGCTAAAAACATTCCTGTTTAGACAAACCTACTCATCACATGCTTAGAAATCTGAGGTTGTCTGGACCTCTTTTAGCATTTTAACTTTTGTATGTTTTGAAGTAGGATTGTGAATTTTCCCTGATTTTACTGTGGACAAGCAGCCGTTTTTAATCCAAAGCATTAGCTATAATCTTTCGTAAATCTTTTGTAAACTGTTTTGAGGTTGTTGCTTTTCACAATCACACGATATATTAGTTTTATGAATGAAATGCATAAATAAATAAATAAATAAATATTTTTAAAAACAGCATGCCTCTGTTTCCCCATGAAAATGGTAGGCAAAGCCCCCAAATTTCATCACTTTGCTACTGTGATTTTCTGGGTTAAGGGGGCTGCAGACCATTTTTTCCTGGAACCAAATGACGCAGAAATGAGCTCTGAATGCATGCTATATTCCAGAATAGAAGTGCCTTTTGCATCATGTGAAAGCTCAAATACAACGTGGAAATTAACAGGGAAATGGAATAAACTGCTGCACAGAAACAGCCTTATTGCTGTCCAAGGTACATCAAGACACAATCCGCCTTGATGGAAACGGTGAGATTTCTGCCAGAGCAAAGTCAACTGCAGGTGGGCTGCCTACCTCTGCAATTAACTCTGCGAGTCCCGGGTTGCAAAGCAGGAGCCACCGCCGAGGGGTGATGCCGTTGGTTTTATTCTGAAACTTCTCTGGCTCCACCTCTGCAAAGTCCTTGAACCTGTGCAGGAAGGAAGGTCTCAGTTCAGTGGCTGGGGAAACCCAGCCAGATGTGTGGGGTAGAAATAATAAATTCTTATTGTTATATCATCAAGATTTCTTGGCTAACAATGCATCATAAGAAGAGTCTTTTGCCGGATCGGGCCAACCATCTCGTCCAGCATCCTGTTTGAACAGTGGCCGATCAAATGCCCCAAAGGGAAACGCACGAGCAGGACTTGAAGAAGAAGAAAAAGAAGAAGAGAAGAGGAGGAGGAGGAGGAGGAGGAGGAGGAGGAGGAGGAGGAGGAGGAGACTGAGAAGAGGAGGTGTCGGAAGCTGAACGGCTAACAAGGCTTGGTGAGCTGGGAGAGTCTGTGTCAGAGAGAAGTCCAGAATCAGAAGCGGAAGCAGGAGAGAGGGAGGCAGAGAGGAGTCAAGCTGGTGAAGAAGTCAGGGTGTCTGCCCCTCTTGCTGCAACACTCTTTCCTCCCTTCTGATCTCCCAGGACCAGGAGAGGTGTGAAGCAGGAGGAGCAAAGACAGTTACGTTGGCATAGTCTCAGATTGCTTGGGAAGGACCTGGGAGAGGAGGTGAGTTTGGCAGTTGTGGGAAGGTGGGGACCTTGGCCTCCACAAATGCTTCATAGGGGGAAGAGCTATTGAGAAGAGTTGTGTGCTTATTAGGCCTGGCACTCCGGAGCAGACCTTGTTTCTTCTAATAAAGAGTTAAAGTGCTCCATGTGATTTATTGCTGGCTCACTCCTGACAATAGACTTATTCTGTGTGTATGTGCTTAAACTTCTGTTATAGCAGGCCAAGTTGACTATTGCTACATCTTTTTGAATTATGGTGCTGGAGGAGACTCTTGAGAGTCCCATGGACTGCAAGAAGATCAAACGTATCCATTCTGAAGGAAATCAGCCCTGAGTGCTCACTGGAAGGACAGATCGTGAAGCTGAGGCTCCAAGACTTTGGCCACCTCATGAGAAGACTCCCTGGAAAAGACCCTGATGTTGGGAAAGATTGAGGGCACAAGGAGAAGGGGACGACAGAGCACGAGATGGTTGGACAGTGTTCTCGAAGCTACAGACATGAGTCTGACCAAACTGCAGGAGGCAGTGGAAGACAGGAGTGCCTGGCGTGCTCTGGTCCATGGGGTCACGAAGAGTCGGACACCACTAAACGACTAAACAACAACAACAACATCTTATAGGAAACACAGTGTGTGTGTGTGTGTGTGTGTGTGTGTGTACACACACTGTTTTGGGGCTGCGATTTCACAGATAGTTTTCACTGTGATTTACTTTTTTATCGCCAATTTTATTGGTCTTTGCATTGCACAATGGGTCTACTTTCTGTTTTCTTGTGCTCTGGTTCAGAGGAAGAGCACCAGACGAAAGGGAGATGATTACAGAAGTTCCTATGAAGTACAAAACAGAAACAAAAACCACCAGACTAAAAATGGGAAGGAAACCACAATACCCCAACAGTCAAGGTACTGACTACAAAGAAACAGTGACCAAGGGAAGGTGGAAGGAGAGAGGGAAATGTTCTGGGGGAAGCTGACCTTTCTCCACAGGGGATGGCTGCAGACATTTCCTCTTGCCCGCTCCCACAATCTGCACGTGCTCAGGAGCTCTAAAGCTCTGTCTTCAACCACCACCCAACTGGCCCAGTGGCAAAGCACCCAGAAGCCCACCTTGGATCTAAACCCTAGTTGCAGATTTTTTCCCACGCCCACCCACTTGGGCCCCGCGGAAATGCCCGCCTGTACTCACACTTGCGACTTGACGATTTCCGAGTGGATCTTGGCGACTCCGTTGACGGCATGCGAGCCCACAATGCACAGGTGTGCCATGTTGATGCGCTTCATGCCTTCCTCTTCGATCAAGGACATCCGCCGGAGGCGGTCAACGTCCTTTGGAAACATGGCTGCGATTCTCTGAGCGGGGACAAGGAGAGCAAGACGGCTCAGGCACTCACATCGCTCCAAAAGGATGCCGGAAGACGCCCAACCCAGTTTCGAAGCTCCCCGGAGAGCCCTCCACCTGACAGCAGAACCTTGAGCTTGAAAGGGGGGTGTCACAGAACTAGTATTTCTGCATTGCAGAGGGTAGGACTGTTAGGATTCTTTCCCCGTGTTGCAGTCATGGGATTGTTTATATCACATGACGGTGTATGTTTTCATTCCACATTGTGGGAAGTGATGGAGACAGGATGTTTTTATTACTGTGTTTCCGTGCTGTAGGATTTTTGTCCTTTGATCTTTCCCCCCGTTTGATGCTGATTAGGAAGGAGCTGAGTTAGAATGCTCCGAGTGTAAAGGTAAAGGGACCCCTGACCATTAGGTCCAGTCGTGACCGACTCTGGGGTTGCGACGCTCTTCTCGCTTTATTGGCCGAGGGAGCCGGCGTACAGCTTCCGGGTCATGTGGCCAGCATGACTAAGCCGCTTCTGGCGAACCAGAGCAGCGCACGGAAACGCCGTTTACCTTCCGGCCAGAGCGGTATTTATCTACTTGCACTTTGATGTGCTTTTGAACTGCTAGGTTGGCAGGAGCTGGGACCGAGCAACGGGAGCTCACCCAGTTGCAGGGACCTTCTGATCGGCAAGTCCTAGGCTCTGTGGTTTAACCCACAGCGCCATTATATGTAAATAATGGGAAGCCGCGCATGCCTCCTCCGTGCCGGAAATTGCGTCTGCACATGTACAGACACCGGAAACACGCTCATGCGCACTCACGCTGTGACCCACGGAGCAATCTCCGTGGGAGTTAAGGGGCCCATGGCAGGTAAACCTTGCTGACCTCTGCATTAGAGTGAGGGCAGGAAGCATGGCCCTCACTCCGACTTGGCTTCTCTTCTCCTCGGTTACACCTGATGAAGCCTGAAGCCAAATCGGAGGGAGGGCAAGCCCTTTTTGAACTCCTCTCTGGCACCCTGTGGGCAAGAGCAAAGCCAATCCTGGAATCCAGTGAGCCACTGGGGAGTGTGAGCTCCGCCCTAGGCAAGCAGGGCAAAAACATCTGCACCATTAAATGGCTCTCTGGGAAATCACTTCCGCTGCCCCCCAAATCACGGCACTGGGCTTGAAAACCAGAAGCGGGGACCACGGCGACACAGCCCTGCTTACGTCCAGGTGCCTCTGGTTGATTTCATAGATGATCTGCAGGTGTCTGGGCAGAAGTTTCTCCACCAGCTCCACCGGCCAGCGCTCAAGGGCTTCAGGGAGAACTGTGTGGTTCGTGTAGGCGAAAGTCCGTGTGGTGATATCCCAGGCCTAGGATTTGTGAGAGTGAGAGAAGGACAGTGAGAAGGGCAAGGAAAGGAAACAGAAGGCTAAAGTAGCTGTTGCAGGAATTTATGTATAGGTTGGGGGGGGGTTTGCCCCTCCAGCAGATACCATGCACATGCAGCCCACTACCAAAACCAGCACCATCGCTTTTGTGACTTTTTTGATTTGTCCCCACAAAACACTTCATCACAGTTTCTTCCTATCTATTCAAAGGGCCTCTGCTGCACGATACCAAATGTAAGAATTCACTGATAAAAGTATCTATGTAGCGGCTCACTAGGAAAACTTCAGAAATTCATATAGACATGTGAGCTCAGCTACTCAGCAGCCCCTCTGCCTGAGTGATAATCCCTGGCATCCTGATACCTGAGTGCCAGACAGGTAGCCATTCCAGAAATAACAAACCCAGATGAGGACAAAAGGGTGTGATTAACTTGGCTGGGAAACAGGGAAATGTAAATATATTTTTTGTTACACTTGATGGGTGTTTGGTGGAGGGCAAGGGGAAGCATGAGGCAGGGTCCAGGATGCTCAGATTACTGCCACCAGACCTCCCCTTTCATGATGTAACCATGATGTATTAGTGATGTAGTTTGGGGTGTGTGTGTAACATGGGGATTAGCAGCAGTTTGGGTTCTCTTTTGTTTGGGGCTTCCATCTTATTCCACCTGGTGGCAGGTGGGAGTCCTGTCACGACAGTCTTCAATAAAGACCGAGCCGACTGGCTGCTGTTTTGCTCTGGTATTCCTGGCTGGTGTCCTTGTTTTTTGTCCAAGGGAGCCCTCAGATTTCTCTGTTAACAAGCTCTGTGGCAGAGTATCTGCTTTGCATTGAGAAGGTCATAGGTTCAATCCCCGATGGGGGATAAAATACGTATTTTAGGTAAATTAAAAGGGGGAAACCTGAACTCAGGGCTTTTTTTGTATGTGACAGCGTTCACTGGAACAGAGTGCCAGTGCCAAGGTTAAAAGGCACCCTGTATTATTTAAACATGGTTCTAGCAAGTTGGCAACTTGAATGAAGCAGAAGCACCGTGGCTAACTTGTGCATTTGGCAACCTAGTAAGCCAATGCTCGCTTGAGACATTTATGACATACCTATTGGCCCGAATATAAGCCGCACCTGCAAATAAGCAGCACCTTTAAAATTTGGTGGCTTCGGAGAGGCTTGGGAGCTGGGATGGGCACTATTGCTCCATGCTCCCAGGCTGCTCCCTGGAGGGCAACTGTGCCAGATGGGAATTTGAAAAAAATAAGTGTGGCTTATATTCGGGCCAATACGGTACATACCCCGCTTTACTACATACAATGCTTTTTAAACTATGCCTCTTAATTCTGTTCTACCCTTTCCTTTGAAAGGAACTCAGATAGACTGAAAAGCTACCATAATAGATGGCGACTGCAGCTCAGTAGCAGTTTGTTCCAACCTTGAAGATAAGGAGTCCTGGGAACTGCTTAGCGACCGCATAGCAGAAAGAATACAACGGGTTTGTGTGTATGTTTGCATGGCTTTTGCTTGCAGAGGCTGCAAACAAAGAAGCAGGTGGGGCAGGTAGATAGGAGGTTTGGAGTTGAAGGTGGAGCAGCGAGGCCAACAGTCTGAACTTTGCAGGACCTATGTCCCCATTCACGCAAAGAGGACTGTACGAGAGACACTTTGACCCCTACAGCCTGGATCTGCAGCAATGAATAATGCTAGTGGCGTTCTAGTTCCTGGGGGAGAGAAGAAGAAGAAGAAGAGTTTGGATTTGATATCCCGCCTTTCACTCCCCTTCAGGAGTCTCAAAGCGGCTAACATTCTCCTTTCCCTTCCTCCCCCACAACAAACACTCTGTGAGGTGAGTGGGGCTGAGAGACTTCAGAGAAGCGTGACTAGCCCAAGGTCACCCAGCAGCTGCATGTGGAGGAGCGGAGACGCGAACCCGGTTCCCCAGATTACGTGACTACCGCTCTTAACCACTACACCACACTGGCTTCATTCTGCTTCATTCTGCACCCCATCTCTCTCTAAAAACCTCTGTGTGTGTGTGCACCCAGGCAGAGAAGGACACAGGGGGAACACCTGTCTGTAGCACCCGCGTGTGGATTAGGGTGAATCTGATTAGCCACAAGAACTCCTTCTGTCCGATTCCCCTTTGCCTTTCTGCAGGCAAACGCTTTGTTAAGGGAGAGGACGGCCTAGTTTTGCAAAACTTTGGTCAGGAAATGATAAAGCTTTTGAACTTCTACTCTTGGTCTGGTTATTGACCCATATATTGCTGTATTGTTTTTAACACTCGATTGGGAGCCACCCAGAGTGGCTGGGGAAACTCAGCCAGATGGGCAGGGAATAAGTAATAAATTACTTTGAGCCAGGCTCACAGTTGCTTATCCTCACATCCTTGCATACATTCCCTTGACACACACGGTGAGGTTGTTGTTGAAAACTTAGCAATCCAGTTCTAAACCTGGTCGTAACACCAATGCCTCTTTTTTTAGCTGCCTATAGTAGCTATTCTGTGCAGGAACCCACAGCAATTATCAATATTTGAGTACTAGCACGTCTTGTTTTAAAAAAACAAAACAAAACAAAACAAAAAGGAAAGTACTATTCGAACTTTGGCAGAGATAGACAGAAATATTTCCATCCTTACAGGTTGTTGTTCTCCAGATAACCGATACATTCCCCGGTGGTGGCAGCATCAATTCCCCAGTATATGTGACCATCTTAGAATCAAAAGACTGAAGAGTTGGAAGGGACCATTAGGGTCATCTAGCCCAACCCCTTGCAATGCGGGAATCTTTCACCCAATGTGGGGACTCGAACCCACACCTCTGAGATTAAGAGTCACATACTATGGTTTTCCCAGTACAGTGGTGCCCCGCAAGACGAATGCCTCGCAAGACGGAAAAACCGCTAGACGAAAGGGTTTTCCGTTTTGAAGTTGCTTCACAGGACGAATTCCCCTATGGGCTTGCTTCGCAAGACGAAAATACCTTGCGAGTCCTGAGATTTTTTTTTCGCTTTTCCCCCTCTTTATCTAATCTGCTAAGCCTTTAATAGCCTTTAATAGCCTTTTAGCAGCTAATCCCCTAAGCCTTTAAGCCTTTAATAGCCGCTAAACCGCTAATAGCGCTAATAGCGCTAATCCGTCAATGGGCTTGCTTCGCAAGACGAAAAAACCGCTAGACGAAGACTCTCGCGGAACGGATTAATTTCGTCTTGCGAGGCACCACTGTAGTGATGTATGGAAGTGAGAGCTGGACCATCAAGAAGGCTGATCGCCGAAGAATGGATGCTTTTGAATTATGGTGCTGGAGGAGGAGACTCTGGAGAGTCCCATGGACTGCAAGAAGATCCAACCTCTCCATTCTGAAGGAAACCAGCCCTGAGTGCTCACTGGAAGGACAGATCCTGAAGCTGAGGCTCCAAGACTTAGGCCACCTCATGAGAAGAGAAGACTCCCTGGACAAGATCTGATGCTGGGAAAGATGGAGGGCACAAGGAGAAGGGGACGACAGAGGACGAGATGGCGGGACAGTGTTCTCGAAGCTACTAAAATAAGTTTGACCAAACTGCGGGAGGCAGTGGAAGACAGGAGGGCCTGGCGTGCTCTGGTCCAGGGGGTCACGAAGAGTCGGACACGACTAAACGACTCAACAACAACAACTCTTGCTTACAGTTAGAGATAAGCGACACGTTTTTAGTTCTATTTGGTGTAAGGCTCACAGGACACCGAAAACTTCTGTTAAGCACACAAGGTCTATCGTCATATATATGCATTCGTTTAGCTTATATGTAAATCCCACACCGGATAGACTAGATGACTCTTAGGGTCCCTTCCAACTCTATGATTCTACAATTCCCTACCACCAGCGACCAGCAGGTGGAGCCATTGTGAAAGACCTCAACTTGGTGGCACCCTTCCCTTGCCACATATTCTTCGCCCGGGAAGTCATTTTTTTGCGAGAAGATCTGATGACGGGGGTGCAGCTGAATGGTGCTACCACGTGCTACCCACGCCAATTCCACCAGCAAAACCTTGTTGTTGTTTAGTCGTTTAGTCGTGTCCGCCTCTTCGTGACCCCCTGGACCAGAGCACGCCAGGCACTCCTGTCTTCCACTGCCTCCCGCAGTTTGGTCAAACTCATGCTGGTAGCTTTGAGAACACTGTCCCACCATCTCGTCCTCTGTCGTCCCCTTCTCCTTGTGCCCTCCATCTTTCCCAACATCAGGGTCTTTGCCAGGGAGTCTTCTCGTCTCATGAGGTGGCCAAAGTCTTGGAGCCTCAGCTTCAGGATCTGTCCTTCCAGTGACCACTCAGGGCTGATTTCCTTCAGAATGGAGAGGTTTGATCTTCTTGCAGTCCATGGGACTCTCAAGAGTCTCCTCCAGCACCAGAATTCAAAAGCATCCATTCTTCGGCGATCAGCCTTCTTTATGGTCCAGCTCTCACTTCCATACATCACTACTGGGAAAACCATAGCTTTAACTATACAGTGGTACCTCAGGTTACATACGCTTCAGGTTACATACGCTTCAGGTTACAGACTCCGCTAACCCAGAAATAGTGCTTCAGGTTAAGAACTTTGCTTCAGGATGAGAACAGAAATCGTGCTTCTGCAGCGCAGCGGCAGCAGGAGGCCCCATTAGCTAAAGTGGTGCTTCAGGTTAAGAACAGTTTCAGGTTAAGAATGGACCTCCAGAACAAATTAAGTACTTAACCCGAGGTAACACTGTACGGACCTTTGTTGGCAAGGTGATGTCTCTGCTTTTTAAGATGCTGTCTAGGTTTGTCATTGCTTTTCTCCCAAGAAGCAGGCGTCTTTTAATTTCGTGCCAAACGTACAGTTGCATCATTCAGATGAAAACATGAAGTTACCATAGAAGAGGCATGGCCGAAATTGGCCCTCCAGCTGTTTTGGGACTACAACTCCCATCATCCCTAGCTAACAGGACCAGTGGTCAGGGATGATGGGAACTGTAGTCACAAAACAGCTTGAGGGCCAGGTTTGGCCCTGCCTGCCATAGAACAATCAGACCCTTGCTCTACTTAGCTGGCCTTGCAAGCGTGGAGGGTGGTGCTGAGCTCAAGTTCTGCTCTTGAGGCTCCCCAAGAGGCACCTGGCTGGCCACTGTTAAAACGGGGTGCTGGACCAGATTGGCCTGATCCCACAACCAGGCTCCAGCCCTTGATCCCTGGAAAGAAACAGGAGCGACATTGAAGACGGTTCCAAACCTTGTCCCACGGTAGCCTTTCAATGTCCAGAAACACTCTCATCAGCTCAGGGATGGCCATGGCGGGATGCGTGTCGTTCAGCTGGATGGCAACCTGCAAATGTAGAAGGAAGAACCGAACAATTCATTTGGACCCCCAAACTGGCCAGTTAGCTTCTAAGAGGAGAGATGCTGGAGGTTAAAGTCTACCTCAGACAGAACTCATTGCTGGCTTTTTCTGCCCCCTTCTCCCAGCTGTACACAGAATGGTTCTTGCTGCTGTGCACATGTCCAGAGGAAATCATCACTACTATATTGTCAGTTTGCAGAAAGTATTGATCTGATGGGTAGAGATCTTTCCTATTCTAATAAATTCAAGGGGGTACTGGAAGCTTCTCTGCGTGAAAGAAACAAGCAGAAGGTTCATGATGTTTGGGTTATACCTTCAGAGAAGCGGAGTACAACTGGTTTAAACTGGTTCTCTTATCTCTTACCTCAACATACTGGGATATTTCCTGCACTAGCATTTAAAATTAAAATTGTCCATTTTAATTTTTTTAAATAAGGCCAGAAGGAGCCTGGGATTCACTTTTCTCTTTCTGTCTCCCTTCCTTCTGGTGTGGTGTTCTGTACATAGTACGCTATAGCGTTAAGGTTTTAGACTTATTATAAGTTATTGTAAGTTTAAGTTAAATCTGCTGCAACTGGATTTCTTATGGAAAATGCCAATCCTGAATGCACTGGATTTGTGACTAATTATGCACATTTGCCTTCAGTAGCAGTAAAGCTCTGCCGGATGAAATACAATTGCCTCTGATCTATTTTTTTGGAATTCTGCAACATGTTTAAGTTTTTACTCTGCTAACTATACGTTGCAGCAGGCATAGGCAAACTCGGCCCTCCAGATGTCTTGGAACTACAACTCCCATCATCCCTGACCACTGGTCCTGTTAGATAGGGATGATGGGAGTTGTAGTCCCTAAACATCTGGACGGCCGAGTTTGCCTATGCCTGCGCTGGAATCTACTCTGGATCAAGACTGAGTCGAATTCAATGACATATATTTGTCATCAGGAGATAGATGGCTCTCGCTCTCTCCCTCTCCCTAGCTACTGATGCGATATTGTTACATAAGCTGCAACAATGTCTGGATATTGTTACCTGATCTGTTAGGGAGCTTTATGCTCGCTAAAAAATTTGAGGTGAGTTAATTGCTGATTTTTATTTAGCGTTATGATGAAGTGACATCGTACTTTTAAATGTATTGTGACTGTACTACAGTACTAAGACCGTTTGGTTTTTATGTGAGTCACTTTCAGGGCAGATGCATATAATGAATTACGTAAATACGGCTGCATACATACCACAAATCTAAAGCACCTTAAAAGAACCTGGCTTCCTGTAATGAATATGGGTTGCTCGTGCGTAAGTTGCCGCCTCTCCTGGCTTTGTTGCCTTGTTAAACCTTTCAGTCTGGACAGCCCTTCACTTCGTGGCTGCCTCAGTCGCTAGCAGAATCCGTCAGTGGGCGTTTCTTAAACCTTTTCCAACATAAAAGTTGTTTGACACCCAGTCTCCTCCTACTCTCTCTGCGCGGAAGTCGTCTGCGCAGGGGCGTGGGTAGCGGAGGACCCGTGCTCTCCCCGCTGGTGTCCGGTGAAGAGTCTGGGAGCCCTCTCGCCGATTCCCCATCTGCCCCCTTTATTCCTGGTGTTGCGCTGAATTGCTTCCCCATCTGCTGAGCTGCCTCTCTCCCTGCTGGGCCCTTCTCCAGCATCATTTGAGAGCCTTCTCTCCGCCTCTAGCTCCGATGCCAGTTCCCTGACACTTCCCCCAAATGCATCCTGGGAATTGAGGTGTGCTAAGGGTGCTGGGAACTGTAGCTCTGTGAGAGGTAAACTACAGGGATTTTGGGGGGAAGCCAGGGGCTTTAAATTCCTGCATTGCAGGGGGTTGGACTCTTCAGGCTCTACAATTCTATGTCATGTACTCAGCCTGCATGACTACATCTTCCAGAGCTAAAACCCTTGCTAGATATGTTCTGGGGCAGAATCCTGGCTCGACATGGCCCCACGGCTGTGCATATTTCACAACCAGATGAAGGAGAGGCGTCCTATTGAATTTCACATCCTCACGGTTGCAAACTGGTCATGTTGTACAGATGCCTGATGATCGTCTTCCAAAGCAACTACTCTATTCCGAACTTAAAAATGGAAAGCGTAATGCTGGTGGTCAACAAAAGAGGCTTAAAGACTCTCTCAAGGCAATTTTTAAAAAAATGTAGTACAGTGGTACCTCGGGTTACAAACACTTCGGATTACGTGTTTTCAGGTTGCGGACCGCGGGAAACCCGGAAGTACCGGAAAGGGTTACTTTTGGGTTTTGCTGCTCATGAAGAAGCATGAATTTGCACTTCATGCATGCGCAGAAGCACAAAATCACATCACGTGCGTGCGCAGACACAGCACTGGAGGTTACGAACGCTGTGGGTTGCGGACGTGCCTCCGTCACGGACATTGTCCGCAACCTGAGGTTTCACTGTATAAACACCAATAACTTGGAACACTTGCCTGCGAGCGCTCCAACTGGTGAGCAGCCTTTACCAAAGGTGTCATGGACTTTGAAGACACTCGAACTCAGGACGCAAGGGAGAAATGTCCTAAGAGGAAGGCACGCTTGGCAAACCCTCACCATGATCAACTCCCGCCCGGGAACCAATGTCGCCACTGTGGAAGGACGTGTGGATCCAGATTTGGCCTCCACAGCCACTTACGGACTCATTGTTGAAACTGTGTTCATGGAAGACAATCTTACATAGCTACAAGGGATCGCCAAAGAAGAAGATGATTTTTGTGTGAAAGCCAACACACACACACACACACAAAACTACCTGGTCTGGAAAGGAATCAAAAGCAGTCCGGACGCTTTCGGTGCTCCCAAATTTGGAGGCTTTGAACCGCCGGATGATGTCCTGCAGGGTTGCAGCCACCACAAAGTATTCTTGCTTCAAGCGCAGCTCCTTTCCTTCGAAAAACTGCAAAGATGGAGAGGAACGTCCCATTGGGAACATTGATAATAAGACACACCAGGCAAGGTACTTATCTGTTGAACAGTGTGGCTTGTCCTAGTGCAGCCTTTGCCATAAGCTGGTCCACCCCCTTTCCAGATGTTTGGGCTACAACTCCCATCACAGCTGGGGAGTAAACTGGGAGCAACTGTGAATTCATTGCACAGGGCGGCTTTGGGGAGAGGACTGCAAATCACTTTGTGTACAAAAATGACTGTAGAAATGCTAAAAAATATACCTTTCATTTCCCAAAGCACTTTAACCTTTACTATTCCGTGAATAATCCAAAGGGAATTTTGGGGATGGACGAGATATTTTATATTTGACTTCACTTAGCAATGGTTTTGGTTTTTGCTTTTTTTTTTTTGGAAACATTTAAGTTTTTGTGGTTTTTTGGGTTAACTTTGTTTGTGTTAAATATGTATTCTGCAGCTGACCTCCTCTGTAATGTTTTATTTTGAAATCTTTAAGATAATATTTTAGTTTTCTGTTAATTATGTTGCTTTGACTGCATACGCCACATTTGACTTTCTTCAATAATGTTTGATTCCGGATTGTTTTATTGGTGTTTTAGTATGCTGTAAACCGCTTTGAGGTTTTTCTTTAAAATATAAAGCGGTATAGAAATGAAATAAATAATAATAATAATAATATTTGAGATGGGCTGATAACCGAAAGAAGTTTGGTGATGAGTCGCAAAAGAAGGGTCTTTGGAATCAGAGGGGACCCAGACGACACATGGCGGCGAATTAAACTTATCAAGCATCTCTTTAACTGCATATCAAAAGTGTTAACTCTGTATTGCCATGGCACTTGTAGAATTTAGCCTCAAGGGGATAACTAGAGCTGAAACAGTTGTTGAAATGATGAACACAAACTGTATGAAGCAGACTAGAATTTTATTTTTTTAAAAAACTAAAAATCTTCTGGGGAAATTAAATGAGGGACTGAGCAAAAATTTTGGGTTTCGCGTAGAGAAGTTGGCCACTTCACTCCATATCCTGACCCCCAAGGTGTGGACTGCAATTTTGAAATGCGAGAGATTCATTGAACTGAGGCAGGCTTGAGTGTTTCGGCACTAGTTAAGGCATTGCAGGGATCTAGCACGATCTAACAGCCAATGAATCGGTTTCAATTTTCAAACCTAGTTGCCTGATTTTTTAAAATTATTTTTTAAGGAAAGAATTGCTGTCGCCACAAGGTAAGCAACTGTGTGCTCCTGGTGAAAGCTGTTCAAAGAAATGAAATTTGGATTTCCAGTCCCTAGAAATCCTGATTCAACCTTCCCCCCCCCCAACCTAAAAAGAATATTCCAAATTCATGGAAAGAGAGGCACGTCCAACTCCCAAGAGACTGACCTACTCCCAGTATGAAAAAACTGGCACTGATCTATCCAGGATTGCACAGAGTTGTTGAGTTTTTTTGGGGGGGAGGCGTCATCAAAGTTGTTGAGGTTTTTTCCCTGTTTTTCCCCCCTTTCTGGCTGGTGATCGATCAGGATCCCATGATCGACAAGGATCGACCATGAACCAGTAGATCGCGATCGACTGGTTAGACATGCCTGCTTTAGTGCTTTACAATGGTCATATTAACACAATAATAGTGGATCAGTGGCAGATTTATTCTGCTTTATTAGTTAATCTGTGATGCTTCCCCGATGCTACCACACTGGGGGCTATTATAGCAAAACTTTGCAGAATCCCACCCCCCACCCCGAACATTTGTGGCGTGAAAAGTTGCTGGATTTTAGCAAGGAGTTACAGGATATTACCAATGGGAAGTGAAGCAGTTTGACCGTCCCAAATCATTCTCAGGCCTAAGCAGTATAGTTAAGTGGGATCACACATGACTGCCCTAAAAGCATTTGGATGTCTAAAGAAAAAAACTCAGTATTATTTCCATCAGATCCCCCCCTCCCCCATTAACAGCAAAGAAGCTAGGCTAAGCAATGACACAGGTGTGAAAAATCAAGACACAAAAAGGATTTCTAGGCTCGTTCTCACAGAGGCAGTAAACTTGTGTAGGCAGTAAACATTTCAGATACTCCTCCATATAAACACACACACACACACCCCTTCCATGCTGACAAATGGCATATCAGCGAGGGCAAGAATCCCTTTCCTTGAGAGGCTAGCTTTCTAAAGGCAGGGACTTTTAAGGTTTGGAGGAAGATCCCTCCCCGCAACGCTCCCTCCACATTCAGGGGGACAATCTGGAGATAGGTTTGCCACCTCAGTGAGAATTCAAGAGCAGGGAGAAGCACAGAAATACGTCACAGGCGAAGGTTGAGGTGGTCAGGGAGCGATGCCAACGAATCTGCCACACCAAAGTTACAGATCTACACAGAGCTCTCCTCACCAGGTGTGCCGGCTGCGGCAGCGAGGGGTGAACAAGACAATGTCAAATGCCTGAAACAGCTCAAGGGCTGAGAAAGCAACAGGAAAACATTCGCACACAAAGGCCCCCCACTTTGTCTTTGAAAAACAACCCAGCACCCTCCTGTTTCAGCAAGCCAGTAACTACTGTATTTCCCAATAACTATTTGCTGCTTGAGAGTTTGAGTGTTTTGTTTCCAGTCCTCATGGTGACGTCCAGGGCCGGATTTAGGTTTGATGAGGCCCTCAGCTACTGAAGGTAATGGGGCCCTTGATATGTCCAGCTGTCCTTTGGCAACAACAAATTGTTGCTGTTTTTTGTGTTGAATATAAGTTATATGGTAATTGATGGACCTGATAGGTATCTAAAACCATTTGCCCATGTTGCCATGCAACCAGTCCATGCAGAATGTAAAGGTAAAGGGACCCCTGACCATTAGGTCCAGTTGTGACCGACTCTGGGGTTGCGCGCTCATCTCGCTCTATAGGCCGAGGGAGCCGGCGTTTGTCTGCAGACAGCTCATGTGGTCATGTGGCCAGTATGACTAAGCCGCTTCTGGCAAACCAGAGCAGCACACGGAAACGCCGTTTACCTTCCCGCCGGAGTGGTACCTATTTATCTACTTGCACTTTGACGTGCTTTCGAACTGCTAGGTTGGCAGGAGCAGGGACTGAACAACGGGAGCTCACCCCGTCGAGGGGATTCGAACCGCCGTCCTTCTGATTGGCAAGTCCTAGGCTCTGTGTAGGCACCCTATATATAGAAAGGAGCAAACCAGTGATATTTTAGGGAGCAGGCTAGCAGGCGGGGCCCATGACTTACATCACAGGAGCCTACACAACACAAAACACTATTACTGTATGTAGGTTTTATTTTATTTGTTTTTTATCTTATATTTTGGAAATGTTCATTGTTTGTTTTCCTTTAAATTTTTTGGGACCCGCAAGAGAGTGGGGCCCTAAGCTAGAGCTCGTTTAGCTTATACGTAAATCCGACACTAGTAACGTCTCAGAGGAACAGAAGTCAGGAAGGCAAAAGACTCTCAATTTGTTTATTAATCTCGTGAGATGCCTTAAGTTTAGGGGGTCCTTAAGAATGAAAAAGTTGCAGGGACCTATTAAATGTTCCACATACTTTGGTGCACATGTAACCCCCAACAATGGTTTGCCATTACATAAGCTGAGTCTTGAGATGCACCCCTTGTGAGCCCTGGTTTCTGCGAATATCGCAAGTAACCGATTCACACACCGTTGACCATCACATCTAACCCGAGAGACTGTTGCTCAGGTGGTCCCTCCAAAACCAACATGGTCTGCCAACATGGCCTCGGCCCAGTATCCCTGAAGGAGTGTCTCCACCGCCATCATTCTGCCCGGACGCTGAGTTCCAGCGCCGAGAGCCTTCTGTCAGTTCCCTCGCTGCGAGAAGCCAAGTTACAGGGAACCCAGGCAGAGGGCCTTCTCGGTGGTGGCACCCGCCCTGTGGAACGCCCTCCCGTCAGATGTCAAAGAGAAGAACAACTACCAGACTTTTAGAAGACATCTGAAGGCAGCCCTGTTTAGGGAAGCTTTTAATGTTTAACAGACTATTGTATTTTAATATTTTGTTGGAAGCTGCCCAGAGTGGCTGGGGAAACCCAGCCAGATGGGTGGGGTATAAATAAATAAATAAATAAATATATAACATGCTTTAGGGACGCGGGTGGCGCTGTGGGTTAAACCACAGAGCCTAGGGCTTGCTGATCAGAAAGTCGGAAGTTTGAATCCCCGCAACGGGATGAGTTCCCGTTGCTCGGTCCCTGCTCCTGCCAACCTAGCAGTTCGAAAGCACGTCAACGTGCAAGCAGATAAATAGGTACCTTTCCGGCGGGAAGGTAAATGGCGTTTCCATGCGCTGCTCTGGTTCGCTAGAAGCGGCTTAGTCATGCTGGCCACATGACCCGGAAGCTTTACGCCGGCTCCCTCGGCCAAGAAAGCGAGATGAGCGCCGCAACCCCAGAGTCGGTCACGACTGGACCTAATGGTCAGGGGTCCCTTTACCTTTACCTAATACATGCTTTGCAATCCTGGTTTGGTGGGATTGCACAAACCACAGTTTGATGCGGCAGCAACTTGTGGTTTATGTGATATTTGCAGAAGTAACCGACTAAACCTGGGTGTGCAAAGATGGGGTGAACACCAGGCACATTCGTGTAAGGCAACCTTCTCCAATCCAGTGCCCTCCAGATGTTGCAGATCACAATGCCCACCAGTCCCAAAACATCTGGAGAGCACCAGGTTGGTGAAGACCAACTGAAGCCCAAAGCACAATCGGGAACAAGAGACAGATGATGCTTTAGTGAAGACCTGTTCCTGTCTGCAGCTAAAGACGCAGGGAATTAAATTGCCGCTTTTGTGGGAGAGGTGAGAGTTGGAGGTCTGGCACTGAGAGCTGCTCTTGCAGAACACTCCAGATGAACATATTTTGAAGCCTGCTTGAGGCAGACTCCCAGCCAAGAACTCGGTGACAAAGCCCATTCCCAGATCTGTTATGAGGACACTTCGTGCATCCAGAATTATGAGCCTGTAAGAAGGCTCAAATCATTTCCTTGTTTGGTTCTGAAAGGCTGACACTCTCCCTCCCTCTCTCCCAAGCAACCCCTCTCACACATCTACAAGAGGAAGGCTGCTTTTCTGCACCCAGGGACTTACGTTATCATTTGGGTAAAGGACGCGGGAAATGTTCTCAGCCAAGTTTCTGTCCAGCACAGCCTGAATGTAATCGCCAACGTTGACTAGGAAAAAGGTTTGGGGAGGAAAAAACAAGCTGTCAACTTAAGAAATCCATGGTGTGTGGCAGGGAGCGTGCAGTCTCAGCTTCCTTCTTGTTCCCCTCCCATCCATCCACCTCAAGTTTCTAGTCCTTTGTAACGGTGACAATTTTCTTGGAAGCATTTGGTGACTAAAATCTCAGGCGGCTGAAAGGCGGCCAAAATGTTATAGAAATTTAACTGTGGCCCAACAGCTGACTTCTTTGAAAAGTGAATCCAGGAACCAGTTGGTCAGAGATGTGGCCGGCGGTGGGGTGGGGAGCGGGGAGCAAGGAGGAGGCTAATGAGAATTTTCCAATCAGCTATCTGACAACAGCTAGGCAGAGCAAGACAGCGAAAAGGGAAAGGAAACAAGGTGGCTATTTCTAGACACTCTGTGACTACAGCCAAAAAAGAGGCAATTTATCCCTATCTCAAACATCCGAACTCGATGAGTGAGATTGGCAGCAGTGTGGCTGGTCATTCCCCAAATTGCTGAGGCTCGTTTGACAACAACAGAAAACCGAACCTTTAGCGCCAACAGCCCTGTGGAACTCTTTCCCACTAGAACTTCAGCCTTCTGGGCCACCTTTTAAACACCTGCTGAAAACCTTTCTGTGGGATGTAATCCACTGGGAGCAGTCAGGTACAACATTCCTTGTTTTGCTAGAGTGGTCATGCAGGGGATGTTGGTCCAGTCAGTTGAACTTCCTGTTACACTTGGCTGGGACATCCTTCCTTGCATGTGACTAGTAGGTGGGCGTGACCTTTCCAAACCCGGTAAAAGGCCAAGTCACGCAACCACCTCCCTCTCTTCATCTTCTTTTTCGTCCTGCGAACTTCCTGATTCACCTGGACTGTTCTGGTGGCCAGCAGTCCCCCAGGTTATCTCCCATATGGGGTAAACCTGTACATATTTGTAACTTTAAGCCTAAAGCCTGCCTTCAGGGATCACACACTGCTCTGCCTGATCATGAGTAAAACTACTTTTTGTTACTTATGAATAAGACTGTTGTGTCTTTATTCTTTTAGGAGGTATCAAATGTGACTTACCGGGAACAATAGAACATATCTCAATCTGGGCAAGCCAGATTGAATTGCTTGTTGTCTTAATAGGCTCACACGAGTTTGCAACCAGCTTTCTGCTGCATAAGTAGGGGAATGTAACTCTGCTATATAAAGAAACATGCTGGTGCAAGTTAGGAAGGATATTAATAATCAATATATCCTCTCCTGCCACCCTCAACATTCCCACACTTTCCAGGCCTACGCAGGCAATTAAGAATAGCTCCTAGTTGTTTTCTGATTTTAACTTCTTGTATATGCTTTGTGTATTGCCCAGTTTTGTGTATAATTGTTGTACAGTGGTACCTCTGGTTGCAAACGGGATCCGTTCCAGAGGCCCGTTCGCAACATGAAAAGCCCACAACCTGAAGCGCAGTATCTGCGCAGGTGCGCAGCGTGATTTGGCACTTGTGCATATGCGCAAAGTGCAATTTAGCACTTCTGCGCATGCACGAGCAGCGAAACCCGGAAGTAACCCTTTCTGGTGCTTCCAGGTCACCGCGGGACGCAACCTGAAAAAAAGTATCATGAAGCAAATGTAACATGAGGTATGACTGTACAGTGGTACCTCGGGTTAAGTACTTAATTCATTCCGGAGGTCTGTTCTTAACTTGAAACTGTTCTTAACCTGAAGCACCACTTTAGCTAATGGGGCCTCCTGCTGCCGCCGCGCCGCCGGAGCCCAATTTCTGTTCTCACCCTGAAGCAAAGTTCTTAACCTGAAGCACCATTTCTGGGTTAGCAGAGTCTGTAACCTGAAGCGTATGTAACCCGAGGTACCACTGTATATGGTTTTAAGAAAAGCAGTATATAAATATTCTTGCGAACAGAACAAAAACGCTTACAGTCGCGGAGGTTGAAATCGTTGGGAGCCCGAGCTGACCACAATCTCATGGTGTTGACCGTGTTGTTCATGTAGCCAGGAATTGGGGTGTCGTAGGGCAAAGCCAGGACCACCTGGGGAGAGAAAAGGCCTAGAGGCATCAGCTTTGTTGAATGGTGCCCTCCCAGGGAGGGGCTGGCCAAGAGACCCCACCACCACCAGTGCCCCCATCCTTTCAGACACAGGTCTCCTTCATAGGAGGGGTCAACATCTTGCAGGGCACCTCTATCGTAACAAGCCAGATTCTGGAGGTGAGCCCAACAAAGGCCATCTAATTGAACAAATGTGCCATTTTCTCATTTCTCCAGTTTTAATTTTTTTAAAAAAAAGTCCTCATGGAAACCCATCAGCCATTTCAGTATGAATTTCTCCCTACACACACACATTTGCAAAGTGGTACCTCAGGTTAAGAACTTAATTCATTCTGGAGGTCTGTTCTTAACCTGAAACTGTTCTTAACCTGAAGCACCACTTTAGCTAATGGGGCTTCCCGCTGCCGCCGCTGCGCGATTTCTGTTCTCATCCTGAAGCAAAGTTCTTAACCCGAGGGACTATTTCTGGGTTAGCGAAGTCTGTAACCTGAAGCGTCTGTAACTTGAAGTGTCTGTAACCTGAGGTACCACTGTATAATGTGTGTTTATGTGTTACTTTCACTCATCTATGCAAGCTCTTGCACACATTATTTGGTTAAACAGTGGCACTGCAAAATTCAGGGCAAATTTCGAATGAAAATCACATTACAGTGGTACCTTGGTTCTCAAAATTAATCCGTTCCGGAAGTCCATTCCAAAACCAAAGCGTTCCAAAACCAAGGCACGCTTTCCTCATAGAAAGTAATGCAAAACGGATTAATCCGTTCCAGACTTTTAAAAACAACCCCTAAAACAGCAATTTAACCTGAATTTTACTATCTAATGAGACCATTGATCCATAAAATGAAAGCAATAATCAATGTACTTGTCAGGGAACTGACATCGGAGCCTGAGGTGGAGGGAAGGCTCTCAAATGATGCTGGAGAAGGGCCCAGCAGGGAGAGAGGCAGTTCAGCAGAGGGGGAAGCAAATCAACGTTACACCAGGGATAAAGGGGGCAGATGGGGAATCGGCGAGAGGGCTCCAGGACTCTTCACTGGACACCAGCGGGGAGAGCACGGGTCCTCCGCTACCCACGCCCTCCCTGCGCAAAAGGCTTCCGCGCAGGGAGAGTAGGAGGAGACTTGGCGTCAAACAACTTTTATGTTGGAAGAGGTTTAAGAAACGCCCACTGACGGATTCTGCTAGCGACTGAGGCAGCCACGAATTGAAGGGCTGTCCAGACAGAAAGGTTTAACAAGGCAACATAGCCAGGAGAGACGGCAACTTACGCACGAGCAACCCATACTCATTATAGTACTGTATTATAAAATAAATAAGATGGTATTGTAGATGATATTATTTTTTCTTATTTGTACTGATGATGGTCATTGTTTGGATGAGGGGCTTTTATCCATTTCTGCAGTCACTCAATCAATCAATCAATCAATCAATCAGTAGTTGAACTGGGTTCCACACAGTCACAAAAACAAATTAACCGAAAAAGCCTCAAAAACAAAAACGCAAAACAGCAAAAACAAAACCGTCAAACTTAATCTGTTCCAGAAGTCCGTTTGACTTCCGAAATGTTTGAAAAGCAAGGTGCAGCTTCTGATTTGGGAAACAATAGCCAACAGCCGCATCGGATGTTTGAAAACATTCGAAAACCAAAACACTTATTTCCGGGTTTTCAGCGTTTGGGTATCAAGGTACCACTGTATTGGTTCAAGAAGTACAAATCAGGTTGTTTCCCATTAAAACAGAAATGGAACCCTATCTATCCCCCTTCCCTACTGGGTGAGGCAAATAAGACCACCCACTACAGTGGTACCTCGCAAGACGAATGCCTCGCAAGACAAAAAACTCGCTAGACGAAAGGGTTTTTTGTTTTTTGAGCTGCTTCGCAAGATGATTTTCCCTATGGGCTTGCTTCGCAAGACGGAAACGTCTTGCAAGTTTGTTTCCTTTTTCTTAACACTGTTAATACAGTTGCGACTTGACTTCGAGGAGCAACTCATAGCACGCGGTGTGGTAGCCTTTTTTGAGGTTTTTAAAGACTTTGGTGATTTTTGAAGCTTTTCCAAAACTTTCCCGACACCGTGCTTCGCAAGACGACAAAACTCGCGGAACGAATTAATTTCGTCTTGCGAGACACCACTGTAACCTTTTTGGCTATGGGGAGTTGAACTTCCTCCCTCCCCACAAGCAAGACCCTGGAGGTGCCCCGTCTCCCAGTACCTGGGTGTCGATCCATCTCACGCCGGTCTGGGTGTGCTCCACCCTTCCATAAAAATGAATGGGAAGCATGTATTCTGGCCGGGCTTTCTCCCAGGGGTTCCCGTGTCTTAGCCAATCATCAGCTTCCTCCACCTAGAAAGAGAAAACTATCAGGATGAGCATGAGAACCAGACAATACCATGTCAAGATCAGTGTCATTCACGGAAATGACAATACGGCACAGAGGAAGAGTTACGCACGAAAACACATATGGAACAGACTCCTTTAGAGTTAGTGTTATATAACCCCTAAATTCACGCCCAGTGTTTGGTTAAGCTTGGAGTTTAAAGAAATGTTCTCATAACATTTTATACAGTAAGAGGACTGATAACAACATGTGAATAATCAAGCATTTTTGAAATCATGACCGCCATTCTTATCCTCCCAAAATATATCCCACCTTCCCTTTAAAACTAGCAGGTTAGTAACTATCACAAGGCAAGTTTCAAGAAAAAGGTTCCCTGCCGATTTGGTTTTGCTTCGAGTTCTTTAAGGCAGACCAACCTATTCTTCGTTCATCTTCACCGCCCCCTTCAAACTCTAGTTTTCTAGCAATTTGTACAACAAGTATGTAAAAAAAATTGGGGAGGGAATTGGCAAGGAACTGAGGACTACATGCTTGGCAATGCTGGTAAACAGTTCAGACCCGGTCTCATTCATACATGCAGCTTTTGCCCATAAGCAGAGGGTGACAAGGAGAACAAAAGACCCAAAGGGATGGGGTCATAGCTGTCAACTGTCCCTTATTTGGTGGGAAAGTCCCTTATCCCAGTGCCGTGTCCCGCTGCTGTCCCTTATTGATGATGTCCCTTAAATTTCCTGGGTTTCAAAGGAAGCAGCTCCTCTCCCTCCCTCCCTGCCGGCCAGGGAGGAGGGAGGCTCCAACTGTGTTGCTTGGCTGTGTTGCTCACCCAATAAGGAGTCTAAGAACGACTGGGGGGTGGAGCTTGCATGCCTTGTGCCAATCAAATCGGCCGCATTGCTGGGGACTCGCCTTTGCTCAGCGCTTCCCAGCGGAGAGGTGACGGTGGTTTCCCTTGCTGCATCCCCTTTGCCGGGTTGCTGCGCTGTGGGAACCACCGCTTGAGGCTTCGTTTGGCTGCTGGTTGACTAAAATCCCTTATTTTGGCTGCTGATCCCTTATTTTCGAGGCTGCTGGTCCCTTATTTTCAAATCTGTAAGTGGACAGCTATGGATGGGGTGCTGTGCGAAGGGTGAAAGGGGGTGGGTTGGAAGCAAAAGTGAAGCACGCAAGAGGTTGCAGGTGCTCCCCCAGGTTTTGTTTCCTTGGAATGAGGACCAGCAGAAACTGTGGCATCTTTAGGATAGGGAGTTTTATTCTATGCGCATATGCAACTTGAGTGCAAGTTAAGAGTGGCTCACAGCAATAAAACCTCAACAAACCTTGCTTAGGGCCCTCGTATCTACGGGACCGCCTCTCCTGGTCTGCCCTGCAGAGGACCTTAAGGTCCATGAATAACCATAGTTTAGAGGTCCCGGGCCTTAAGGAAGTCAGACTATCCTCCACCAGGGCCAGGGCCTTCTCAGGGATGGCTCCGACCTGGTGCAATGCTCTGTCCCATGAGACCAGGGCCCTTCAGGATTTAACCTCCTTCTGTTGGGCCTGTAAGACAGAACTATTCCGCCTGGACTTTAATTTGAATTCAGCCTGATCTTTTATCTCCCTTCTCTTCCCTTCTCTTCCCTCCCCCTCCCCTTTTATGAAGATCACCTGCTCTAAGACCCCACAGCTAATTCTCCCCTGACCACCTCGCTGGCCCAAGTAGGACCAATTCAGCCAGCTAGCCCTGGGGATTATCTAACTAATTTTTTATTTTTATTGTTATTCATGTTTTTATACTGCTTTTATAATTAAGTGTTTTAAAGTGTTTTAAATTTGTTGTTAGCCGCCCTGAGCCCAGTTTTCGAACTGGGAAGGGCGGGGTATAAATAAAATTATAATTATAATTATAATTATAATTATAATTATAATTATAATTATAATTATTACAGAAGAACCTGGAGCTCTCTCCTTCTGCTGGCCAGAGCTGAAGTCATCTAAGGCTTTTCCTGAACCCTGTTATACACATTGCTCAGGGCGTCACAGAGCCTCCCGGAAGGGCGTAACCGTGCGCCAAAATCCTGCCAAGAAAAGTTGGCTCAGATCCCTGAACTTGCTGGGACTTCCCAGCACATGAAAAGGCAGAAATTTACACCTAAAGGAAGAATCCCAGAGCTCTTTCCTCTGTACTAGCCCAATGAGAGCTAATTGCCCTTTGCACTGAAGATTCCCTTGAGCGTGTTTGGAGGTGATGCAATGGGCCCCTCTCTCCTCTCTGCTCCCCCCTTTGAGACCTAGCCCAGGGAAGTCACTCTTATCAATCCAAGGTAAATTAGCCTATGCACATCTAGTCTGTGATCTCCTCCCTGAACTCCAGTTATCAGTTTGCCAGATTATTTTCTGTTAATCATTGTCCCAGCCTACTCCCTGGAAGCCTTTGAAAGAAGCAGGAGGGGCCCCTACAACTATTTACCAAACACACACACACACACACACACACACACACACAGAGTTCACAGCCTAAAAAGGATGATATAGAGTTGGGAAGGTTTTTCAGGAAAGGGAAACCAAAATTATCAAGGGAAGAGAGAGGAAAGGTTTCAGCATTCGGGACTTTTGATCTTAGAAAAGAGACGATTAAACGGCGACACGGTAGAAGCTGATGAAACTATGCAGGTGAACATTGGAAGATTCAGGGCAGATAAAAGTCCTTCATGCAGCACATCGTTGAACTATGGAACTCATTGCCACAGGAGAAAGTGATGGCCACCAACTTGAATGGCTTTAAGAGAGGATTAGACGAATTCAGGGAGGAGGAGAGGGCAGTTGGTGGCTACTAGCCGCAATGGCTAGGCTCTGCGTCCACGGTCAGAGGCAGTAAATGTCTCTGAACAGCAGCTGCTGGAAACCGCAGGAGGGGAGACGAATCCTGCTTGAAGGTTTCCCACAGGCATCTGGTTGGCCACTGTGAGAACAGGAGGCTGGACTAGATGGGCCGCAGGTCTGATCCAGCAGTCTCTTCTTCCGCTCTTAAAATATCAAAAGGCTTTGTAATCCTTCAAAATAAATAAACCTGGTGGCCTCCACTTGTTTTGGACTACAGCCTGGATAGCTCAGCTGGTTAGAGACTGATAACGCCAAGGTTGCAGGTTTGATGCCCGGAAGGTACAGCTGCATATTCCTGCGTTGCAGGGGGTTAGACTGGATGACCCTCGAGGTCTCTTCCAACTCTTATGATTAATTCTACAACTCAGCCATGTTGGCTAAGACTGACAGGAGCCACAATACGATTTACTGCCTCGTATAGAATTAAAAGAAAATTTTGTAAAGATGTTCTATAGGTGGTACTTAACGCCAGTTAAGTTGGCAAAGATATATAAATTGAAACCCAACCTCTGTTGGAGATGTGGTGGAGAAATAGGAACAACAATATATATGTGGTGGAGGTGTGATGAAATTAAGAAATTTTGGATAGTAGTACATGAAGAACTAAAGAAGATGTTGAAAATATCAATAACAAAGAAACCAGAGACATATCTCCTTGGATTGATAGATGAAAAGATACCACGGGGGGGGGGGATTTTTCTATATGCAAGTACAGCTGCTAGAATAGTGATTGCTGCTAGGTGGAAGTCACAAACTACACCCACAAAGGAGGAATGGATTTGTAAACTAAATGAATATTTAATTTTGGCAAAATTAACTGCTATAATAAGAAATCAGTCAAATCAAAAATTAAAAAAGGAGTGGAAATGTTTTGATGAATATATGGCAAAATATTGCTCAAAAAAAGATATGCTAATATGCCTAGATTAAAATGTGAAGTACTGGATGGAAGAAAAATTAGTAAGGAATGATTTGACAAGACTGATTTGAGAAGACTGTAGAATGCAAAGATTATTGTAAATTGTAGAATGTGGAGGAAATCGAGTGGGGGCGGAGGGAAGTGGGAGGAAGGAGAAAAAGAATAATATTGAGGAAATATAAATGTAAATGTATGGGGGGATGGGGAGGAAATGGTGTTGGCTTTTGTAATGTAATATGTGAAAACCAATCAATCAATCAATCAATCAGTTGACTGACAGGAGCCATAATCCAAAACTTCTGGAATGCGCCAGGCTGGGGAAAGCTCATGCGCACCCATGCCCACTTATGCGCAAAGCTCATGAAAGCATTTCGCCACAATGCAAGCTAGGAAGCTTGTGAGTAAACTCCGAGATACGTGCACACAATAAAATATATTGCGCACTTCCTTCACCAATAGCAATGTAGGCTGTCTTTTCTTGCACAACACAGTGGTATAAACTGTGCCGTGCTTCATATCATACACATTTAGGCTTCGAGGTTACCTGCCATCCGTCTCTGATCTTCTGGTTGAATATGCCGTACTCATAGCGTATCCCATAACCGTAGGCTGCGAGCCCAAGGGTGGCCATCGAATCGAGGAAGCAGGCTGTGGAAGGAGAGGCAGGGCTGGGCTCAGTTCCAACCACAAAAAGGTAAAGGTAAAGGACCCCTGGATGGTTAAGTCCAATCAAAGGAGACTATGGGGTTGCGGCACTCATCTCGCTTTCAGGCTGAGGGGCCGGCGTTTGTCCGCAGACAGCTTTCTGGGTTATGTGGCCAGGAGGACTAAACCGTTTCTGGCGTAACAGAACACCGTGACGGAAACCAGAGTGCACGGAAATGCCATTTACCTTCCCGCCGGAGCGGTACCTATTTATCTACTTGCACTGGTGTGCTTTTGAACTGCTAGGTTGGCAGGAGCAGAGACAAGTGCAAAGTAGATAAATAGGTACCGCTCCGGCGAGAAGGTAAACGGCGTTTCTGTGCGCTGCTCTGGTTCACCAGAAGCGGCTTAATAATGACCCGGAAGCTGTATGCCGGTTCCCTCGGCCAATAAAGAAAGATGAGCGCCACAACCCGAGTCGGCCAGGACTGGACCTAATGGTCAGGGGCCCCTTTACCTTACCTTACTCAAATGTTCAGAAAACTTGTAGGAATTTTAATTTCTTTTAGTCTTTTGTGGCTTGAACTTTTTGCATGGTTTAAATTATGGTTTTGATTTTTCAAAAAGTCATAATCTTATTGTTTTATATTTTTTGGAAACCGCTTTGAGGCCCCCCTACAATCAAGAGGTGTGTAAATTTTACAAAACATATAAAATAAATAAATATTGTTTCATAAATTAACGGAGTCCTTGTGAACTGGCGCCAAGAAAATCTGGTATTTCTGAACCAAGAAAGACGGTTCATTTTTGCTCAGATTAGTTTCCTATGCATGATTGGAAATGGCCTCGTGATTCACACCCGTGTTTTCTCATTTGAACCCGGGCTTCAAGGCGCTCACTAGCTGAAGCAGAGATGAGTTTTGAGAAGTTACGGGCTGGCCACCTTCACAACACACATTGAAAGCACCACGATACCACTTCAAACAATCACGGCTCCCCTCAAATAATTCTGGAAACTGTCGTTTGTGGAGGCTGCCGAGAGAAATCTTGTACGCCCCTCCCAGAACTATAATTCCCAGAGTGGTTTAGCAATCGATCCCTCCGAAGAGGGAACACTGGGAATTGCGGCTCTCCCAGGGGAATATGAATCTCTTAACACCTCTCAGCGCTCTTAATGAACTACAGTTCCCAGAATTCCTTGTGGGGAGGGGTCCTGACTGCTTAAAGTGGTAGCATAATGCTTTCAATGGAACTTGGATGTCAAAGTCTCAGGGATTCTTTCAGCTAATATTCCTGCATAGCAGGGGTTGGACTAGATGACCGCTGGGGGTCCCTTCCAACTCTACAACTTCTATGGTTCCTCACTTACCTGCAAGTCTGCCAAGGCCTCCATTGCCCAGGCCGGCATCTTCTTCAATCTCCTCTAGTTCTTCAATGTCCAGCCCCAGCTAAAGAGCCACATATAGAGATTTGTTTATTTCAGTTATAGCCCACATTTTACTCCAAGGTACTCAAGTCAGCATACACGGTTTCCCCCCCTCCCATCTCATTTAACCCCCACAACAACCTTGCAAGGTAGGATAGGCTGAGAGGTAGTGATGATTGCCCCCAAGGTCACCCAATGAGCTTCATCCCCAAGTGAAGGATTTGAACCCGGTTCTCCCAGGTCCCGGCCCAAAACTCTAACCACTAAACCACACCGCCTCTGTGCAAAACGCTCCCAAGAGTTGTGTTTCAAGCATAAGTGAAGCCCCACAATACACACACCCCTACAAAAATGGGAACGGAAGGTGGCCCAACTGTCAAAATCAGACGTTTTTTGCAGCAGGCAGGCTGAGGCCTGTTACACAACACAACTGCACAATTTGTTCTGGGAGGGTGCAAGTGATTTAGGCACCGTTTAGATCAGCCGTGGGCTATTAACGGAAAAAAATCTAACGGCAAATAGGAGGCAACCAAGCCTCTGGGAAATTCAGCCAAGTTCCCCCGCCTGGCGCTTGTAAGTTTTCAGAGTCTTGTACTACCGGCTGTCACTTCCAGGATTAGTTTTATTTTTTAAAGGTGAAGGGGAATCGCATCTGTGTGTGCACGCAAGGGGGGAAACATTGTGTGAACGGGTGTTCAGAGGCAGATCTGACTTGCCAGCGGATTTGCAAAACCAGGAGCTTCTAGGAAGAGGCTCAGACTTGCTCGACTCCATCCCATGACCAGATCCGTAAGGCGATAAATTTATTTCACTTCTCAGTGGTTTCAAATTACTCTTTCTCCTCTCGATTCTGACCTGGGAACAAGCACCAACTTCAGAAGCTTACATCTGCGCCAGCCCATGTTAAAGACGGCCTGACATTTGAGACGCAACTTTCGTCTGCCAGTGTGGGGATTCAAACCCTGGTCTCCCAAGTCTGGCACCCTTTCCGCTCCAAGGCAGGAGCGTCCAAGCTACCTGCTTTCTGGAATCGCTTCCCATACTGGCTCATTTGCCAAAGAAATGAAGTCCGGACACTGAGGTCCAGCTCCAAGGGCCTTCTGGCAGTTACCTCAATGTGAGACGTGAAGCTACCGGGAACCAGGCAGAGGGCCTTCTTGGTAGTGGCGCCCGCCCTGTGGAATGCCCACCCGTCAGATCTCAAGGAAATAAACAACTAACTGACTTTTAGAAGACATTTGAAGGCAGCTCTGTATAGGGAAGTTTTCAACGTCTGACGTTATACTGTGTTTTAATTTGTTAGAAGCTGCCCAGAGTGGCTGGGACAACTCAGTCAGATTGGCGGGTGCTGCTGCCAATAATAATAATAATAATAATTTTTTTTCCCTTCACAAACCTATTACTACAGTGGTACCTCTGGATACAAACGGGATCCATTCCAGATCCCCATTCACATCCTGAAGAGAACACAACCCGCGTCTGCGGGTCGCGATTCGCCGCTTCTGCGCATGACATCATTTTGAGCGTCTGTGCATGCGGCAAAACCCGGAAGTAACGCGTTCCGTTACTTCCAGGTTGCCGCGGAGCACAACCTGAAAACGCTCAACCTGAAGCAACTTTAACCCGAGGTATGACTGTATTAAAAACAACACAGAATCAGACATTAAAAACTTCCCTAAAAAGGGCCACCTTCAGTTATCTTTTAAAAATAAAATAGTTGTTTATTGCCTTGACATCTGCTGGGAGGGCGTTCCACAGGGTGGGCGCCACTACCGAGAAGGCCCTCTGCCTGGTTCCCTGTAACCTCACTTCTCACAGGGAGGGAACCTCCAGAAGGCCCTCGGCGCTGGACCTCAGTGTCCAGGCTGAACAATGGGGGTGGAGACTCTCCTTCAGGTATCCTGGACTGAGGCCGTTTAGGGCTTTCAAGGCCAACACCAACACTTTGAATTATGTTTGGAAATGTACTGGGAGCCAATGTAGGTCTTTCAAGACTGGAGTTATGTGGTCTCGGCGGCCGCTCCCAGTCACCAGTCTGGCTGCTGCATTCTGGAGTAGTTGCAGTTTCCGGGTCACCTTCAAAGGTAGCCCCACGTAGAGCGCATTGCAGTAGTCCCCCCTCCCCCCCCATACCTGATAAATTGCCTCATCGCAGGCGTTCTGCAATCCCAGGTTTATCATGGTGTTCTGCAGAGTCCGGCCCATGTAGAACTCCAAGGAAAGGTAGTAAACTCTCTGGAAACGAAGAAGAAATGGTCATTGCAACTTGCCAGGATTGGAGAAGCTGGAGTTTGAACCCAGGGTCCTCTGCATAAAAGGCAGGAGCAGAGTCCTTCCCTTAGGAAGTGATCCTGAACATGCACTCTTGATATATCGAGTTTTCAACTGTAGGGGTGCAGATATCCAGAGTGTGGGGCTCAGGTGGAATTGCTATGAGGAATTGTGAAATATGGAACAGGCATATGAAAGAATTGCGTTGACTCGGTTTGATTCATTGACAATAGTTTCTGATCGAATCCCACAAGCCTCTCCACCTCTGCCATTTGCTTTCTCTACACCTGACAGGCACGTATAAGCATTCTGAAACACAGGCCAGTTGCTTCATCAGGCATCCTCAGTACAAAGTAGGTTACTTTGGTGTAGTTTAATCTTTAGATAGATCTTAAGGGCCAGGAAGAGAGTTCACAAGGAGATGGTAAATACTGCCATCCTGTCTCTCCTATTTATGCCTGTTTATGACATCCGGGGTTTTGCTGAATGAATTTTATTCCTCCTTTTACTCCTATTTTATTTACTCTGGACTACTATGCATGCTCAAGTAGGAAATAGTTTCTTTGTAGTTGGACCTTGCCAACAAAGGTCCGTATAGTTAAAGCTATGGTCTTTTCACTGCATGGAAGTGAGAGCTGGACCACAAAGAATGCTGATCGCCAAAGAATTGATGCTTTTGAATTATGATGCTGGAGGAAACTCTTGAGAGTCCCATGGACTGCAAGAAGATCAAACGCATCCATTCTGAAGGAAATCAGCCCTGAGTGCTCACTGGAAGGACAGATCCTGAAGCTGAGGCTCCAAGACTTCAGCCACCTCATGAGAAGAGAAGACTCCCTGGAAAAGACCCTGATGTTGGGAAAGATGGAGGGCACAAGGAGAAGGGGACGACAGAGGACAAGATGGTTGGACAGTGTTCTTGAAGCTACCAGCATGAGTTTGACTAAACTGCGGGAGGCAGTGGAAGACAGGAGTGCCTGGTGTGCTCTGGTCCAGGGGGTCACGAGGAGTCGGACACGACTAAACAACAACAGTTTTAACTTTTGACTTTGTCCCACGTGGGGTTTTTGAAATGCTCAGAGGAAATCTGATTGGTTCTTACAAACACTGTGTAAAAAGTTCTTTTGTGAATAAAACGACCTGGGCCGAGGGGTGGAGAGGAATTATTATTGGCACTCCTCCCAGAGTCTTGCTGGTCAAGCCTCGTGTGTATTCTATTAATCAGAGTCCAATCTTTCCTTTGCTTTGGGAAAGCTACATTCAGCAAACCATGGAGATTGTATTATAAAGGGAAGGAGAAGAGAAGAGCCGGCAGACCTAGACAAACCACAAGCCACCAGCAAGGATCAATTTGATGCAATTCATTCTCTGCCAGACATGTGCTTCGCATTCCAGGAACATTTCCCCCACCAAACTTACTCCATTCCGTCACGGTTTGTACATCGGTGAGCAAACAATCTCGTTGCCCAACATGCAGCAACCGTCTCCAGAGCCAAATGGCCGGGTTAGGATATCACCGTTTTGAGTTTGGCCCCAGCACGATTGGTGCAAACGACGGTCAGCCACCTTTAACAAAATAAAGATGACTGAAGCCTTAAAAATGACAGCTCTCCTTCCCAAAAAAAACCCCAGAAGCCTTTCTGTTAGGCATTATGTCCACTGAAATCCAAAAAAGCTTTAGAACCATCTTTATGTTTGCAACCACAGCAGCCAGAATTCTGGTAGCAAAAAATTGGAAATTTGACTTAATTCCTATAAAGCTTGACCGACAGGTGAAGACGATAGAATACCTGGAACTTGCAAAAATGACAGGGAGAATAAGAGGAAACTCAAATCAGAAAGTGAACAAAGTATGGACAATATTGAAATAATATTTAAAACAATATTGTGAAAATGCAATTCTCCTGACAGGTATAGACTGAATCTTGCATATTAAAGAAAATCATAAAAGTAAAATTTTTTCTTGATATGTAATAGATATAACAGGAAGTGCGTACAGGTTAAGATTATTTAGAAGGCACAACGAGGTGATTTGGAAGTCAAAAGTATGTGTGATGTTAAATGAAGTGTAGTCAATGTTTAGTTGTCATTGTGGTATTGTTTTTGTCTGTTTGTGTTGTATGTTTTGCAATAAACATAATAATTTTTAAAAGGGGGCGGGAGAAAAAAGAAAGAAAATGACAGCTCTGGGAGACAGGGGCCGGGGATCAATCCAGGGCCGGGTCTGCCATTTGGGGAGGGAAGGAAGTTGCAGGTGACGTGCCTTGAGACACGCAGGTCTCCTGGGAGACCTGAATTCTGTGTTTTTATCTGGTATGAACCCGCTTTGTGTACAGTAACCACAAAAAAAGGCATACATAAATAAACCTGCCTTGATGCAGGTAGTTTTTCTGCCTGCCGTAGGGGTGATTTATTTGCTCTGCTTGGATAGTCGTAAACAGAACAAATCTTAGAAGGCACCCTATGTCTAAACCCTGTGGAACATCCACTGCTCAGAAAAGAGAGTCCACAGAAATCACTGGTATTCAAGTCAGGAGGAAACATAGCTAAAGGTAAAGGGACCCCTGACCATTAGGTCCAGTCGTGGCCGACTCTGGGGTTGCGGCGCTCATCTCGCTTTACTGGCTGAGGGAGCCGGTGTACAGCTTCCGGGTCATATGGCCAGTGGGACTAAGCCGCTTCTGGTGAACCAGAGCAGCACATGGAAACGCCGTTGACCTTCCCGCCTGAGCGGTACCTATTTATCTACGTGCTTTCAAACTGCTAGGTTGGCAGGAGCAGGGACTGAGCAACGGGAGCTCACCCCGTCATGGGGATTCGAACCGCCGACCTTCTGATCGGCAAGTCCTAGGCTCTGTGGTTTAACCCACAGCGCCACCCACATCCCTATTCAAGTCGGGAGGAAACATTCAGTGCTAAAATATAGCCTGTTAAAATTCATAGGCTTATCCCTGCCTCTGATCGTCACTTCTCCAACGCTTATCAGAAGGGGATGGGGCAATTTTCATTACAGTGGTACCTCGAGTTACATACGCTTCAGGTTACAGACTCCGCTAACCCAGAAATAGTGCTTCAGGTTAAGAACTTTGCTTCAGGATGAGAACAGAAATCGTGCTCCCGCGGCGCGGTGGCAGCAGGAGGCCCCATTAGCTAAAGTGGTGCTTCAGGTTAAGAACAGTTTCAGGTTAAGAATGGACCTCTGGAATGAATTAAGTACTTAACCCGAGGTACCACTATTATATTTCATTGGTTTTGTCATCTATGAGGAGCATTTGCATGAGAAAGCAGGGCCAAAATCAAATAATTTAGCTGTGCAAGCTTTTAAGAGGATTTCTACTCCTGCAAGAGTTTGGGGCTCATCAGGACAGCTCTGGTCCCAGTTCCCACAGTGAGCAAACCCTTTGCTGTAAAGGTAAAGGGAAGGGAAGGGAAGGGAAGGGAAGGGAAGGGAAGGGAAAGGACCCCTGGACAGTTAAGTCCAGTCAAAGGCGACTCTGGGGTTGCGGCGCTCTTCTCGCTTTCAGGCCGAGGGAGCCGGCCTTTGTCCACAGACAGCTTTCTGGGTCATGTGGCCAGCAGGACTAAACAGCTTTTGGTGCAACGGGACACCGTGACGGAAACTAGAGCGCATGGAAAAGCCATTTGCCTTCCTGCCGCAGTGGTACCTATTTATCTACTTGCACTGGTGTGCTTTCAAACTGCTAGGTTGGCAGGAGCTGGGACAGAGCAATGGGAGCTCACCCCGTTGCGGGGATTCGAACCGCCAACCTTCTGATCGGCAAGCCTAAGAGGCTCAGTGGTTTAGACCACAGCGCCACCCGCATCCCTTTCCCTTTACCCTTTGCTGCAAAGCACAGCTCATTTTGGAAAGAATCACGGAGTTGAAAGGGAAACCCAGGGGTCATTAGTCCAACCCCCTAATTACAGGAATCACAGCCTAAGAATCCCTGGCCAATGGGAAGTCAACTTCTGTTGAAAAACCTACAAGGAAATAGCACCCACCCCTTTATGAGGGAGTCCGTTCCACTGGCAAATTGCTCTTGCCATCAGAAAGTTTCAGTCAGAATTTTCTTTCTTGCGATTTGGATCTGTCGGTTCGGTTCCCACCCTCTGGAGCAGCAGAAAGCAAGCTTGCTCCATCTTAAAGTCCTTTGTGGCTTAGGGCCCTCATATCTACGGGTCTGGCTCTCCTGGTATGGCCCCGCAGAGGACCTTAAGGTCCATGAACAACCATACTTTAGAGGTCTCGGGGCCTAAGGAAGTCAGACTATCCTCCACAAGGGCCAGGGCCTTTTCAGTGATGGCTCCGACCTGGTGCAATACTCTGTCCCATGAGACCAGGGCCCTGCAGGATTTAACCTCCTTCTGTTGGGCCTGTAAGACAGAGCTATTCCGCCTGAACTTTAATTTGAATTCAGCCAGATCTTTTATTTCCCTTCCCTCCCCCTCCCCTTTTATGAAGATTACCTGCTCTGAGACCCCACAGCTAATTCTCCCCTGACCCCCTCGCTGGCCCAAGTAGGACCAATTCATCCAGCTAGCCCTGGGGATTATCTAATGCTTATTTCCCCTAAATTGATTTTTGAATTTTATTGTGATTCATGTTTTTATATTGTATTTTATGCTGCTTTTATAATTAAGTGTTTTAAATTTGTTGCTAGCCACCCTGAGCCCGGTTTTTGAACCGGGAAGGGCGGGGTATAAATTTATTATTATTATTATTATTATTATTATTATTATTATTATTTCACACCCTGGCACCTGATGTGAGCTATAAATGGTGGCTCAGGGGTCATAGAATCCTAGAGTTGGAAGAGACCACAAGGGCCATCGAGTCCAACCCCCTGCCAAGCAGGAAACACCATCAGAGCACTCCTGACATATGGTTGTCAAGCCTCTGCTTAAAGACCTCCAAAGAAGGAGACTCCACCACACTCCTTGGCAGCAAATTCCACTGTCAAACAGCTCTTACTGTCAGGAAGTTCTTCCTAATGTTTAGGTGGAATCTTCTTTCTTGTAGTTTGGATCCATTGCTCCGTGTCCGCTTCTCTGGAGCAGCAGAAAACAACCTTTCTCCCTCCTCTATGTGACATCCTTTTATATATTTGAACATGGCTATCATATCACCCCTTAACCTCCTCTTCTCCAGGCTAAACATGCCCAGCTCCCTTAGCCGTTCCTCATAAGGCATCGTTTCCAGGCCTTTGACCATTTTGGTTGCCCTCCTCTGGACACTTTCCAGTTTGTCAGTGTCCTTCTTGAACTGTGGTGCCCAGAACTGGACACAGTACTCCAGGTGAGGTCTGACCAGAGCAGAATACAGTGGCACTATTACTTCTGGGTCCCATCCAATGAGGCAAGACAGGACTTTTCTAAAGTTAAAATGAGAGGCAGGGTGGACAGTGGTTCTGAAAGTCTCTAGGATGAAGCACCGAATCAAAGATGGGAGCTGGAGAAAGGGCAGATTAGGAGCAAAGCTGTCTCAGCAGAGAGCCTGTCCACCTCACTTGAAAAAGGACTTCCGACTGATGTCACAAATGGGATTACTCCTTAATCTACCAGGCTAAAGCTCTACATTAAAGGCCGTTAACAGTCCAAAACCTGACTGAAGAGATGGTTAAGTCAATCCAATTCGAGGAGGGCAACCAGCTATTCCACGCTGGATTTAGATCTGCTTTTCAGCCTATCGCTTTTCAGGATTGGCAGTGACAAGGTCTCTTCCAGCCCTATTAAGAAGCGTATCTTTCAAAGCTGGAGAAACAGGGATTGAATTTGAGACCTTCTGGGTGCAAGGCATGGATTCTGCTAATAAGCCAGGATCAGTCCTCACCACCATGAAATCCACAAGTTGGGAGGGAGAAGAAATTCTATTCCGTTTTCACTTTTTGTGCTTTTTTGGGGCATAGCATTTTCATTAAGGCTTTTGTCATGATGAGATACCATGAAAACAAGGTAATCTAAACAAAAAGAGAAGCAGAAAGAGAAAAGGAAGGAAGTTATATGGCTTTAGTAGAAACGTTATAAGGAATTAAGTATAAATGGATTAATAGAGTATTAAAGGAAAAATAAGGTTAGAATGAGTTAAGATAATTATAGGATAGAAAACAGAGGAAGATGGAAAGGAATTGCTGAAATAATTAACAGAAGTGGAATACAAAAAGGGAGGTGTGAGGAGGTCTTGGAAATAAGTGAATGAAAGATGGGATAATGAAATTGTTTGATTTATTTTATTGTTTTTGTTTTGTAATGTTAGTTTAATGTATTGCATTGTATTGTCTTTTTAGTGTTTAAATTTTTGGAAAAGTAATAAATATTATTTTTTTTAAAAAAAAGAGAGAAAAGCAAGGTCTCACGCAAAGGTAGCTCACCTGGGAGCTTCCCTTTCTTCTCTCAGCCTCCCACCCTGGGAGATCTTCCCTTCTGCCTTCTGCAGTCTTTCTTCAACCATCTATCGCCTTCATGTGCCTACCCTCATTGACCCAGAGTAAAAGGTAAAGGGACCCCTGACCATTAGGTCCAGTCGTGGCCGACTCTGGGGTTGCGGCGCCCATCTCACTTTATTGGCCGAGGGAGCCGGCGTACAGCTTCCGGGTCATGTGGCCAGCAGGACTAAGCTGCTTCTGGCGAACCAGAGCAGCGCACAGAAACGCAGTTTACCTTCCCGCCAGAGCGGTACCTATTTATCTACTTGCACTTTGATGTGCTTTTGCACTGCTAGGTTGGCAGGAGCAGGGACCGAGCAACGGGAGATTCGAACCGCCGACCTTCTGACTGGCAAGTCCTAGGCTCTGTGGTTTAACCCACAGCGCCACCTGCGTCCTAATTGACCCAGAGTAGAGGGCATCAAATGCAAGGAGAATTGTAGGGTTGGAAGAGTTGTAAACAAAATCTGCCCTTATTCCCTTATGGGGGACACAAGAGCCCTTAAAGAGTCCTTTGTAGGTTCTCCATCGGTCAGAGAAAATAACAGAGGCCAACCAGAGAATATTGAGAAGCAAAGCAGCTAGTAAGCCTGATCTTTATTGATCTGTTGCAACAGGGTGCTCCCCTCACACGCAGGAGGACAGAGGAGGACCCAGAACCAAAGTGTGGCTGCCCTTATATAGACATTTTAAATTCCCCGCCCTGGAGCTCAAGACCACCCCTCCATACATCATACATACATCACAGAAGGGGTGTAACCCAAGACCGCCCCCTACAAACATCATACTTACATCACAGAAAAGGCGGTCTACAACAGAAATCTGAGTGCGTTGTTTATCTCCTATCTGCCAGGTTATCTGATAATGCCTTATCTGATTGCCTTTCCTGGTTGTCTGCCCATTCCTTTGAGATGGTGATTCCCCAATTCCTGAGAGAATGGGAAGGTTCCCTCACCCCCTCCCTCCTTGCAGAGAAAACATTTGGTCAGCTTGGGAGTCAAAATGGTTTCAGGGCGGTCTTCCTGTGCTGCTCCAGACATGTGGTCCACATATCTATGTATGTGCTTGGTTGGTATATATATATATATATAAACTTATTTTTTTATTTCGGAAGGTACCCTGAGGATCATCTAATCTAGGCATGTTCAACTCCCAAGAGACTGTGATCTGCTCCCGGTATTAAAAAACTGGCAGTGATCTACCCATTGGAGGGAAGAGGAGCGTGCGTGGGGTGGGTGGATTGGCCAGAGTTGCTGAGGTTTTTGGGGGGAAGATTGCACAGAGGGTTTTTTTTAGCTCCCCCCCCGTAACTTTTTGTACACAATAAGGATCCCACGATCTGCCAGGATCAGCCAGGGATCTACCTGATCTAGTCCAACCCCCTGCAATGCAGGAATATGCAGCTGTCCCTTACAGGGATCGAACCTGCAACCTTGCCATTGTGAGCACCATGCTCTAACCAACTGAGCTATCTAGGTGGAAAAGGAAAGCAGGGCAAAACTGAACAAAGCAAAAGCAAAGGGAGGGAGGAATAATAATAACAATAGAATGAAAAGAGAAATAAATAATGTAGACTTCTGCAATTCGCTTTGCAATTGAAAGAGAAACCAACTAATTTGCCCTTCTAGTGGCCCATCTAGTCCAACATCCTAGTCTGATGGTTGCCAACCAGATGCCCCCATGGGAAACTGTCAGGTGGTGAGGTGGTTGCTCACGAGTAACCAGGCAGGACTCCAAACCTGTCTTTCGCAGGTTTTTATTTGTGCAAACTATTTACAGTGCAGAACCACAAAGTTCTTGTCCATCTTAGTCACTTGCAGATTCCGGGAGTGGCCCCTTCCGGCTTCCCCCCCAACATAAGAACTTGGGCAACCCAAATCTCCGCCTCTCCTCCTTCCGTTTCACCCCTCTGCGCAAGCAGGGCGACGGTGTGTGCCTCCTGGCCGGCCGGCCGTGCTAGGTGAGGCGCTTGGGATCTCAGTAGCATCTTTGAGCCTTCCCTCCACCCGGCTACCTCTTTCCTCCTCTGCTCTGCTGGAGGTGTGGCTTTCCCTACTGCCAGACGAGAAGCTGCTTCTCAGAATCGGAGGAGGTTCTCTGTATCCCCCTGCTTCCCTCCACCCATTCTGATGGCAGTCTCCCAACAGAAACCAGCAAAGCATAAGAACAGTTCTCCGCTCCTGGGATTTCCAGCAACTGAGAGTCCGAAGCACTGCTGCCTCCAAGTCTCCAACTTAAACCCAGCCATCCTTCAAAACCCGCATTTTGTGAGGCAGCCGTCCAACCAGCACCCGCAAGCATGGAGGCATTCACAAAAAGTGCACATAAAAATGTGCAAACCTAGACAGCTTCTTAAAAAGCAGAGACATCACCTTGCCAAATAAGGTCCCATAGTTCAAGCTATGGTTTTCCCAGTAGTGATGTATGGAAGTGAGAGCTGGACCATGAAGAAGGCTGATCACCGAAGAATGGATGCTTTTGAATTCTGGTGCTGGAGGAGACTCTTGAGAGTCCCATGGACTGCAAGAAGATCAAACCGATCCATTCTGAAGGAGATCAGCCCTGAGTGCTCACTGGAAGGACAGATCCTGAAGCTGAGGCTCCAATACTTTGGCCACCTCATGAGTGGAGAAGACTCCCTGGAAAAGACCCTGATGCTGGGAAAGATGGAGGGCATAAGGCGAAGGGGACGAAAGAGGACGAGATGGTTGGATAGTGTTCTCAAAGCTATGAACATGAGTTTGGCCAAACTGCGGGAGGCAGTGGAAGACAGGAGTGCCTGGCGTGCTCTGGTCCATGGGGTCACGAAGAGTCGGACACGACTAAATGACTAAACAACAACAAAAATGTAGAAACTAGCCTGAAAGGTGAGTGATCAGAGGCCTGGGTCAAGAACTCAAGTTCCCTGCCTAAGAGACTGTCAGTGTCCGAGTAGGAAGAGAGACCAGGGTGCTGAAGACATCCCATTTATTTGTGTTAGAGGCATTACACAAGCCACATGTTGCACAACTGTGTCATATGTGCATATATAGCCAGGTCCCCAAAAGCAACAGGAGGACAGCCTTGCAGGGCACCTTTTTGTCCTGCCACACACATTGCCAAGCAGAACACCCTGATCTCGGACCTCGCCCTTGCTGGAACAATGGCGCTGGTTTCACCTGGGAACATCGCATTTCCCCCTTGAGGAGTGGCGGCATTCAAAGGCACGTGGCTCTTGCAATTCAACCAAGGACGGCACATCCATCACCACTGCAAGCCTGTCTGCTTTTCCAAGGACCACACCTAACACTGCCAGGTGAGAGTCTTCAAGAAGCAGTCAAGGGGTGATTTACACACCTGCACAGACCCACTGCCGATTTATTAATCACCTTCTAAATCACTGCGCCAAGGCAATTTCCATGTACGATAATTTAAAGAAGTTAGGTCCTGGAACTCCTTGATTTTTCAGCATGGGAACTTTGCCCCTGCTTATTTTGAAAATATGTATCTCACCTGTTCAAGAAACAAAGGCCTGCTAGCACTCAAAAGCATGTTATATAAACTATGGAATGATCCACAATTTAACCAAATCATAAATAGAAATCTGAGTCCTGATGGACCAGCTAAGCAAGAGGCTGCTGGACACCAGGCCAACGTTAGTTCAGGTTGGTGGTCATCACTGCCTACTGTGGCAAGGAGTTCCACAGCTCAGCTGTGTCAAAACAGCAATAAGAGCCGCTTTCTGGCTTGCCCCGCATGTCTCACCTTGGGGTCCTTCTCGTAGTAGTACTGCTGTGTGCGGATCCACCTGCCCACCAGGTGATCGCGGACGGTGTGGGCCAGGGCAAAGTAGTAGTCGCGATGGGTGGCCACATTGCGGTCTTTGACCAGGGTGAAGTGGAGGTGCCGGTTGAAGCCTTTCTTCAGCTCCGCCACGTTCTCCACGCCAACGATGCCACGGATGCTGATCTGCTTGCGCTTCTCCTGGTCCGTCAGAGGGCGAGACATGGCTGTCGGAGGAAGGAGACAACAGCGCTGGGTGCCCTTCGCACAGTACGGCCCAGCCGCCAAGAGAGAGAGAGCGGCCGGCAAGGCACTGAACTCTGGAGCTCCCAGCCAGCAACCGGGTACAGCCCTTTCCTGTTCAGGCCAGCCTCCCTCCTGTTCTGCCTCCCTCTGTGGGGCTGAGAAGCGACTGAATCAAGGGAGGAAGAGGAGGAGTTTGGTTTAAAAGTGAGCTCAGCTCTGAAAGAAGCAGCTGGGAGACTGCCCCTTTCCTGGACACAGGTGGAATTAGGGGTTTGGGCTGGTGTTTAAATTCCTTTTTTTTTTTTGTTAGATCATTTTTATTAATTTTCCAAATAAAAGCCATCCAATTAACATATCAAATCATAATCCAACAAAACTAAAATAAAAAAGGTCAAAGTATCTTCCGAATTGTAATTATTAATTGTACGACTTCCCATAGTCTGAACCTTGAAGCATGTCCAAGTCTCAATCCTGCCTTTCGTCGATATTTCCACATCTCGATGTTAACTCTCCAATTAAGTTCCTAAACTTAAATTACAAAATTACGTAAGTTTCACTTTTTTTTTTTTTTTTTTGCATCCTGCGGGTTCAGGTTGAGTGGCGCGCTTCTATGAGAGGTGCAGGAGATTGGGGGGGGGGCTGGAAACCGGGGGAGGGAGCCGACGTCAGTTATTGCAAACACTGCATTGGCAACCGGGTTTGCAAAGGTGCATATTGGGGTTGCAAAGGTGGGAAATCAGAGCTTGGGGTGCACCACCTCAGATTGCAAATGCAAGCTTACATGATGGAATACTCTTACAAATAAACACCCATTCACCCTGTACCTAGGCAGCTAGCAAGTCATATAATAATAAAAATATTTTTTTTATTTATACCCCGCCCTTGCCGGTTTAAAAACCGGGCTCAGGGCGGCTAACAGCAAATATAAAACAATGATTAAAATGCGACTTAACAACAGCATAAAACACAACAGAAAAAGCAGCATCAATATCAATAAAATTCAAAAATTCAGGGGTCATTGGGGGAGGGGAACCCAGTCAGCAGACATCAAGTGATCACCAGGGCTAACTGGCCAAGTTGGTCCTACCAGGGCCAGCAAGGAGACCAGGGAAGAATTTAAATGTGAGGTCCCAGAAAGGGTTTCTTCATTGAGGGAAGGGAAAAGGGAATAGAGGATCAGGCTAATTCAAATTGAAGGCCAGGCGGAATAGCTCTGTCTTACAGGCCCTGCGGAAGGAGATCAAGTTCTGCAGGGCCCTAGTCTCGTATCAGGCAGAAGGGGGTCTAGAAGAGTATTATTTTATAGGAACTCTCAACTGCAGCCTGAAGTGTTTTGCCCAAACCCAGATTACATGCTTCAGTGCTAACCAGGCCAGTCACAACGACAGAAAACCTTTTCTGCCTGAGAAAGAGGGGAAGTTGCCAGGCAGCAACTTTAGACACAGCAAGAAAAGAACCTCAATTTCCTCCTTCCTTTTTGCACACGAGTCCTGGATCCCCATTTGGGCTTTCGTGAAAGCCCAGATAAATTGGTTGCAGCACAATGGGCTACGTCTCTCTCCAAACCCCTTTGGACTTTGGTCAGTTCACAGAATCCTGGAGTTGGGAGGGACCCTGAGGGTCATCCAGTCCAACCCCCTGCAATGCAGGAGTCTTTTGCCCAAAGTGGGACTCGGAGACCCTGAAGAGTCTCATGCTATCCCAGTGTGAATATTTTATTTCCGCTTTGGTTATTGCAATCTACATCTTGCCCTTCGTCCCAGAGGAGTCCAGGGTAGCAAGCAACACCATTTGCAAACATGAGAACGTAACAAAGTAGCCTACTGGAACAGGCCCAAGGCCCGTCTAGTCCAGCATTTTGGACCTGGGTGCAAGAGTGGGGCAGTTTTCAAATCAAAAGTCCACCATGCAAGCAAGATGGGTTTCCTGCTTGACTGCAGACCAGCCTTCCCCAGCCTAGCGCCCACCAGATTTTTGGACTACAACTCCCATCAGACTGGAGAATAAATAAATTTATTTATTGCTTGCAGTTCAAACATTCATAAAGCTTCTCTCTGGTGTAGATCCTTTGGTGGTAGCCTCATTTAATCCTTGCAACAGCCCTGTGGGGTAGCTAGGCTGAGAGGTCTGGCCCAAGGTCACCCAGTGAGCTTCATGTCTGGGTGGGGATCTGAACCCTGGTCTCTCCCAGGTCCTAGTCTAACCATTACACCACACTGCCTCTTGATGCAGAAAAGTCAAATTCAGTCCCTTTCCAATCTAAAGACCATGATCAGTGGGACAAGACACCCAAAGCAATTCAGGCCTCGGGTTTGAGAAGGTCCAAAATCAATGAGTTTAACTGGTCCTGGGAAAAGCCCCACTCTTGGGTCAGAGAGGGTCGGTGGCAGAAATAACACCCTCTGCAGAGGCATTTTTACTCAGGAGGAGACCTCATTTGCTCGCGAGTAAGCATACATGGGATTGCACTGTGTAGCCCCAAATCTAAGCACGCTTACTCCGAATTAACTCCCACTGCGTTCTATGAGGCTTACTCTCCGGCAAGTCAGTGCGTGCACGGAAGCGCAGCGTCACTTCTGAGCTGCCTCTATCGGGGAAAGATTGAGACCTTTAAAGCGGATGAGGGGCTCTTTCCCCCAGAGAACGCGCATCCGACGGAAGTGTTCACACTCCTCTTGCGGACCTCAGAAGTGCAACACGCCTCTTTCAGAGTCACGTGTGAACTGTGGGTTTTTTGCCTGGCAGGCAAGGAAAATCACTTAAACAGAACCGCCTGCACTCTTCCCTTCCACTCTTCCGTGGGGAGTGGGGGGGGGGAGGCAAAACATCCTTGAAGAAAGTTGACCCCCCTCAGAAGGGGCTGGAAGATTCGAGGTGCGCGCATGAGCGGGGGGTCCCCCTCCACCCCAAGGAAGTGCCTCCTTGCACCCGAGAAAGTTCAGAGCCAACCGCTTACCTCGCTTCTACCCTGTGCGCTTTTACGCACCGTTTGCAGCAGAGCCCACCCGGACCGCTCCCCTTTCTCCCCTTGCGCGCTTACTTGCGAGGGACAGGAGGTGCACCCTCCCCGTCCCCAAATGCCCCCAAAACTTTCTCCCCTGGGGCGTGTCCTGCAGGACTTTCCCTTGCTTCCTGCCCCCCAGGGAGCTACGCCAAGCAGGACAAGCGCAGCGACAGGTGTCGCCCATCGCGAAGCATTTACCTGCGCTGGATCCCGGGGCGTCGGAGGATGGTGTCCCCTCTCTTTTCGGGGTTCGGTGCTGCGCAAAGGCGCTTCGAGGATCTTTCCCGGAAAGAGCCAAGGCCCGCCCCCGCCCCTCTTTTTATAGGCTGCCATTGGCCGAGGCGGACGCCTGTTAGCCCCGGGACCCCGCCTCCTAATCGCTGGACAGGGAAGTTTTCTTGCCCGAAGGGGCGGGCGGAGCAGCGCAGCCCTGGAATGGGGAAGCGGGGCGGGATCGGGCTCCGGACTGGCTGCCGCCCCTCCCGCGGTGCTCCTTCTTCCCTCCCCAGCCGCTTTGGCGTTGCTCCGGTTGCAGGAGGGATGGCAGGCGCAGCCAGGAGTTTGCCAGGCCCCGAGGGCAGGGCGGGCAGGCAGGCAGGCAGGGACGTGAAGCGGAAATCGGCGGCCCTCACCCCCTCTTTACCCGAGAGTAAGCCCCATTGAGCTCAAAGGGCCTTACATAGCAAAGCTATTGGTTCGTTGCCAGATTTAGGTTACTAAGTGATTTGCACGCATGGCGTTTAGGGCGTCTGGATTAAAAGACGCAGTGACACGGCACCGTGGGAAAGCGTTGGGGGAGAAACGTCCGTGGTTAAAATATGCATTTAAATATTGCACGGTGAGGAAGGGTGCGGGGCGGAAGCTGCTTGCAAAAGGATAAGAGCTTATCGGTAGGCAGTTGCAAGGGTTCCTCTTCCTTTCCCACCCGCCACCTTAAATAAATTGTTCGGATTCAAGAGGACAAGTTTCCATCCATCTTGGGTGGATGAGAAACGTTTTTCTCCCTCTCTCATTATGCAAGAACCGGCAGACATCCTATGAAGCGGAATACCAGCAAAGTCAGGGCATTCACAGCTGAACTAGTTCTAATCTGTTTCAATCTGTGTGGAGGACTCTCTGGTCCTGAATGGGGCAACTGTGCCCCTGAAGGACCAGGTGCGCAGCCTGGGAGTCATTCTGGACTCACAGCTGTCCATGGAGGTGCAGGTCAATTCTGTGTCCGGGGCAGCTGTTTATCAGCTCCATCTGGTACGCAGGCTAAGACCCTATCTGTCCGCAGACTGTCTCGCCCGAGTGGTGCATGCTCTGGTTATCTCCTGCTTGGACTACTGCAATGTGCTCTATGTGGGGCTACCTTTGAAGGTGACCCAGAAACTACAACTAATCCAGAATGCGGCAGCTAGACTGGTGACTGGGAGCAGCTGCCAAGACTGTATAACACCGGACTTGAAAGAACTACACTGACTCCCAGTACGTTTCCGAGCACAATTCAAAGTGTTGGTGCTGACCTTTAAAGCCCTAAACCGCCTCGGTTCAGTATACCTGAAGGAGCATCTCCACCCCCATCATTCAGCCCAGACACTTGAGGTCCAGCTCCAAGGGCCTTCTGGCGGTTCCCTCACTGCAAGAAGCCAAGTTACAGGGAACCAGGTAGAGGGCCTTCTCGGTAGTGGCACCCGCCCTGTGGAACACCCTCCCACCAGATGTCAAAGAGAACAAAGAGCGGCGGCCGCTCCCAGTCACCAGTCTAGCTGCCGCATTTTGGATTAGTTGTACAGTGGTACCTCGCAAGACGAATGCCTCTCAAGACGAAAAACTCGCAAGACCAAAGAGTTTTTCGTTTCTTGAGTTGCTTCGCGAGACGAATTTCCCTATGGGCTTGCTTAGCAAGACAGAAACGTCTTGCAAGTTTGTTTCCTTTTTCTTAAAACCGTTACAGTACTACAGGGTGCATTGCTTGAAGAGGTGCAGTTGCGACTTGACTTCGGGGAGCAACTCATAGCACGCGGTGTGGTAGCCTTTTTTGAGGTTTTTGAAGATTTTTTTGGAAAAATTGAAACCGTGCTTCGCAAGATGAAAAAACTCGCAAGACGAAAAAACTCGCGGAATGAATTAATTTCGTCTTGTGAGGCACCACTGTAGTCCACGGGCAGGGAGGGTCTCAGCCTGTGTACCAGATGCTCTGAAACCTTTAGGTTAGATTACTGCAACACATTATTCATAGGCCTGCTCCTGAAGACGATTCGGAAACTTCAGCTGGTACAGAATTTGGTGGCTCACTGGGGCAAGACAGTTTGAGCATCTTACGCCTATCCTGGCCCAACTGCACAGGCTACCAGTTAGTTTCTAGGCCCAGTGCAAATTGCTGGTTTTGACTTACAATGTCTTAAATGGCTCAAGCCTGTGATACTTCAAGCACCACCTCTCCCCATATGAACTCATCTGGACCCTGCAATCATCTTCTGAGGCCCTTAGTTCGTGTGACCCTCCCCTCCACAAAAGCTCCAGAGCATGGGAACTTGAGAATGGGCCTTTTAAACCGTGGTTCCCTGTTTGTGCAATGCTCTCCCAGGGAGGTTTGGCTGGTCTTTATCATATACCCTTAGGCATCAGGTGAAAAAAGCAGGCTTTGGTCTGATTAACATCCTATACCAGAGCTCTCCAGACTGGCCGTGTGTCGGCTGCAGTGTGTAGGTGTGTCGCACAAACGCTCCGTGTGCTCCTTCCAGGGCTGGAAAGGGTGTGTGTTTTTTAATTATTAATTTTTATAGAATTTTACAAGAAAAGAAAGAGAAAGAGAAACAAAGAACAATACATAACACTGTAAACACATTTATATACATGCTTTCCAAAATGCAAACTAAAAAAAAAAAAAATAGAGAGAAAAGACAAAAGCAAAAAATACTTTTCATAATCAATAATATTACCAAATTCATGCTTCAAACATTACAATATATAAATCCTATTTAAAATATTATAAAAGTCTTCCACTGCATTCCACTCTTAGCTATCTTACTTGCCTTTACATCTGTTCTTCAATCATTTCCCTTCCTTAGGTTCTTTCATAATCCATCAAATCTGTATGTTCTCTATATTCTTCACAAGGTTAGTCTAAGCACAAACTAGTAAAACTGATTTACTGTGTCGCAAATTGATGCATGTCTACAAAGTGTGTCACCAAGATGAAAAGTTTGGAAACCTCTGTCCTGTACACTTTTAAATGTGTTATGTAAGGGCGGGGTGAAATTATTGGTTTGTTTTCGTTCTTGCTTTTTATGTATTTTGTGATTTTTCAAAAAATATTGCATAAAAATTTAAATAATAATAATAATAATAATAAAATAATAACAATGACTCCCTCAGGAGGCAGTGATGGCCACTGATTTGGATGACTTTTATAGAGGATTAGACAAATTTGATGAAGAGGGAGGCCATCAATGGCTACCACGTTTTCTCTCGCTGTCAGAGACACTAATGTGGGCTAGGGAGACAGTGCTCCTGAAGGTAGGAGTCTATCAATTGATGAAGATGATCATCCAAATGTCATAGACCAAATGGAGCAAACAGCACGCAGACCTAGTGGTGGGAGGAAAAAATCCTTAAATAAGAGACACGGGGGAATGATTAATGGACTTCAATGTCTGTACACAAATGCGCAAAGCATGGGAAATAAACAAGATGAGCTTGAGCTCTTGGTACAGCAAACTAAATATGACATAATAGGCATCACTGAAACCTGGTGGGATAAGTCCCACGATTGGAATGTAATAATGGAGGGATACAATCTATTTCAGAGAAACAGACCAGACAAGAAAGGAGGAGGAGTGGCGTTATATGTCAGGGATGTGTATACCTGTGAAGAGATCCAAGATTTAGAACCTCAAAGCCAAAGTAAGAGCATTTGGGTCAAAATTAAGGGAGAGAGGAATGACAGTGACCTCATTGTGGGAGTTTACTATAGATCCCCAAGCCAAACGGAGGACATAGATAATGCCTTTCTGGAACAGATGGCCAAGCATGCAAAAGGAAGGGAGATAGTAGTAATGGGGGACTTCAATTACCCGGATATTTGTTGGATGTCAAACTCAGCCAAGAGCATAAGGTCAAACAGATTCCTCACTGGCCTTGCAGACAACTTCATTGTCCAGAAAGTGGGAGAAGCAACAAGAGGAACAGCCATTTTAGATCTGGCCCTAACCAATGTTGAGGACCTGGTTAGTGGGGTAGAAGTGGAAGGATCATTAGGCGCGAGTGATCATGCTCTTCTGAAGTTTACAGCGGAAAGGAGCAGCCAAGCCTACTAGGACTCAATTTCTTGACTTTAAGAAAGCCGACTTCATAAAACTTAGGGAAGTGCTGGGTGAGATCCCATGGACAGTAATACTAAAAGGAAAGGGAGTTCATGATGGCTGGGAGTTTGTTAAGAGGGAGATACTAAAAGCACAACTTCAGGCAATACCAATGAGACGGAAACATGGAAGGTGCCTAAAGAAGCCAGGGTGGCTATCTAAAGAACTTTTAACTGAGTTAAGATTAAAAAAGGATGTGTACAAAAATGGAAAAGGGGGGAAACCACCAAGAGGAATTCAAACAAATAGCCAGCACGTGTAGACACAAAGTCAGAAAAGCTAAAGCACAGAATGAACTCAGGCTTGCTAGAGAGGTTAAAAGCAACAAAAAGGCTTTTATGGGTATGTTCGTAGCAAAAGGAAGAACAAAGAAACAGTGGGGTCACTCAGAGGAGAAGATGGTGAAATGCAAACAGGGGACACAGAAAGGGCTGAACTCCTCAATGCCTTCTTTGCCTCAGTCTTCTCCGATAAAGAAAACAATGCCCGACCTGAAGAATTTGGAGCAAATGATTCAGCAGAGGAAACACAGCCCAGAATAACTAAGGAGATAGTACAATAATACTTGGCTAGTCTAGATGTATTCAAGTCTCCAGGGCCAGATAAACTGCATCCAAGAGTATTAAAAGAACTGGCAGATGTGATCTCAGAACCACTGGCAGTCATCTTTGAGAATTCCTGGAGAACAGGGGAAGTCCCGGCAGACTGGAGGAGGGCAAATGTTGTCCCTATTTTCAAAAAGGGGGAAAGAGAGGACCCAAATAATTACCGCCCAGTCAGTCTGACATCAATACCAGGGAAGATTCTGGAGCAGATCATTAAGCAAACAGTCTGTGAGCACCTAGAAAGGAATGCTGTGATCACCAATAGTCAGCATGGATTTCTGAAAAATAAGTCATGTCAGACTAACCTGATCTCGTTTTTGACAGAATTACAAGCCTGGTAGATGAAGGGAACGCAGTGGATGTAACCTACCTTGATTTCAGCAAGGCATTTGACAAGGTGCCCCATGATATTCTTGTAAAGAAGCTGGTAAAATGCGGTCTTGACTATGCTACCACTCAGTGGATTTGTAAC